TTTCTCGAGGTACATTGAGGTTTGTATTTTACTCTACATTTTATCAATTATCAATATTTTGACGAGATATCGATAAAATCGGTGAGTCTATCTTTAGTTTAGGCAGCACCTAAGGAAGGGTTATTTCCATGAATAAACATTGAATTGATAAAGCTTGTAAAGCTCGCACGGCATTATTAAAGTATCAAGTACATCACTGTTGACGATGGAATTGCCTCCAGGATATGGTTATCTCTAACAAGTGACTCATCCATTGATTCGAATTTTTAAAACCAAAATTCAATTCTCCGTGTTAGGTGCAAATACTCTATTCACACATTAACGATAAATATTATTTTACAAATAGTTTCTTTGTAAACACAACTCTGTTTACTGAACAGACACTGTGGTTACAAAATTTGGAGCACCCTGTTCATTCTGAACAATAAAATATGATGCAGTGTACTCGATTCGAGGACTGTTATCAATTTATTGGCCAGATTCTTCATCTTTAGATCGTTCTAGTGGCTATTGAAAATCGAATGGCTTCTACTTGCATTGTAGAGAACATTTGGAGAAGAGGTAGAACGAGTGGGTAGTGAATTGCGACGATTACGTCACGAGGGTCAGTTCTGCATGTCATCGTGTGTCAGCAGAATCGACCAGAGCCAGAGCATTCTCCCAGAAACACATTGGTGCATCGAAATCGATTGTAAATCTTTTAGAATTTATCTCCCTTTAATGAGAATCAGGACCGTGCATCGACCATTTAACCACAAACACGATAACTTTTCCATTTGGTTTGATTCTGACTGGTTTTCCCTTCCAATCATTTCTATTTCTTTTTCCATATTTAATCTATTGCTCTTCCGAATTTTTTAAGCGTTAAAAATATTTAAGAAGAGTAATTTTCATCTGTGGATTAATACTAAATTGTTGTTGACTCGTCAAATGAATAATCGAACGATAAAATCGTCAGAATATAAAAGGGGGTGGAATTTGGAAATTTCGATGCAACTGGTACACGATTATATTAATTTTGTTCGTTGTCTTCCAGTCTTAAATTCGTTTGCATAAATTTCTGTGTCGTTGCAATGAGTTTTCTACCACCTCGTTCACGTATCGAGATGCATAATCAGAGCGACATAATCGTCGAAAGATACAGCGAATAGGGTCATCAATTAGACTTTGGCTCGAGTTAAGGCAGGTCCCGTTCGCTTCGGTATCGCCAGTAAAATAGAATCGTCGGTGCATTGCACGCGATATGTATTCCTTTCCATGCACATCTCGAATTAAAAGTGACCCTTTCCTTTGTTGCTAACTAAACTGGCGATTTAAGCAATTTTAAAAGCGTTAAAATTTGATCTTCGTCCAAGGAAAACAATGTTTACGGTTCGATGACCTAATCTGCGGTTTCTTTTTGAAAACTGAAAGTGTCAGGGCAGAAAAATATTGCACTGAACTTGACACCATGCAGCGAAAATTGTTCATAAAGCGAGTCTAACGAATCGTAAAAGGCCAATTATGTTTCATGATCACTCAAGAGCACATTTGATGGTGCACACCTCGAAATAATTGCAACGATTGGGCGACGATATTCTTTGCCATTTAACGTTATTCGTCCAACTCTTTTCCATGGTTTTCCATCTACTCAGAAATCTAACTAGCCAAGAAGGTGTAGATAACATTAAAAAGCAAACGTGTCGTAAAACGTATCTAATATATTCGTGATCGATTGTTTCCGAATTATTAATTCATTTTTACGTCAGTGAACGTGCTATAATTATGTGGCTGAACTTGCTATTCATTTCAAATACGTCATAACACGTTTGATGGATCGTTTTGCTCTTTTTATCTTGTCGTTCGCGATTCCTTCTCTGTTATTAACGGATTAATTTATCGGAATATTCGGAGTATTGTCGCGAATTGCCACCTACTGCGGATATATGGACACGTTACAAGCTTTATTTGATCTTAATCTGGAGGATTCCTGCCCAAACATTCCTAATTATTGATAAAAATATTCCTTACTTTCCTCTGTATAGATCTTCGAAGTAAAATAATTTGGTACATTACTAACAATGATTAATGATCCGAGGCTTTGATAACGTAACATAATAATGCTTTATTGAACGGAGCGTTTCTCTTGAACGATTTATTATTCACGGTTGGCTATCATTGAGTAAATGTTATTCGCTATTTACTATTCAAAGGATTTCTTTATCGAACACAGCCAGAAAATATGCAAAATCCGCAAGATAAACGTGGCTGCGAGAGGTCAGTCGGTCACACGTAGTAAAAAAGTTAAATATTTCTTTTCCTGGCCGACAATGTGCAGCCAGATAATATCATGCATGCAATGATAGATAATATGGGCATAAAAACCACGGCGGACCTTGGAATAATTTATAACAAGCAACTTATTACGCTTTATTGCTATACTATTTCCATCCGTGATCAATATTCATCCTTTTTCCTATCTTGTTCGCATTACGAAACTCTTTTACAGTCATCTCACTTTTTTCGTACCTTGTTTCATCATTACGGGTTTCAATGGATCAATGGTATTCGACAAACGAACAAACGATACTTATAAACCATAGCTAATGCCGTGGACGAACCACTGGCGAACAGAACACGTGGTTCTAGGCGCCATCTTTTTTATTAAAACGAAAACAAAACAATGAAATTGTATAATAATAATTTTTTTAATAAGATGAAAGAGATGAACATATTTTATACAGATATTGTAAGACTCGTTGCTTTTAAATACTATTTTATTCTTATTTGAACCATCAAAGACTGATCGAATCCTTTGCACCAAACAAAAGATGGCTCTACATGGGGGATTTAATTTTGGTCTCTTACGAATATCTTTTATATTTATTTAAAAGTAAGCTACTGCTTGTCAAGCACCAAAAACTCATCGAACCTGTAGCGTTACATTAATGTAAATAGAATGGAAAAATTACAATTGCCTGTTGCATACGTTTAACTTAATTCAATGCAAATTATTAAGTCATAATTTTTGTGCTCCTTTTTTCTACGACCGGTACGGCTTCCTAATATAACAATAGGAGTAATAAGTTAATAGTTGCACATAGTGAGATAATTAAAAAACAATGATGAATTGGTAGGTGAATAATGAATCATGGAAATTCGAGATTTAATGTTATCGGTAATTCCATAGCTAGGTTTCGAGGTCTTTTTGCAATAGTTTATCAGAAACATTCAAATATTATCTCAAGGCCCCCGAGTACTTTGCATACTTAACCCTACAATGACCCAACTTGATATTTTTACCTTGCAAAAACTCAGCGAAGATTTCTTACGCGTGGGTACTTGTACAACCGAATTAAAATCAATTTATAATTGCACGATCGCGCGTGTAATTAATAATTTAAATTCGGAATTATTGCTAGTTCAAGGCACCGCAAGACAGTATCGATTACCATTCGAAATTCGTCCAGACACTTGAATATTTATTCATTTTATTTGCATGTTATTTTTAAAAATGCTCGCGATAGTTGTTGAGATAGCGTACCAACACTGGCGTAAAAATAAGCGATGCATCCGTGTTAAAATAATAAACGGTCAGGTACAACATACAGATAACACGAAGTCTCAAGTATTAAAGATCTTTGACGATAAAGATGTTTGGAGCGACCTTGAATACGAAAATAATTTCTATAGTCAAAAAATAAGATTGGGGTTTTCGTGTAGTGGCTGACTCTCGTGTAGTAGTATCAGTGAAGATAGACAGAAATGCCCCACACTGACAGAAACTACACAGAAACTCTCGTAGAGAGAGAGGAAAATATCGAATAGACACTGAAAATAAGCGTTTAACATTTGTATACGTGATATTAATCACAGCATTTAATTTTACCTCGTGACTTTTTGCTCTGACTTTAAACGTTTCGAAGATATAGCCTGACCCAGTTGCGTAGGACATCCTGTATAGAGGACCAGATAATAGATAAGTACTCTAAATGAGATACAACTGTCCAACAATTAAAATCAGATACTCGGCCGAGTGAAATTAAACGACGATCGAGAGAAATTTTACTGGATAAAATGGTTTTCCATTTTTCAGAAAGAATCCTTGCTCGAAGATTGTAATTATTTGCTCAGTCTTTTGAAAAGGACGACAATGATCCCGCGTTGGTGTACGTGATTGATAAGTAACGAAGTTATCTGTAGGTTTATTACGAACAGCAGTTTCGTAAAGAAACGTACTAGAAAAGAGACCGACGTCTGAGCGTTCTTTATCATGGAAATATCGTTATTTATATGTCTCAGGGCGATAAGGGAATCGCTGCGTTCTCGAAACGAGATTTCGGATGGCATTTCGTTTACTGCTCCCGGGTAATACCCTGTTATTCCCATTCGAGTCGAATTTATATCGATTCAGATTTATTTATGTGGGTTACGTCGAGATAAATTTATTATCGTTTAACCGGAATCCATGCAACTGATAATTTCTTACACTGTACTTTTCGTCTGAAAAATTGTTTCTATTAATACATTTTGTTCGTAATATATATCATCACGATTGGTGACTTTGTTATTTTTCGAAGACGAATTAAGTAATAAAATAGGTCGTTTTCGACACAATGCATCGCGCTATACTTTTCGCGTTTTCGTCCGACCGAAATTTCATTTAATCTCCGAGCGATAGTTTAAATTCGTACAGTATTTTTACTTTTACAGTGTATGATTATTATGCAAGTAGGCAACGATAAACGCGCGAGGAAATATAATCGCTGCTAAAGCGAATAGAAGAGGCTAGATAAACGACTTTATGATCAATCGAATAGCGAAGATACAGCGTACGGAATAATACGCTATAATTCGATTTTAAATCACAATTCATTGCTATCAGATGCTAGATATTCCTATAAAAAATTAACAGAGACACAATACACTTGGGAAAATCGTAGATTTATGAATTAGTTGTTAATTTTTTTATAGCCCTGATTGGAATATGTGTATTAATATTTAAAAATGATACGTTACAGACGCCGATCTGAGCATGGGCGTAGGTGCAGCAGGTGGCTCGGTCCTCGGTTTACCGGGATCAGGCGTGGGTGGTGTTCTGTCTCAGCATTGTGCGATCTGCGGAGATCGAGCAACAGGAAAACATTACGGAGCCGCCTCTTGCGACGGTTGCAAAGGCTTCTTCCGGCGTTCGGTCAGGAAAAATCACGTGTACACCTGCAGGTTTGTAAAACGAATTGAAATCATCCCTTATTTAAACGAATTTAATATTCTAAAATTCTACAAAAAATAACAGACAGCAGGTGCAAGTTATACTATACGCCCAGTGTCAAAAAACCCTGATAGGTTCCTTCGTTCTCGAGACATTTTTATTTAAATTTTTGATACGTACATGGAAAGAGTAAAAATATGTACAACATAGATATTAAAGCAAACGATCCTTTTTTAATACAAAGACCAAGATAGAATTATGTTTTATTGCAGATTTAGTAGGAACTGTGTAGTAGACAAAGACAAGAGGAATCAGTGCAGGTATTGCAGATTACGAAAATGTTTCAAAGCTGGTATGAAAAAAGAAGGTGAGTGCAGTAGTTTAGTCTTTGATGTCGGTTATTTTTTTACGAGGAAGTTTCTAGTATTTAAAAGCTATTCCGTGTCTGTATTTCAATCTACAGTTTACGTGCATAACATTAAAAATACAGAAATTATCTTCCTTTTTTTTTTTTTTATTTTGTTTGCATGTAGCTGTACAAAACGAGAGGGACCGAATAAGCTGTAGAAGGCCAAGTTACGAGGAGCAGAGTAGCAACGGAAACGGACTCTCCGTGGTTTCTCTTCTTCAAGCTGAGATGCTCAGCAGACAAGTTGGAGCTGCCCTCGAGGTCAGTTTAACTCAATTCTTGTTTTAGTAATTTTACAAAGAAAAATCTAGATCGAAATCTTAGGTAAATTTTGATGTACCAGAGTTGTCAAAATTTTATTGACACTTAACAGAGATATGTCCGTCTCGAAACACGTGGTTTAGCTTTGAGACTGAGCTAATATCACTGCGGTATTATCGCTGTTTGTTATTGACGGTACACGATTGCAACGTTTATCATCTGGTAATTTTCCATGTACACATAAACATACGTTCAATGTTAAAAAAATGTTTTCACACAAGGATGACATAAAACTTGAGAGCATTTCTCTGATACTCGTCATGCGTCAATAACATATCAATATGTTTAAAACACACTTTGATAGTAATACTAGTACCATGAATTAAAATTCGATTCTCGAGTAAGTTATAAAAGGTTTCTCTGCTTGTTTATTTTTTGTCAATGCACCCTTTTGTTTGTTCGTTCGATGGAAACGAATGTATGGGTTCCCGTCTCAATATTTAAGAGATGGAAGAGAATTAATGAAGCTCGTGGGAATATTGGGTCTTTTCAGTGTATGCAAATGACAAAACGGACAGACATCCGGTCACTTCTCCCACGAATAATTGTAATTTTTAGTCCTAAAGTTTCGAACATTTAAATTGTCTCGAATATGCACCCATTAGTATAGTTAACATTTTAAATTTATTTGAACGAACAGAAATGTTTTGTTGGATTTTATTAAGTTTTAAAGGGATGAGATATTAAGGAGGATAATTCAACGTTCCTTTAAACAGCTAGGCAGCCCAGGTGGCGATATTGACCTAAGTACGAAGCAAATCGCCAACATAAACGATGTCTGCGACAGCATGAAGCAGCAACTACTGATCCTGGTCGAATGGGCCAAATATATACCAGCGTTTAGCGAGCTCACCCTCGACGACCAAGTGGCACTGTTGAGGGCACACGCTGGTGAACATCTTCTCCTGGGTGTAGCCAGGCGCAGTATGCAACTAAAAGATGTCCTCCTATTGGGTAACAACTGCATTATCACGAAAAACTGTCCTGGTACGTTTTTTCTCAAGTTTATTGATCATTTGGTATCTGTTGAATGTTCGTATGTTCTAACGATGAAAAGTAGATTGTAGAAAAAGTTGTCATTAAGCAAACTAGTCGACCAATTATCTAGAAACAGACTCAGCATTCCTAGAGACCTGTATCATACTTAATCTGACCTAAGCAACCACTTGGTAGCCTTAAGAAAACTAACCGTTCAGCATGGTGTATAATAATAATAATCTTTATTGAAGTAATCTAAAAAAAGAATAAATTATATTATATATATCCCTGGACTTTCAAAACGAATTAAATTGAAACTAAAAATGTTAAAACAGTATTGAAAATATTATTACGCGTAATAAAGAGTACCACAGAGTATTGTTTCGTCTTTCGATACCACCGATAGATAAGATTTCAGGAGATTAAGCACTATAAAACAGATACAAGCGTAAGAAAAATTCAGTCACCGATAACACGTAATTTAAAGGACACTAAACATCTTAATCGGCGAAAATTGCATTCACGGTTCAAGTCAAAATTTCTAAGTAGCTTAATGATAAATTTTTACGTATCGGTTTGTGGCAATTTGTTTAAAACGAGAACGTTTCCGTGATTTTGTCATTTTTCTGAAACTGTAAATTCACCTAAACAGGTATGGCATAATTATTAGGAAAATGTGGGTGAGTAAATAACAGCATGCATGCGAGAATTTTGTATAGTTTACTAAAAATTCGATTTCCACAAAAGTTTGGCCATTTCGCAGTATTTATTTAAATCGTGGACGTTCGATTAATCGTTGTTTAATTTGTATATAAGCGCAGATAATGTAGGGACACTTTCCTTATCGTTATGTTGAATTTTTGTGGACAACAATTGTGTTTTTAACATTTTTATCGGAGCAAAGCTAAAACGCGCCGAGCGAGATAATCGATAGAAAATCGAACGTCACTCGATGACGATACGGTTGCGATGTATGCGTTCGCTCGTAACAGGAAATTATTTCCTACGATCTCTGATCCCATTTTATCTGACATTTTGTCAAGTACATTTTCTTAAGTCAAGATTTTTTAACATCCATGGATGTTACCGAACAACTGTTAAGAAATCGATAGTCTCGCTGCGTTAGTTGCATGAACTTGTAATGGGGAATAGTAGACTGAGTCCAGTCTTGACGTTGCAATTGCACTAGCATGAGTGCAGATGGGTTCATTCAACTGTGTTGGTTTCGTAGCTTGTAATACCTTGTACTGTATCTGGACTCAGTTGATTGGTTATAGGATCCGATAGGGATGGTTTAACCGTCGTTATCAGTCATATATTTTTCCGCAGAGGGTCGCAATCAGGACCTGGACATCAGCAAGGTGGGTGTCAGAGTGATGGACGAGCTGGTGAAACCGCTGAACGAGGTGCAAATCGACGACACAGAATTTGCTTGCCTTAAAGCAATCGTCTTTTTCGATCCCAGTAAGTTTCTCACAAAACTAAACTAAAATGTAATGTAATACTTTCTCAACTTGCTTTCCAAGGATTCTTTCATTTGGATCCTCGATCAAGCACGTTTTATAATATGTATTATTACGCTATATTGACGTATTCATCGTATCTGATAGAATAATAGGAAAATTCGACGAGTAGTCCCAATTCTAGTTTGAGTAAAGGAGAAATTAGCAAATTCAGTGGATCGATAATCGTCAGCGATCTCGCTTCGCGATCTGCAGTCGAAGGGAACGAAGAATTTGCGTGTCATTCGGCCAAGATGTGCCGGCACGCGAGAACGATTGTCTCAATAAGATTTAATTGATCATTGGCGGCGCGGTCGCCGCCGCCATGCCGAAACGAATTGCAGACGATCCTAGATTCGCTGTTACGAGGTAACAGTGCGAATTTTTTCGAGAATCTCCAACATCGCAAACGCCAATATCAACTGTAACGGTGTGTTTTGATTAAAACGATCGCCCACGACTTCTCTGAGTCGTTACACCTTTCAAACCTTAGAATCAGTCACATCTCTATTGTTTTATAACAAGAGATTCGTTCACAAAGTGATATTATAGTTATCTCCAATATCAACTTTAACGGTGTGTCTTAATTAGGACGATCGCCCACGACTTCTCCGAGTCGATGCATCTTTGGGATCAGTTGCATTTCTATTGCTTTACAACGTTCGTTCACCAAAGTGATAATTCTTTTTATCATCCAAGTATCCTGTTGTATCCTTTCTGTCGATAGATGCAAAAGGGCTGAGCGAACCGCAGAGAATTAAGCAGCTCCGTTACCAGATTCAAATCAACTTGGAGGACTACATCAGCGATCGACAGTACGACAGCCGTGGCCGTTTCGGTGAGATTCTGTTGACTTTGCCGGCTCTGCAGTCCATCTCCTGGCAGATGATCGAGCAGATTCAATTCGTACGGCTGTTCGGAGTGGCGCACATCGACAATTTATTGCAAGAGATGCTTCTTGGCGGTGCTACGGCCGAGGTGAATGGCACCGTGACGCCGATTCCGATCTCAAACGCTGCTGGTAGTTACGTGAGCAGCAACGAGAGCCCTAGCAGTCCTTTGACACCGGCGAACGCGCCTCCTTTGAGTCCTCAGGATCACGTGCTGGCCGGAGGAAGTCCTGTGATGATCCTGAGGGATCTAACGCCGATCCAGAATCAAGAGGACGTGACCAGCGTGACTGGATTCAGGATGTTCAAGCAGGAGCCCAGCCTCGAGAGCGAATCCAGCTTTTAAAGTGTCCTGGCGAGCTCAAAGGTGATCAGGAGATCCTACGAAAAGAGAGTGAATTAGTTCAGTTCGTTGTTACTACCTATCTTGACGATTTTTCTGCTTTCGAGTACTTACGACACGGATTTAAAGATGTTGAAGCACGCCAGGAAGATGGAAAGCATTAGAGAAACAAAGAAGGTACTAGATAGAAGCATTTTCAACGTGATTAGTGTTATTCTTCTTTTGAATCTTTAGACTTCGAAAGGATTGTTTGATATCCGAGAGAATGTTTGGGGATAAAGTATCACAGGATCGTTCGAACAGTGTTAACGGAAAGTCTAAATTTATATTAAACTTGTGATCTTTGGACAATCGTTGAAGAATCCTCGAGACGTTTTTGGAAAGTAAAAGCAAATAATTATATCGAAATGTAATCGAGAAACGTTAAAAAACGTGTAAAAGTTTCGAAGATATTAAGAATTATTTTTATAGATCGTACAGAATTTATGATACTTGAAAATGAAATTACACGTACGTCGAGGAAGTGCTGTTTCGAATATTTACGACGAAAGCAGATCGTAAAATTTCTCGAAAATATTTAATGAACGATAGATAAACAAATATTTTCGGATAGCTTGCTGGATGTCGCAAGATCTTCGAGAAATCGCTAGAATGAAAGTCGATTCTCAGAATTCTCTTCAACATTACGACGATTTTTAGTGATCTTTTTGAACGATTTTTAAATGACAGTGGCACGGATCGAACTTATTTGTAAGTTGTGATTTTTTTTTTCTCTCAAACGTTGCAACAAGAGCAACAGTTTCAAAATCACGGGTTCTCAAAAACCTCGCACTCATATTCCGCATGGTTTGCATACTGAAAGTACAGTTTTTTAATACTAAACCTACCGACACTTCATGTATAACCATTCCTACCATGACCGGTCGAATGACCTTTCTTTTTCTCTTTTACGAGGCAACGTACATCGAATTTTTGCATTATATGTATAGAAAGTTGTGTTCTGAAGTTTATTGAAGTTAAAAAACATAGAAGACAACATAAATTATAAAAGTAGTTATGATCATTGGATGGGGGATGAAATGCCCTTTAAAATGAGAGTTCGTGAGAGTGGATAGCGTAATTAGTTCCCGAGATATAGCGATTTTAGTTTCAAGTCGATGCGGTGGCTAGTTCCGGAGATATAAGGGTTTGTTTACATTTCGTGGTGCGCTCGCGCGAGTTCATTCATCCCGCGCGCGTAGATAGTAAACAGTGCGTAGTAAATTCTTGGAAATACTACGCCGAAACTAAGTCACGCGAGTCACGTGCGCGGGGTAGGTCAGCACCACGCACGTGCGACAAAGAGGTCCGACGCGTTAGACAGAGACAGAGATATTCAAATTAAGAAAAATACCCCTTTACATAAATTACGATATCTCGAAAACGGAAAGTCCGATCGACAAAAATCAAAAGCCGTTTCAAAGAGGAAGGTTCACCGCTGCTAACGATTGCTCAATTTTTAATAAAGCACTAGTAGTTTCGGAACTGCACGCGTCTAAAGTTTTAATATTTTTAATACGCGTTGTTACACTGTCTAAAACAGTGGAAACTGAACTCTTTACATCGAAAGCTAACCAGAATATGATACCAAATACCGGTCGTGGTAGGTTTAGTGTTAAATTAATTTCGTGTCCAATATATAGAGATGTAGTTGGCAACCGTTTGAAATACTGTGCGATCTCAAGTTTTTGAGTAACAATCGTGCTAAATATTGCTCAATTAAGGTAAGGTAAGGTCGAATAATGTGACACGAAATTGTCTTGTCGCCGCGAAGTCAATCTAATTAAATAAAGTCATTAATTATCTATTTCTCTCTTTTTTTTATTTATTTTATACAACGTTCATGCAAGTAAAATTATTAGAGGAATTAGCAGTTAGTGTAATCGAAATCGAAGAATGGTCCTCGAGTTCTAAAGAAACAATATACGTATACAAATTGGCGTCGAAATAAATGGTCTCACTGTGGTAGCGTATTCGACTTTTTCTAAAGATGGTAAATAATCATATAACCATAACTTTTCATTTTCGAGATACAATCGGAAAAGAAGAGTTTCTAAGTTTATACGATCTCTTCTTCCATTTTTAAAAGGAATAGAATAGACTATCAAAATGGGACCACCAATTTCGAAGCCAGCCAATGTATATACATATACAAAATAGTTCATTATTATTAATTTTTTAAAAGGAATCATTTTAGTGTCATTTGAGTTTTGTAACGTAGTAAGTTTATGTTTAACAGATAGCAATTTTTCTATTTTAATTATTTAACCTCGTTAAGAATATCTATTCATTTGATTGAATTGTAAACGACCGACCTCTGAATACGACAATATTATAATTAATTGTTACACACGTAGGAATTAAGTTTACTGTTATTTATACAAAGGGTTAATTATATTATTTATAATACATTCCTGCAGAGAATATTTTTGTTATCGCGATAATCATCTTGTTACCCCATGTTGTAAATGTAATGTATTATAGAGACACAGTGATTAATGATTTTAATAATAATCGACTATTTTCTATGTACAGACAGTAATACCTCGTTAATTGATCGACTTTATTCTCTGACAACTGAAGCTGTGAATAGCTAGATTTCATCCAATCTCGATAGTAAATAAACAGGAGTAACTCGATTTCTGATCGGTTAACGAAGTAATACCGTAACTTAGAGAAATATAGGTGCGTAAAACACGGGATGCTGAAAAAGTGTTGTTATTAAACCCAATCTCAATAATGGCATTAAATCCAGTTTATTCCGTAGAGGAGAAAAGGAATTATACCAAAACAAAGACAATTCTTAATCTCTTAAAGGATAGTGGCACATATATGTACGTTTACTTCTTAATTTATTTTAAGTATTATAATATGGAAGTCACTACTAAAATTATGTGCGTACAAGAAACGAGAAAATGATTAGCACATAGTTTTAGCACCTCTCTTTATAAAGAACGAAGCACACGCCATTGCAATGCAATTAATTCTTAGCGAAAGAGTAAGTACACTCGCTTCCCATCCTACAGAGCTGGGGGAAATTGTTATTCAAATAAAAATATTCAATATCGAATAATATACATCACCGTTATAAAAATAAAAATAAAAGTTTTTTATTCATTCTATTGGTTATTTATGATTTGAATAAAATTTTCCCCGCCTCTGCCATTCTAGTTACCAAATGAAATACATTTCATTGCGTAGAATTATTGTTGTGCCAATTTATGCTAGCGTTTAAAGAATTATATTTGTATGCAGCGGTTCTTTTGTCGCATGTGATGTACCTCGAGTTAATAGACTAAAAAGGTGATAAATTTCAACAAATTTTCGGCCATCCCTGGGGAAAATTTTAATGGAGGATTCTAGAGGCCAAAATAAGACGAAAATCAAGAATACCAATTTGTTGATGGAGGCTTCGTTAAAAAGTTAGTAACAATTAAATTCAAACATTTCAAATCGTTCTAAAAAAATTATTTTCGGTTGCAGGGGTCAATTGCAATCATTTTTGGTCAATAGACATACCCTCGATATCCTAGCCAGTTTCTAGAAAAAAATTCGAGAAAGTGTGAAATTTTTCGGCGAAAAAAATTTTTCCAAATCGTTCTGGAAAAATTATTTTCGATTGCAGGGGTCAATTGCAATCATTTGTTGTCAATAGACATACCCTCGATATCCTAGCCAGTTTCGAGAAAAAAATTCGAGAAGGTGCTGAAAATTTTCGACGGAAAAAAAAATTTCAAATCATTTTGGAAAAATTACAATTAGTTACAGGGGTCAATTGCAATCATTTTTGGTCATTAGACATACCCTCGAAATCCTACCCATTTTCGAGAAAAAAATTCGAGAAGGTGTGAAATCTTTAGGCGAAATTAAAAAATTTCAAATCATTCTAAAAAAATTATAATTAGTTACAGGGATTAATTACAATAATTTTTGGTCATTAGACATACCCTCGATATCCTAACCATTTTCAAGGAAAAAATTCGAGAAGGTGCGAAGTTTTCCGACGGGGAAAAAAATTTCAAATCGTTTTGAAAAAATTATTTTCGGTTGCGAGGGTCAATTACAATCATTTTTGGTGAATAGACCTACCCCCGAAATCCTACCCGTTTTCGAGAAAAAAATTCAGTACGGGCGGAACTTTAATTGTTAATAACTTTTTAACGAAGCCTCCATCAACAAATTGGTATTCTTGATTTTCGTCTTATTTTGGCCTCTAAAATCCCCCATTAATATTTTTCCCAGGGGTAGTCGAACACCCTGTATATTGCAAATATTATTACTGTTATTTTATTTTGGCCGATTAAAAAGTTTTCAGAATTTAGAAACAAAAATAGAAATAAAAAGCTGTTTCCATCTGTTATCAGGCCAAGTATTGCTCAGTCTTGTGTTTAAAAAACAATGAAACGATTAAGCAATCCTGCTAAGATCTGGTAATGTAATTAAATTAAAATAATCTAATTAGTATAAGGGACATTCGTATAAATAATTAAAGGAAACGTAAAATTCACTTATGGCAAACGTTCAGGAACTTAGCAGGGTCAATTTTTTAATTAACGTTTACGACAATTATTCGAATCCTCGCGAATGGATTTCTAAGAAGATATGTAATGATTCTAATGGCACAATTATTTTAAGTTACATGGTCCCAAACATTTTATTTCTTGTTCCATACTTTTGCTCAATAAGAAAAACATTTTACAATAATAAAATCGCTGATTTCATACGTTCGTCGGAATTTCTCTTAGATTTTATATTTATGGCCGGATAGGAAGCAATAATACAAATAATTTACGAATATTTTAAACATTACTACATACTATAGTAGTACTAAATCGTAATGCGAAATATAATATATAAATATAGTTTTTTATGTAATAAATGTGCGCGCAATCAAATTGTAAATTAGTCAAAGTGATAAACATTGTCATTAATAAACAAGGAAAGTGGTTAAACAAAAGACAACTTGTATCGACTTTCTGCATAAATATTTTCTATTGTATTTATTTTTCTATGAGTTTTGTTTTTATTACATTTAAAAGAAAAACTTGAACAACAACGTGTAAAGTAAACTATATTAGTTAATAGAAATATGAAATTAAAGAATATAATAAATAAATTACGTTACGAATGTTTCTTATCGCACGTCAAACATTTTCTGTTACAAAACACACACACACATTCTTCTGGATCTTCATCTTTTCATGTATCTTTATGCTTTTCATATATTTATCACTGTTCTCGTTATTTCCAACACCTTCAGAAGTAAAAGATTTGTCACGAAAACGCGCAACAAGTAAGAACAATTGTATTCAAAATTAAAAGCTAATGATGATACAATTAAACAATCAACGTCCACGCTTGTGCGGTCAATTCGCTTTGGTCACCGATAGATCAGAGTCTTTTCAGGTTTATTTAAAAATATTACCAAGTAAATAATAAATATCCGTGCAATTATGCTTTATGAAAAATGTTAATCGAGCTCGTAGTCCACGCGTTTGCGTTTTTTTAAGTTCGCCGTAATTTCAGAAGGAAGAATGCTATTAGTACCCATTTTCAGCCATTCTGACAAACGTTCTCTAGCCTTTATTCCAGACTGATAAATGTTCCTTTCGAGTCGAGGAAGTTTAATATCCAACGTTGGATCGGATGTCGGGTTTTGAGCCCAATCCATAACTAATCGAAAACGAGACTTAAACGTCTAAAAATAAAAATAGAAACGACTGAAATTCCTATAACAATATGTACTTTGAATTTACAACGATAATCTTGAAAAAGTACAGAGCTATTCCAAATTTTAGCTGCCTGACTTACTGTACAAGTCGAATTTAATTTCTATACTTACGATCTGTTAACTGATTTACCTGTAACAAACTTTTAGTTATCAGTTCGGATTCTCTGGCCCCGAACTTCTGTACATAAATTCCTAATTCGTAAAAGTAAGGATTCCATTTGCTTAAACCAACAGCATCCGCAGCGGCTTCTAAAATTTCCCTAGGAGATAGGTTCGTTCAAATTTCTAGACCGTACAACCTCCTTAAGACATTTAAAACACAAAGGGAATGCAACCACAAAGTTAAACGTACTAACAAAGTCCTTTAACCCATTCGAGACGGCCATTTTTTCAAACAACCGTCCCCAGGAGCAAAGAAAAGTTACTCTCCATTAAACACACGGTATGCAATCGGTCTCGAATGGGTTAACAACACGAGAAGGCTATATATATCAAGCCCGCTATTGAAATGATTGTTTTTTTGTCTAGAAATGCTAGAAACACCTACATCCTTTTTTGATTGTACAAGTACATAGAAACACAATTTACTAAAGTAACATATTATTTTTAGCATTTGTTTAAATTAGAAGCAAAGGATAACATAAAAAATATAATGTTACAACTTATATGAAACAGAATTATTAAGAACTTGGCCCATAGAAGTTTAAATATCATTTATGGCCATATAGACGCAACGAGAACAGCAGGAATAAACAAAAATATTAATAATCATACCTATATCCTTCCTTATATATACTCGGTACATCGACGCTGATTATGCGATTCTGCAAGCTTGACAATGATTCTGCCAACCATAATGGGAATTGTACCTTGGTTCCCGCGCTCAAATTGTCCGTTTGGGACGAGGAATCCAAGAAACCTTAAACAAATAGAGTATTTTCATTTTAGCTGTGTCCTACGTCCTCATTATGCTACATAAATCATTGTACATTAAACACTGCGTTCAAACTACATTTTACAATTTGTTATAAATTAATTATTACCTAATCCAGGCAACTCTACTTCGATTTTGCAGAATAAACGTTCCTCGGTGCACAAAATATCATTCAACGCGAAATAATTAGGCGAGTAACTTTGATGGAATGCCATTTCAATAATTCTACATAAAAAAACGCGGGAATAACTTCATGCACTACTTCGACGCTAGGCGGCATTTTATGCTGTATTTTGCTGCGCCATCTACGGCAAAACGTCCAAGTTTCTCGAGGAATAATTCACTTTTTGTACACTAGATGGCGCCCCGATTATTTACGATCGAAAACTAATTTCAATTTATTTATTAATGCAACAATAGGGTACTCGGTAATTTAGATCACTTGTAAATGCTCCACAATTAACGCCTAAGGTCCAAACTTGCCTAGAAACAATCCTATTCCTGTCAGAAGACATCGCTGACCTAAGCCACAGGCAAGTCATTAACGGACAGGAATAGGACTGTTTTTAGGTAAATTTGGACCTTTGGCGTTAATTGTGGAGTATTTACAAGTAATCTAAATTACTGAGTACCCTATTGTTGCATTAATAAATAAATTGAAATTAGTTTTCGATCGTAAATAATCGGGACGCCATCTAGTGTACAAGAAGTGGAATTATTTCTCGACAAACTTGGGCGTTTTATCGTAGATGTCGTCCTGAAATATATATAGATACATATACAGATATACAGTGAATTACATAGTTATTATAATAATAATAAGTTTTAGACACTGTTTATTATTATACAGTGTATAACACAGTAAAACAGTGTATACCCTTAATTCGATGTGAAACTATGTACAAGCACACAGAGAAAGATAGAAATTACGAATACATCTCGCATCTCCCTCACTCCTTGAGCTGTGTAGGCAGTCCCTTCATAACTGGCTCGTGCTTAGTTCACAAAAGGGCCCTAACATTTATTGTAACATTATTACAAGTGTTATTATTAATGTAATATCAATTATCGCTGCATATCGGTTATATTGCCATAACCCTGATTGAAACCGAAAGATCGTTTTTTACAATACACGAGTACAGTAGTTTTTCTAGAGTTTTACCAAATATTTCAATACACACGCACTAAAAATGGATATTACGTGTGGCCCCTTGTGGGACTGGATTAACAAATTATAATATACAAATTGTTTGAAAATGAACAAAAGAACAGTAAAGGAAAGAAAGATGTTGATGTAACTGCATTAGAACATACCATATTATTTTGCATATTGTTATTCATCTTTCCTTACGAGACAGTTTGTATGGCAATAAAAACCGCTCGCCTTTATTTATTCGTTTATTTCGACATTTCAAGATGTATGGACAATTATTACATAATAATTATATATATTTATATATGTATAATGAGAGAGCATTCTCCTCTCGCAACATTCCATTTTTCATTCCCCGGATATCCCCCTGCCCCCTATCGTTCACTCTCTCTCTTCCCTTTCCTCTCTCATCCTGTCGTTCTCACTCTCCCTTTGTTTCTTTATCATAAAAGAATGAAAAGGTAAAAGTAAGAAAGAAACGGCGTTGATTCGTCAACCCTATGAATGATTTTACGAAACGATTTGGTTTTTGGGCGCATTATTTTTATCATTTGATCACAAAAGATTGTGAAATTTTTTCCCATTTTTTTTCCTTTTTTTTTTTCATCCACGTCCCTTATTATCATTTAGCGTTTATCAATAAGATTATGATCATTACCATTAATCGTTACAATTACGATAATAACACTAGTGTTAGTTACTCCCGTACTTTTCCCGCGATTTTCCTACCCCCACCATGCGGCCACCTGTCCCCTCCCGCCACTCAGGAACCCTGACGTCACGTTTTTAACCGCGAATTACAATTTCTGGCGTACCGTCAATGAGTTACGACCGCCAAACCATCGTTCGATAGTAATTTTTCACTCTACTTTTTCATTCTTTATTTTATTTATTCCTTTCCGTGGCCTCTCACGCTCTATCTCTCTCACACACATCATACGTTTCGCATATCAATATTTCCCGTACATAAGAATTTTGTCCCCGTGAAAAATATTTTTCGTTCGTTACTTAATTTCCTTTTTTTTATTTTTTTATTTTATTAACAATACATATATATACATATATATGTATCCTTCGCTGCAACTTACGAACTGCAAACTGCCAGCGACACGTTTTTCGATATGCAATTTAATAACGTATCTTTTTACGTAGTATCTTTCTGAATGCAAATTCAAAGTCTGCGATTAAATTATTATAATAGCATTCAGGCTCGAGAGCGTCGTTTGTTAGAAATTGCAAATCGAAAATTCGTAGGTTGTTAATACAATAAATATGAATAGAAACGTGTGCAGAATTTGCAAAATAGATTCGTTGGGTTTGTCGCTAATTAATATGGGAGAAAAACGAAAAACGTTCAAATAATTATAAAAGAACTAGATATCAACGACAAATGTAAAGTAGAAAATATCGTTCAGAATAATAATTAGTGAAAAAGAAACTGATTCCTGAAAGTGGCTCTTGATAAAAAAATTTATCACCTTCTTGCGACCATACATGACTAATAATTTTTCTGATTCTGATCAGGGAAACATAGATTTGAGGAAATTACGGTACGAACGGTATTACGATGCTGTACCAGCAAAAAATTATAATTAAAAATGCAGTTTAATTCGTACGGTTTATCGTCCTATGTTATTATAAATTACTGTAACTCAATAAAATACAATTTCTGGTTTAAAAATTGCACATAAAGAGAACTACTCTTAAATTTGTTTAAAAATTATGAACGTTGTTGAGGTACAATGATCGAGTAATAAGACTATAGTCTGGCCGGCGAAAAAAACGATTTTTGGGACTCCCCATTCTTTCACAACTCGTTTCCTTGACTAATGATTCTTAGGTACTTGTCGATTGGTCATTATTCGGTAAAAAATTAGCGATGGGAAACGAGTGTATCGCGTGTACATTTATTTATACGAGTGTTTGTAAAAAAAAAAAAAAACCTACTGGCAATCGTCGATACATATTTAACTTGATCCTAACATTAAATCAACCATTCTTTATAAATGATCATCGATATAAAACATTATTTATTACTTGTTACTTTTAATTCAAAGCACTCGTTTCTTTCTATGTCCATTGATATCATTTATTGTTTGAAATAACTACAACGTAAATGATGTAATATAGACAATGCCAATTTTAAAAGCAAACTTATACAATATTGTTTACGTTTTAAGCCAAACAAATCATTTTCAAAAACTATTCAAATTGTTGATGACAATGTGGCTGTAAGTATATTATAGTTGGACGCCTCGTTTAATTAAAAAAGAAATGAAAATAGATACGTATGAAAAAATGCCTAATAACTAAATACTTTTCACGTTTATATTTATATCTGTACATTGTAAACGCAACCGACGTTAAATTTCTGTGTCAATACGTGTAATTATGGAACACTTTTTCATACATATTTGGTTTAGTTTAAATTTCATTCATTTCTTTCTTAATTAAAACCATAATATTGTACTCTTATAAGATATCAATGAAAACATAAACAATATATTGTTTGCTTGCCTTTAGGACTAACATTGCTTATATTGTGATTCCACTGGAACACTTACAAGCCTCTAAAGTGCGTTGTATGCGAATGAAATGGTTTTGTGTAATGATTAATTATTTATAACATTTAATTATTTCATATTATACTTCAGTATTGTCTCTTCGAACATTATGCACTTCTAGATTATTCAAGAAAGTTGTACTTTATATGTTTTTATTACATTGTAAATAAAAAATACATTATTTGTAAATAACAAATAATAAATAACTTATTTAAAATTTATCTCTTACATCTCGGATTTATGTTATCATTAATCAATGATATATAAATAGATAGATAGATAGATAGATATGTAGATAATGTATACAATGTATAAAATATTAGTAAGTTGTAATAATAACAATAATAGTAGTTACAATAATAATGAATATTATTAACGAAAATCGTAAAGTGTTTGAAATACTTCGCTACAAGCGTTCGGAACAACTCGGTTTATTCGTCAGCCGGACTATAGGTTCGTTTTAAATATTTTAACAGTTCTTTCCTAATTTCGCAAATAATTAAAAAAATTTTCTTTATTCTACGCTGTCACAATGTTTCAATGGTTTTGTTCGGATTTGAATTTCCAACAAAATTAATTAAACATCTTCGATTAATAAGTAAATATACCATATCCTAGAATTTTCTGTTTAGATTAAACGCGTTAAACGAAACAATCATTTTCCATTAAAATATATTTTTTAACTTAGAAAAACATTTTCTTTTCTTTTATTTACCATCGACTACATAAGTGCAATTTATTTGGTATATTTCAATTAACGACCAGATCGAATTCAATTAATATTCAAATAAGATTTCTTTCTTGTTCAATGTTAAACTAATCTTTACCTCGATCGTGTTTGCACGAGTTAGTACTTTTTCCTAACTTGACTAGAAATTCTATGTATGTACTTATTTATACATAATTATAGCTACTACATATAGAAATACTTAATTAATTCATTAATTAATCCATAACTCCTAAAATTAGGGTGTGTTTATGCGTGTATGAATTTTATAGTAATATGGCAACAGCGGTGACACTAATACTATTTTTGTATCCCTAGATCCAACTAACGATATAAAAATAATTCTTAAAATCAGCGTAAAAACAGAAACAAAACGTCGAAGCCTGAATGAAAAAAATGTTTTCTTTTTTGGTACTCGTGGTCGAAAGAAAAGTAATAGCTACACTCTTGCCCTTTTCTTTACACGTGATTCAGACTATTATCAATTTCGAGATTACTTAATTTGTTACGTCATAATTATTGTTCTACTCGGTTCTTTGGTTGTTTTTGGTTAAACACTCTCCTCGGTTATTAGTTAAATTATAATATAATAACGTGGAGTTGCAACTGCAACATTTCTTCTAAACTGATCGTTTGAAAATTTATGCAAGTATTATTAATTTATATATAAATGCATTGAAACACTTTTAGACAGGAGCATTCAAATTTAAAAAAAAATACTACAGTTTCTGTAGTTAAAATCCCAACAAAAAGCGTCATAAAATATATTTCTTAATCTCCGCTACGATGTCAAAGTTAATAAACAAATCGCTAGATCAAATAATTTGTTAGAAAATTCTTGAGATAAATTTGCAGCTGCAATTTTCATTAATTAAATATTTCATTTAAAAAAGAATGGAAGAGAACTGCATTTGTACGTGGAATGTTTCATTCGTAGTTGTAAATCACTATTTTTTAACGTATAGTAAACAAAATTATGTTCGCAAACTTCCAAAATATTGTTAAGAACATAAATTTAACAATCTGTAAGAGAAACTTGTTCCAACAATGGAAGTTTCACAACTGTTTTCTAGTTTACTCGGTGGAATCAGTTTTTTTCGTCCTTTTAACGACGCGAAGATTATTTCTGTTTCGATCCAAAAATATGTATATGCGTGTGCGTGTGCAACTGTGCGGAAATGTTTGTAAATTTGTGTAAATGTGCGTATCGATGAAACAAATAGACTTTTAAGTCAGTTTAAAAAGTATCAAAATGTACAAGTACACGTAAATCTTTCGATCGACATGAAACAATATCTATCATCGATTTTTTCAGCTTTAATATTCTTCGAGTTAAATTATTAAAATTTTCAGAATCCCGAAGATTAATCGAAAACATCGATAAACTAAAATTGTGCAATTTTAATTGTGAATTTTGCAATCGGCTTAATTTTAAACTTCCTTTTATATATCATGAGTTTTGAATTTTTGTGCGTTCGAGTGTTACAATTCATTTAAATTGTTTCATGTACTCAGCCTTTTAATCTTTCGATCGACACAATTTTAAAACGTTTACATTGGCAAAGCATTGAGCATTCTGGGTGGTCCTTAGTGTTCCGACATTGATCGTGCGATCTTTTATTTTTCTGATTCAGTCTTCCGATTCAAAGCAACTGATCGAGAACTTAACATTACCGCGTCATTGTTTAAAAAAACAACCGACGTGTTTAAACGACATTTAAAAAATTGCAAAGCACGTATTTTCTCGTCGATTACTTGTGCGCGACTTATGCGACCGACAATAAACAATAAACGTACTCGTTTAAGTAAAGCTAAGACGTTGAATAATAGTTGTACAATGTACGAGGGGGGAAATAATCGTATTTTGTACGACAAAAAACGTTCAGAGACACTTCCAGGTAGAAAATTGATAAAATTCGATACTCATAATCGTCGTAGAATAAATAATAATAATTTCATGACAAAACCATATTTGCTTTCTGGCAAAATATGCGATCAACAATAATTCTATTATTAAAATTTTATATTTATAACACGTATATTTCATTGCTTTTAGATCGGTTTTGTTGCAAAGATAAAATCACTGAAAGGAATCGCTTAATGAAAATGAGGAGAATTGATATTTAAATGAAAATTAAAGCAAAGAAAATTAGGAACTACGTATTTTACACGTTGACGACTCGCTTGCTAACTCGCAATAAAATTAGATTAGAAAATGTTGAGATCCAAGTGTGCTTTATGATTGGTCTTTGTGCTAAAAATCTGAATCGATCATCAGTGAGTCTCGTTACAATTTTTCATTTAAACGCCAAATCTTCGAGGATCGAACTGTTGTCTTCGACTTGCGTGTAATCTTTTCACTCTTCGTTGATCGGACAAGTTACATTGCTTTGAACAAGCAATTAATTCGTCTCGATGAGCTATTAAAACCGATTAGATTGAACTGTTTGCAACGAACGTTCAAGTATCTCTAATTTATGTAAGTTCTAGTTCCTAGAAACTGAGGTAACTGATCAACAGGCCGGTATTCGGATGGATTAGTAGAAAGTTAATGTATTGTTCGTAACTTCCAGAATTAATACGATTATCGAAGTTTGTTCTTACTAGGAAGTTAACTTGGTGGAAAAGCGGACTGATCGAAATTCAATGAAACTCCAAATATGGCGTAATAGTAACTTACATAACTTAAAGATACTTAAGCACAGAGATTCAGTTCTTTTTAGCTCGAGAACGTAATCATTGCATTGGCTTTAAATGCTGAATCCCCATTTGCAGAGTCGGTTAGTTAGTGGGGTCTCTCTCCTCTAAATTCTAGCTGTTCGTTTACCGCAAGAAAAGACAACGTCCAAAGGGATAGGACGAAAGGGTTCTTGTTAAAGAAAACAAAGTTGAGAAGGTATCCGCAGGTGGTCGGTAGTAGTAGCGGTGGTACTTAAGTGTCCCTCTCTTTCTCTCACCTTCTATCACCCTCTTTCATTCCAGCTGTCAGTCTCTCACTCTCTCATTCTCACGTGTTCCCTCATTCTCACGATGTCCCTCGTTCTCGCAACATGTCTGTCGTGTTTATGTGTGATTGTGAGTGTGTGTCGGTCGATCGGTTCCGCGACGAGAATATTTATCCTAATAGAGACCGCAACCACGGAGATTAGTGGCGATAATGACATCTGTGACTGCGTCGAACACGAACTGAATGTTGTTTGTATCAGTGGCGCAAGTCATGTGGCAGTAGATCTCTTTAGTGGTTGACTTGTTCTTCGCCTCGAATTGCGTCTGGATGTACCCCGCGGCCCCTGCGAACTCTTGCGCCCCTGTCATACACAATAAACACCTTCGTTATCCCTAATTTTCTACACGTTTTAATCAACGAGTTATCCCTTCTCTTCGAGTTATTCTATTTTCTTTCCTTTCTTTGTTCTCTCTTGAAAATTTACTTCATCGACCAAGAGGAGGTAATTTTATCAGTGGTAACATTATCAACGAGTAGTTAGGTGCGCTTTACACATGTACTTTCAAAATAAGCGTAATATCAATATTCTATCTTTCTTCTGCTATACCTATCTTCTTCTCTTACCGCTTCCTATTCAAGAGATTTATTAAACCTCCTAAAGACAAGGTTTATCGAATTAGCCTTACCGAGGAGTTAGCCAGCATCCCTAAAAAATCTATCCAAAGGAATTTGCAACTCTCTTTCACAGTTCTTACATTTATCACTGAGCTGTGATTCGATAAAACGGTAGATCGTAATGAAAATAGAATCTTACCGGCATACTCAGGGAAGCAAATCGTGAGCGGTGACTTGCGAATTTTCTCCTCGAAGAGATCCTTCTTGTTCAAGAAGAGAATAATCGAGGTGTCAGTGAACCATTTGTTATTGCAAATTGAGTCGAACAGCTTCAAACTCTCCTGCATTCGATTCTGTGAAAAGAGATATAATTATATAACTAAACAAAAAATCAAATAAAGAATAAATCATTCTAGGGAGGACAATTGGAGACTATCGGAACTATCTTTCTTCCTCGCGTTCAAGTGTGCAGTATGGTGTGAAAAGCTTTGGTTTCTGGGTTCTTGAGTTTCTTTATTGTTACGAATTCGTGCACCGTGACGGATCACGTATCTTCCCAAGTGCATTAGGGATCATAATGTTAGTTTAGTAGGTCGCTAGGATAAAAAGATAATAATGCGAAGGAACGGAGAATCGCTTACCGTCGTTTCATCTTCATGCAGGACTTGATCATATTCGGACATCGCAACGCAAAATATGATCGCGGTAACGTCTTCGAAGCAGTGTATCCACTTCTTACGTTCGCTTCTTTGGCCACCCACATCGAACAATCTGTCGCATAAATTTCAAAAGCACAATGATACGATTATGTTTTAAACTTTATTTAAAAACATTTACAAATATATAGGGTGTACCAAATAAAGTGTTACACAAGTCATTTCAGCACAATAATATGCGCAATAGTATTATTGATCGTTGATTATCGATTGCATCAATTTCATACGATTAGTACGAGATTAATATTTACATTTAAGGGTGGATTTTACCCCTCAGACACCTGTTTCCAAATGTACAAACGCAGTTTTTTTTTTCTAATATGGCAGGTTTATTGGAATAAACCCATAGCAGCACAGGGGGGGACAGGGGTTACGGAAAAGAACAGTTTCCTGGATTCGATAAGAGAGAATAGCTAAAATATATTGTAAAACAAAAAATAATCGAGACCTGTCTGTAAACGTCAACGTAACTAATAAAAAAAAAATATAATCTGCCCTTAGAACCACTGTCGATCGAACCAACCTCCTTACAGTTTAAAAAAATTAATATTCGAGCCGAGCAAATGAAAATAAAAAGTAAAACGTATGCGTCGAGAATGTTTAGTTACAAAAATTAATAGAAAATATAAAGATATGATACAGAGTATAAAAAAATACTTACAAGGGAAGTTTGGGAATCCGTTCGTGCCATAATTCACTTTTAGGGGGTGAAATCAACCCTTAAAGAAAATGCAAAATTATCTTTCTCGTCGAATATCTCGAGAACGGTGAGGGATATTGAAAAAAAAAACGTTTAAACAAAGGTTGTATGTGTTTTTAGGTTTATATGATCGTGTAAAAAATTTTGAAAAGTTTTCCTGCACCAATCTATTAACGATTGACAAACCTATACGCTTTACTTACAATTCTCGTAGCAGAATTGATTGTAAATACTCCAAGCTATAATAAAACAAATTAAACCCTTAAAGCTCGCTTCTTTTTTATTAAATTTATTACGACGGTTTATAAATTTTTGCAATCGCTTTTCACGATGTGGTTGAATATGAAATACATCGCTTTAACGGTATCTACACCATTCAGGATGTTAACACGAACAATTTAAACTGTTATTATATTATCGTAAATGTAAAAGATAAAGAAAACAGTTCGATTATGGAATGGAGAACAGTTTCTCCTTTGTTAGAATTACCCTAATATTCCAAAAACGATAACATTCTTTCGTATCAGTGTACACTGATAAAATTACATCTGCATTTGAATTTTACTCCAAGCAACAGGTAGAAACAAGTTGTCATAAACAACGATTCTACTCGTTTCTGTAATAAACCTGTAACTTGTTCATTACAAATGAAGTCAACAATGAATAAATACATGTCCATATGTTGCCTTATTTCATGAGCATTATTCATTTATCGAAATAAATAATCTTTTGTCTGTAACGTTATTTAATACCATCTATAGATTCGAAAATATTCGACCGAGTTGATTTAAATGGGACACCCTATATGACCCTATATGTATATCGACGATTTTATTAATAATTTTAGTTTCAGCTTAGTGATATAAATATTATTTATAAATAAATTGATAGCGCAACGACTTACTTGAAATTAAGATTCTTGAAGCTAAAGTGGACTTCAACTATACCCGTGGTTTTAACACGAGTCCTTAAAATATCTTGCTCTGTAGGCTGATAATCCCTTGCTCCTAATCGGTTTAGGTCGTCCAGGAAACTGGAATATCAAACAAATTGCAACATATTAGTCATATGTCCTAATAGTTCTAGAAATCTTAATTGGTATTAAATATCCTGTTTATATATTTTGTACGAACAAATCATTGGTATCCATAGGATGAAAAAAATTCTTTTTCATAAGTTATTCATTGTATAATGGAGACGCGTTATGTCGCCGCAGATGGGGTAGTAAGAGAGGAAAATTTTCTGAAATGATAGTACGTTAACATCCCTTCCACGCGGACAGAAGCGTGCACACGAGCGGGAAAGTGGCGAGATATCCTATAAGCGTTCAGATGTAAATATTTACATATATAAAATGGAAAGAAAACTGCTTTGTTTTCATAATAACAATGGTCGTCGAAATATGTGCATAAGTAATTTTTTTATTAATATTTACTCTGCACTTAATTTGGGTTTCGCCCTTACTACCCCCTTCTCTTTTAAGTCCTGCTTTAATTCCCAACTCTTTTGGTGATTATTAAGTGACCAATTATTACGAATTTCTCAACAGAAGTGGAGTTTTCTTTCCATTGTCTTCTCCCCTCTTCCTAGCCCTCTCATTCTCCTATCATTCTATTTTCTTCCTCTTCCTCGCGTAAAGGAGTAACAGAGTGAAATACGAAACAGTCGGGGGTAAGGTAAGATTGAAAACGAGCGAGCATGTAAGTACCAACAGAGGGAGAAAAAGAGGGGATGGTGTCGGCGGCCATTTTAGGCCACGTGACACGGGCGTGGCGTGACGTCATCGTCGATCAATATGCTGCTGAATCTAAATAAGAGAGAAGGACAAACTGAAAAGAAGATAACGTTCAAATCCTCAGAAATGCATATTTTTTATGTTTCTTTTATCTACGATTCCTATATTCCACCGAAATCAATTCAATATAAAGAAATCCGACGGTACTTTGCTAACTTAGATCTCTGCATACTTGAGAACGATCAAATATTTAGGAATTATTCAATTCCTTCTATCTATTCAAGTACACTAATTAAAATATCGATATAGGCTGAATAGTACATATAGTCTACGTCTTCATAGCTAGAGTATAATGCCACATTTAGGCGTCGAGACTGAACAACGCTTATCCCAGTAACAGATGGGAACAGACCTGTAGCCTATAGGATCTTTTTGGTCCAAGATGGCGTACCAATTGTGCTGCTGGTTGCACTTTATTCCTTGTACTCACCACCGGTACAAGTTATTAATTTTAGGACCCTGTACGATTATTTGAAATTACAGTTTGATCTCGTCGTGTAATTACAAATCTTTTCACATTTCTGAAGGAAATGGAAATCGTACAGTGTTTCTAATACTACGCTCGAGATATCTGGGGCAGTAGGAACAAGGCAGAGAGCGAGGGAGGCGGGGTTGGTTCTCGTTCATGGAACTCTCCTTGCCAAGCTTCTTCTTTGACACGACTATAGACAACGAATAAAATTAATTATGTATATTCTATGCTTATGCTTTATTTAAACATTTGATTTTTGCCAATGTAACAAAAAATTCTCTTACCACCCTCGCTCCGTGATCCTTTAGGAACAAAGTCCTCGTCCTTTAGCAATACGTTTGCAAAACCCTTACGTTCCCTAAACTATGCCATTGTCAATGACTTATTTCGCCATCGATACAGCTATAAAAGACCTTTAGAAAGCCAAGTAGCGTCGGGCTATCTGCATGCAAAATATCCTCCATGTACATCGCGACTAATATAAGACAGTATTAATCGTTCTGCTTACTATTTCGCCGAATCGTTGAGTTGATACTCGTTGCTCCTGCCGAAGCATTCCTGGACCCCGTTGTCTGCCCAAAGCCTCTTCATCGCAGCTAGGAGCTCCTCGCTGAAGGGCTCTGTGTCCTCCATTCTTTGGATTACGTCAAATACCATTTTCGCGTCCGTCTAGAAAACAATTTTTCAACTTATTATTGGCCTGAAAAGTCCCTGGTTCTATTTCCAATCATATTAACAAGTGATTTATTCTTTAGTCATTACATCAAAGTGAATGCTATAGTTTTTCGAAATCTTTTAACGTATCAGACGCTGTGAATAGTATCACCAGTTTAAGGACTGAAGTTAAAAGTATCAGAAACGAGAGGATCTCATTAAAATTTTAAGAAGAACCGAGACTTCCAAGACTGTCTGGGTTTGAATTATATCTGAAGCGTCTGCGACCACTTTGGATGCTCTTAATTAGACACTGGTGGCCAGAGAGACGAGCACGATGAATATTTCTAACGAAGAGAGTATAAATTAGTATGTGGAGGGATCGGATTGAGAACCGCTGGTTTGAAAAGTCGGATCAATCGGTACTCGAGGCAGCCCTTCATGCTTGTTGTTTTTAAGGCGGCGGCTCGTTATTCGCTCTAAGGTAAACGACGCAGCCGCGATGCTGCACGATCGGTAAATATGCCGAAGAGGGTGCTTCAGAACTGCCTCGAGATGCGCATCGATCGTTCAAGTGCACAGCCCATCGATAATTTTTGACTTGCTTCTCTATAGCCCCTTAGCCTACAATCTACACCGCGATTTTCAGAGGTTCTTCCAGCCCTCGCTACACAATTTTCATCGTCGTCGCTGAAACACTTTAAAGCCGAGAGAAATTAATTTTAAGACCACTTGAAAACACTCGTTTGCATTTGAGAAGGTACTTGCGTGTGATCAAACTAAGATTTATCTTCCTCGGAACCAATCCCGCCGTTCATAAAAAAATCATCATCTACAAGTTGCTTCGATAAAACGCGAAGCACGAAGACTGGTGGTGGATTCAAATTTTATTTGGAAACAATTCTCAAAGCTGGAATTGCAGAGGAATCTGTTAAATCTGTTATGTACATTTCTCCCTACTTGATACTTTGACCCTTTCGGATGGCCGGAAATGCGCCCGTCTAGATAGGGTCATTGCTCTTGCGATGGTATGTTGTGATCAGAGTTTCCACGAAATTGAAATCAAATCAAAAGCATGCATGGGCCCCACTCGCTACTTCAAGACAATTTTTCAAGTATAAAATGAGTAGAAATGTTTAATAACGACGCATTATTGTATAATTTTCCCCCCAGAAGCCCAACATAACTTGTTGGCAAAAATAAGTTGAATTTACCTCTCGTTCATTAGTCGTAAAGCTGATGCCTAATGTCGGCATCGATTTGAGAATAGCAACTAGAGATTGTATCGTGTTGCTGTACACAACCGGCCTGTACTGCTTGAAGTCTTCGGGTGTAAATCCACTTTCATGGATAATTCTGCAAAAATAAATAACAAATACTCGTCAGCTCTCGTAAAATTTATAGCTAACAACGAATTACATTAAGCGTTATAAGTTTAGTGACCAAACTGTACGACAGAGATGATTCGTCGGTGTAAAATACCGTCAGAATACACGTGATTTTGTTCAAGGGACGCCATAAAAATGGCTCCATTGACGAGGAAACAAGATTTGAAACACGTTTTGCCGCAACTGTTCTTTCAGCATAGAAAATATTGATTTTTCGAGGTGAACGACCGACTCAATCTACCCATAATAAAGTTAACAGCCAATGGTGTTTCCAGTTCTATTTTTAGCAATACGTAAGATAATTTTCAAAAAATATACATTAAACATTTATCTAATATAGTGGTGAAGTTGTCGAGGATAAATTTTAAATATCTTAAATAACTTTTTTAACTAAAATAGTATTTAGAACTACTTACTTCATTTGTTTTACGATAGTACTTTTTCCAGACTCGCCAGCGCCTGAAACATAAAAATATTTCCTATTTATAACAACCATAAACAATATAGGAAATCTCGGATAACTGGCTAGTCATTTTCAATCAAAAGTGAACGCTGATCGATAAGACAATATGTAACCATAATTAACTCAACGGGATATGTGAATACCACAAAATAGGAAACCAACAACCACGTACAATCTCACACTTGCTACACGTGAATAAACTAAAAGTACTAGCATCGGAAATCACGATAAAATTTAAAGAAACGAACGTATCTCAGCTGACGGAAAAATAATTAAATAACAGAGGAGACTGAAAATTATTTGCATAATTTTTAAACGCAACGAAAACAAATAGATGCACTCGAAACGGAAAAAAGCGGCGCTTAGGGTGGAAGCATAGGACCGGAAATGACGCGTGGCACAGTGTGCTAGCGGAACTTGTTTTCCTGCTTATGGATGGTGGGTCTCCCCCTCTTTTAAAAAGCTCTTTCATCCCGAACTACACGCTTCGAATCGCTCGCACTTACAGCTACGTTCTACTTTTCTACAACAGTCGAATTCTATTCTATCTAATTGTTACTGAACAACGCTTACGTAAACGCATTTAACAAATTAATTGCACGATTCGTACAAATAATTTGTATTCCACTAGGAAACAACGGACTTCCGTTATACTAATAAATAGTTCTACGTTTCTATGTATAATTCTCTCTCATTTTTAACCGCGAAACACGTTGACGATGGTCCTAGAGAAATCTGTAAAGCCACGTATCCACCTGTCGCGTAGCGGTTGGCGCGAATCCACGTTACGACCAGAGCGTGCGGAGAACAGTGGAAATTACTATGTAGAATGAGATTAGGCAACGTATTCACTTGCCGCGCAAACGCGAGCTGTTCATTGCGATTGCTTGCTAACTGTATCCCACTCGTACACACTCTTCTCTACCCTTTTACTGTTGTCGAATGCGCGACTGATAGATGCACAGCCTAAAACAGGTGTCCTATTTGTCTAAGACGCGATGTACAAGTCATGAAAGCAATGTACAACCATTTTCTAATAAAAATAAAATCAAAACTATGTGCAAAATACAACATCATTTAATTTTGAATTTTGAGCTGAAGCAATATGATATTTCTATATTTAAAGTTGATCATTTGTTTTCAAAGATTCCCATTCGAAAATATGTATACTGTACAATTTTAGCTAAGAGATGTTCTCCAGACCTAGTCATAGTAACATTACTTTTGTTTTATATTTAGAGAGTTTCCTTTCTTTACACTACTACGCAATAAATATAAATACAAATAAATATAAATGTTACAGCGTGATTCTACGGAACGAAACAATTGTTATTTTGTTTTTCGATCATTGTTGCTCGTCCGGAACACATATGTCGATGGTTGCCCGTAAATATTTCACGCACATTCGAATTAGCGAGTGATATAGGGGTCTTTGAGAAAACGATCGCCTGCCTGCGTTTCCTGCGGCATAAATGGGATGAAAATACTCGGAGAAGACGCAAGCAAAAGGAATGACGTCATTGGAAACACCAATAAACAGGACCCAGATTTCCCTCGAATAATCTCGCTTTGAATGCCGACCAGAAAACCAAGGATTCTTTGTCTCCGCTTTAATCGGACACCCCGAATATCGAAAATGAATGTTTCAAGCAATTACTCTGATGTTTAGATGTTAATTTCATGATAGAGATTTAAAACCAACATCCCTCAAGGGATTAACTTCAAACACTCCTTATACTTTTTCTAAAGACAAATGTACGATTCAGAAATGTACTATTGCATTATTACTGGGTTCGCTGAATCAATATGACACAACTATAACTAACTATAAGATCGCACGATAACTATTACCTAATAAAGTAATGATAACATGTCCTCCTCGATCACAAACCGCTGCCTGTAATAATAAACACAACGGCTATATTATGGTGATTAACTAGCAAATTAATGCTCATCGTCAGTCTGTTACCGCCGACATCACCATCCAAGATGGTTATTAAGAACCGTTGTGATTATTATTCTATAAGCTTTCTGCACTTTATCAGCCCATACATCATTACCACTCTCGAGTTTAAATTATTACATGCTACAAATACGTTTAGAGGGACATGTATTCTAAGCTATTTCGATTCTGTTTATAAACATGCACTTCTAAGTTGTGTGCTTGGCAATGCGGAGATTATTTGCCCTCTCGTTCCTCCTTTATCTCTGGTCGTCGCTCTCGTATATTTATGCGTCGCTCTAATGCACGGGGGGCAATAATACTTAATTTTAAACCGAGGTAAACAAAACGAGACACACGCTAAACATACAATATACATTCTCAGAAAACATACTATAGATATAAGCGAAATTCTGCAATCTCCACGTGGTGCATGGGTTGGGTTAATGCAGGTGGCACATTTTTCTAATGTAAGGGAATACTCTTAATGTCACCGCGCCGTTTGGTTGTCTGTCACGGTATTATAAACAAAGACGACCGACACCTTTATAATTAAGCAAGCCGCGTTCTGGCATGGTCGCGACCATCGAGAAGGTGGTATTTTACTTCAGAGGGCACCGACGACCAGTAATATATAAATAGATTTATTATCGTTAACCTGTGGCTTTCTTTTATTCCTTTCCCGAATCACACAGACTCTCAGACCACAAGACTCTTCAATGATCCATACTGTTTATCTTTGTCGAAAGCTTGCAGGAGGGTTGCATTTTTTAAGGTAGGAGCTCTGTACGTGCCAAGATTCGGTTTTGTAAGGATAATGAAGATAGGACAACGGTCAACATCTGGCTTTCAGGTAGAGGCCTTCGCTATGCGTTGGGCTAGGTACGTGGATGTTAGCAGTTCTGTATAAATATATAAGAAATTCTTATTAGCAGTAGCTTTGTAAATACGTATAGAGATTAGGAATGATAGGAACCGTTCAGGAAATAGTGTAACACCTGGTGCATTTTCAGGAAACATATTGTTAGCATCAAGGAAATTGCTGTACGCTCCCTGCCACAGAGTTATTGTCCTTAAAAGCGTGGGGCGTGCTTCTCTTCCACAGGTTTAACTCTTTCTCCCAGAAAGCATGCTCGAATCAGGCGTTTATTCTGACAAAACTGATTCGTTTCTGGCTAAACAAAAGTAAGAAAGTAAAAGAAGGAAAAGAAATGGTGATTCGAAAGCGGGAATTAGCGTAGGATGTAAAATGGTGCGAGGCTACTCACCAAGCAGCAGTAGCTTGATGTCCTTGGCAGCTTGAATGCCATCCTCCTTTAGATTCTTTTCAATTTGCTTGCTACGGGCCAAGGCGGCCCGCTCTTCCGCCGACATGGCACAGCCCATCTTGCCACAGGTTGCCCTCACAAATGCCACCACCAACAACTAAATTCCCTTGAGCGCTTCTTTCTTGTCTCTACAACTATACTCGGATCACATTCAATTGTTTCTTCCCAACTACTGTATTCCACGCCAAATCGCATAGAGGAGACCGGGGGTAAGTTCTTCCGACGGTTATATCTTTAAGATGAAAAAAAAGATAGCGTTGTGCTTTCAATTATTTTTGAAAACGTAAACTGATCACGCCACGCTGTTAAACATTTTAATAGCGTTCGTGACAGCGAGTTGCGTAGTTTTAGACAAGAGGTAAGTAGTCACGTATCAGCTAAGTAAATATTTAATGTCAATATCGTTTGAAACGTTGTAATAGCATTTACTACAATATTTGAATATATAAACAAAATATTTTTTAAACATTGCCACGTATGTAAATTGGGGCTAGTTGTTACCGTAACAAGTTTGCTTACCCCAGAGCGATAACAACTTGCCCCACGACGGGGTAAGAAGTTCCGCTTCGACTAATCACAAAAAAATAAATAAATTCGAACTGATAATCTTAAAAGAAAAAAGTAACTACATTATTTCCTAGTCATTTTTTATGTTCTCTCAAAATCGGAACTTCTAGCCCCGGTCTCCCCTACAGTTTTTCACTAACATCTCGGTTTTTTATCAAACTTGGATACCTCGTAGTCTTTAGCAATATTTAACACGTTAATTGCCACGCCAGTAAAAGTATTCAATAATTCAACGATGAATTTGGTATTTTACAATATTCCAAATTAAAGTTATTTACAATTTTACAAGTATTAGGGTTCTTCCAATGTAAACTATTGCAAGACGCGACCACCGTGGCAATCAACGCGTTAACAGCGACATTTTTTCAGCTATTTCAAGTAAAATGAAAATGAGCTTGTAGATACTGATGGTGTGAACATGCAAGACCGACAATTGTTTCGCTTTCAAAGTAATTAGCTGTAACTTAAAGGCCTGCCCTATCCTATAGATACATAAATGAATTGTTCCTAATCATTTCTAGTAAATAGTTGTACAGAATCCATGAAATATTTATTGATATCTACTATTTCCCACAATGTAACTAGACCCTTGGAATTATTTTCTCATTCAGCAAAATAATAATCGACGTCGTCGTTCGGTGCTCGATTTTCACGAAATAATCTTAACTTAAATTAGCTAATCAGCTTGATTAGAGGTTGTAGTTGCGTAGCTGACTAGAGGTGATTCACCCCTCGCAATCCGTAGCGGTGGGAGGTCATAAAGCCAATAAATTCTCACCGTGAGATAATTTATGTCTAATTGCTAGCTTTCTTAAGAATTAAGATACATCTTGAACAGTCCAGGAGAATTGAAAATACCCGAAATATGGACAAATTGGGTCGCGAACGCTCCCGGATGTTCGTCACGCAATTGCAAGATCTTGCCCACACGAATGTTTCTGTTCGCGATGGGGTTACACACGAACGCTGCACGAACTGATAGAATTATGCATTACGAATTCTATCGTGACACACTGGTGTTCGTGAATGAGTTACAAGGTCCCGTCCACACAAACGTAAGCGATGAGAACGCGACCCTGTTACACGTTACGTGCGTGTAGACCCTGCTTTGCTTAAGTTTGACATTCTCGTTTCAAAATCTAATTCAATACTATCTAATTCCACAGATAACCCAGGCAAAACTGAATCTTCTTCTTGGTCTAGTCATTGTTAGAGGCTTTCAAATTTAACAAGAGAGTTAACAGATCCACTTGTAACATCAGTCTACAATGATTCGCTTGAAACAACTAAACTAATGGAAATAAACAATCGACTAAGGTTGATCCCCTTACCACACAAGCTAATAAATACTCTGATTTTTTTTTTTAGATATGTATGTCTATAAATACTCTGGTAATTTCTTTATATAACGTTGCAAATTTGTATAGTAATCTTTTCCAAGTGATTGTAGACCACCGTCTCGACAATTTCTAGCTAAAGCGTTTTCGATTTTCAATGTAATTAACGAAGCAGCGAAATGAAAACGCGTGGAACGGTTCAGGCTCGCGAGGAATATTAATAAAGCTATTCACGATTATGTCTGACCCATCAGGGAACATGTTTCACGCGGCACTGACAAGGAGCGTCCTATCTTGCGGCAAGCTTTTGATATTAAGAAGTATGTACTTAAAAGCTTCGAAGAAAAATGATATCTGCTTGTAAAAAAACGAGCCCTGGTTCTCGCTTTCGACGCGACCTTCGTACTTCTTATACAACCGTCTTTTTACTTTTCAATCTACAAATAAGAAAAGAAAATATTTGGTGAAATACTCCTTTTTAATAGAGAAACAATTCTGATTGTTAAAATTAATACCATTTCGATTCCGTGATACTGTTCCAATTGTCTGCAAAAGAATAATCAACGTTCTTCTTTAATAAATTTCTCTGGGCAACGTTGGAAAATAATTGATTTTCGCTTACCTTGCGAATCGTTCCTTCTTAATTATTTGCTTTGAAACGCTTAATATTGAGACGTAGGGCTCGTCGCGAGTCCAAGTTTTTTTTAGAAACACGCTTAGAAAAGAATTCACCGCTCCGGAAAAAGAAACGCGATCCTGCCTGCTTGACGAGGTAAACGTTCACGGAACCGTTCACGAATATCTTTGCGGTCAGAGTTTTTTTAAAATTCGTCGATAACTCTGACACGACGCAACAAAACAAATTACTCATTCTGCTAAAAAGTTATCGACCGTGTAAACGAACTCTAAATTGATAAATACTCATTTGTAATTAATATCGTTACTTTGCTCTCACGTATTACTGATACGCTCAATGTGCTTGATAAACTTGACGTGTCGACGACGCACACAACATTTCCTTTTCCATATTTTCATTCCGTCTTTCCGGGATTTTCTGTTTCGAGTAAAATTCACTAAATATTGTTTACCGACGATGGTCTTGGGGCTCTAAAACAAACTCAAAGGTAAAATACTGGAACAAATCGCACAAACATTATCTCTTGATACACTATCAACCCGGAGAACCGGTGCTCTGAACAGTAGGTTATGACAAGACATTTTGAAATTCATTCCATCTTTAACCTCAATTCAGATACTCAATATTCTCTTATCTTGTTCGATTACCTTAATTGGCCTCATCTTGTGCAAAAAATGCATACATGTATCGCAACGTATCTCCAAAAACTCCATTTTAATTCGAAATAGCCGTTACACACGTATCTAACCAAAAAACAACATGGCCGCCTACTAAACAAACGGGAGTTTGAACGTTAGTTAAATATACAGGGTGTTCGGTAACCGGTGTTACAAGCACCAATGCGATTATTCTACGTAAAAGAATGAATCGAAAATATGGTATAAAATTTTTGTACGCAACTTTTTCCTTTTCGAGACAACGCATGTTGAAAATAAATCAGGAACACGCGCGATTGAACACGACTTGTCTAACGTGTCCGTCTATTACTCGCTGTTTCTACTTGCCGTTGGATATTTACATTTGCTTCGACTAGTTGGGCAAGATTTACGAAAAAGAGATAATTCCATACTAAAATTATTGTTTAAGAACACTAACGCAAGTGGAAATAACGAGTAATGGACAGACAGTCAGGTTCTCGATCGCATGCGTACTCCACAAATTTTCATAATGAATTTCCTCGAAAACAAAGCATCGTACGAGAAAATGTCCAAAATCGATTAACACGCCTCCCACGGCACCCGATCTAAAATCACAAAATGCAATTTAACTCTAAAACAATTTTCTATAGATAATTTTACAACTCGATAATGGATATATTTTATTATTTAACAATACATGGAACCGTGATTGGTATATAAATTTACTAATAGAATCAACAGTTACTTGATATACATATGTACTCGAAGCCACATTGCTAGGATTAGGGTTAAGAGACACTATCTCTCGTCGATAAATCGATCTATTAAACTAATAAAATGTTTCTATTATTTTGTGCCCTATAACCCATGGTAAATCTGTTCGAATAGTAGTTCCTACCAACGATAGTCTACAGGTATCCCAACCCCTTTCATCAAAGCCGTTTGAAAAGAAACACCTTTTATTCATCGATTCGCACTTCTCAGCACCCCTTCGAAGGAAACGTTTGTCCCGTCTATCGAAATATTCTAGACAAGTATAGGCTAATTTTGTCGAAAATAAAGGATTTTCGTGTAACGATTGAAAATAGGAAACATTGCTATCAGAATGGAAACGAAGAGACGTGATGGAATCGGAGTGTCAGAAGGACACTACGGTCTCTCGAAATTATTTAGTTCCATTAAAGATTAAGACTCGTTGCACGGAAAGACTTCCCTTTCGAAGAGGCGAGAAGATACGAATAGAAGTGACTGAACAGGAAGCCAAGGGAAGAAATAAGGGCGTAAAAGTGGAGACTCACTGGTGAAGCCACCCCGCGTCGTCCGCTAGGTGCCAGGGTAGCTCTCCGTCTCTCCGGGCGCGGACATAGACGCCTGTAGATACTCCCGAAACCTTTTTCTCTACGCACCTCTTCCACGTATATTTCACTTGTTTCACTCTACGCGTGTGTATCTATGTACGCACGTACGCCCGTATCGCCTCTCGAATCGATACGACCGGCGAGTTGCGTTTGACACGAAACTGAACGCGTACCCGTGGCGTGCGAAAATTCGAAAACGGTATCGCGTAGATCGGATTACTGGTTGATCGTCGGTTGACGAACCGATCGAGGGGCTGCGGTGTATAAAAAATCTAAGGTACGGTTGAAGAATAATCGACAGGAGAGGGGAGAAATAAAACACTAAGCTCACGTTTAGCTCTCTCTCTTTCCGGACGATAACCGTGAGCTTTTGTTCACCGCTAAACACCTGTGCGACAGCTCTGGCGGACCGTTTATGAAAAGGTCGGTCGAGAGAAAAGAGAGAGATCCGAGCGAACGAGCAACTCGAAGCGTTCGAGGAGCTGGACGCGTCCCTGGTGGGCTCCGGTGCACGACTGAAGCGCCCTCTCGCCCCGCCCAGAGGCACAGCGGCACTCACAGCCGCGAGGTTCGACGGGACGTCGATCGATCCGCCAACTGACCCCACCACTGGAACTTTACTGGACGATGAGGAGAGATTCACTAACGCGCACGCGCGGGATTTCCTCCTCGATAATCGAGAATCGAAAACCTTCCGAAGGATCGAGCGGAATTCGAGGATTTGAAATTCAACTATTCGTACCCCGCCGAGGGTTGAGAAGAACTCATATATGCGTTCCCCGTAAAATATTGAATATATCCGGAACGCAAGATTAGGTAACCCGATGGCGAATTAAACCATGGGGGACTACCGTTCCGCACGCGTACAACCCGTGATAAATTAACTGACAACCTATTCGTCACAGTGGAATTCTTGCACGATGAATCAATCTAACCCATCGTATCAAAGAGTATAGCCAAATAAAGGGGTCAAAGGTACCTCTCAAAATCAACATTCAACTTGTTACGAGTAACTGCATGAAAAGTTCTACAGAAAACTTCTACTTTCCTACACTGTAACGCGTATTTATAATACACATCAACTTGAGAGTATATACACAACGGTGAATTTAATAAATTTAATCCAAAACTTATTTTTATAATAAAGAAGGAATCTACTGTTGGATGAACGACTACATCGCCATCTACGGCAGCGCGCCCAAGTTTGTCGAGAAATAGTTCGTTGTCTTCGACACCAGACGACGACTCATGCGTATTTTGCTGTGTCATCTGGTATCGAAAAAAACAAACTATTTTTCGACAAACTTGGACATTTTGCCGTAGATGGCACCCCAAGTATATGCGTATTATTAATATAAAAATTAATATATTATTCATCAATTTAATTTATTTCGAGAAATCGAATATATAGACTGTGATATAATTTCTAATTTTAAATAGATTGAGTCAAGTTTCAGACAATGGAAAACATTCAATTGAATGCACCAAACATTCTTCACTTCGAGAATAAATTTCGCGATATTATTTATGAAATTCAAGAACAGACGGTAAGATCGTATACCTCGTCTATGATATTATATTATGAAGAAAATCTGAATTTCTGCAAAAGAAATATGTTAGTAGTAAACTTGGGAATTATATTTTTTAGAAAGAATTGGACAAATTAGAAAAGAAACATTTTCTAATATGCGAGGAGCTTTGCTCGAAAGAATCACTTTTACAGAACGAACGAAGAATATCGCATGATCTGCGAGCTCGTTTAAAATTAGCAGTGGACACGATTAACCGATTAGAAGAAGAGAAAATCCGCGATAAAATTAATTATTCAAATGTATTAATTAACTACGACAGCGTGATCAAAGAACGCGACGTTTTAGTGAAGGAAACGCTTTCGAGTAAAACGGAAGCCGCTACATTTAAAATGAAAATAGAATGTTTAGAGAACACGCTAGGGCGAGAAATACGTAAAAAAGAGGAACTAGAAAAGGCATTGATTAAATTGAAAAATGACAATGAAAAAATTATCGCAAATATTGACATGTAAGAAAATATACGTATTTACACTCGCCAGATTAGAAATACTGGTTACAGTGTCCACTTTACATATTAGAATGCAAATATCTCTGAAATGTTTGATTACTTAAAATCATATTTTCGATCGATACTACCTAATTTTAACGTAATAGAAGAGCATTTGATAGAGTACATTTCAATGCTTAGTATTATTAATTAAATCTCATTTTACGATCAACCTGTAATCACTATACTTTTATAACTATTTCTGTCTTTTATCGTTTTAGGAATATTGCTAAAATATCAAAGGAACAGAAATGTTTGCTAGAAAACAGTAGATCTATAATTTGTTTAAACAAACGGCTGCAAACGTTTGGTCTCTGTTCTTATGCGATACATGAACAAAATCGAACAGAAATAAAGAATTTACGACACAAGCTAATTTCATGCTCAACAAACAAATTGAAATCATTATCTACTAATGATAAACTACATCCGGAAATAGAAACCTTATTATTCAAGGTACGCTTACACCGCAATCGATTAAGTAATTAAATCGTCGTTATAGTATTTATACTATTTATTCTATTTCAGTTAAAAGAAATGTCAATGGAATTAAAATCTAAGACGCAAAATTCCACAGCAATTGAAGAAAATTTAAACAAAATTTTCCAAGAGTTGTCTCATAAATACGATACTACCAAGTAACTATTCGTTGCTTTTTCAATTTGTTCGTTTGTTACTTAGCTACCAATATTGCATACATTTAATCGAATAGTTAATCGAAAAAATCTCGATTTGTTTTGAAGCGTTTCATTTAAAAAAACTTGTTTTACATGTATTCTTACAGTCCAAGACTATGCGAGAAATTTGTATTAAACATAATAATAATAAGACATTAATGGAATTATAATATTCGTTACAACTGACAGTAACGTTGTTGAAGATAAGGATGAAAAACGATACTAAAAATAATAATTGATCGTCTAAAATTAAGGACAGACGGGTTTCGACAATAAAAGTAAACGAATAGGATTAATATAAAATGTATTATAATAATCGTATATTTAAGTATAAGTGGAAACAGATCGGAATCCCTTTTTCTTGTATAAAAAAAAAGGAGAAGCCTCTGTTTCCTCGAAAAACTATTACAACAAGCGTTTCAAACGAAGACAAATTCCGTGTTCCACCTTTTTTTTAATTACTTCAACAATAAAAAGAAAGAGAAATGAAATAAAATCGAAAGTTTTCTCTTTGAGACCGGAAATTGCGCTAATTAATTAATGAATTAATTAATGAAGATTCCCCTTCGATTCGGTGAAAAAGCTAACTTGACAGCGTGTGTATGCGCGCGCGCGCGCGAGCACGAGCGCGTGTATATACATATACGCATACATATATATGTATACATACAGATGTATATATATATAAGTATATTTACTTATATATTTATATATAAAAAATGACCGCCCATTGTTTACCTATCCGTACCCCCTTCTTTATATAAACAGATAGCTGAAACTACTTAAAAAAAGAAAAAATTTCTCATTCATGAAAGAAATTTTCTCCTCTTCGGTTCGTTTAAATAAGGTTAATGCAAATATATGTTAAAAATCGATCGTATCCCTTGATTATTTGAAAAATGGAGGAGAAACTTTGTAGCGTGTACTACAAAATAAATATCTTTTGTCTTTTTTAATATGCTTTCAATTTTAATCTCTTTGAAGATATGTTGAATAATTTATATAAATATTATGTAAATAAAAACAGTATTTTCAAATATTTTTATTGCTCTCGCAAATGCTCAACTTGTACGTTAACATTTATTACTTTATTCTTGTTTTACCCTACTTTAGTCGTTTTGTAAATAAAATAAATTTACAACAACGTAATGCAACTATACATTCTGCTAAATAAAAAAAAAAAGAATTGCACAAAGCTTATTGGATATGCAATTTTCAATATACATACAATACTAATTTTATCAAACTTCTAAATTATTCGTTGATCATGTTATTAATTGAAATTATCCTCCTCAATTATGAATTCTATTAGTTGTTACATTTATTTAACCACAGACAAATTGTTCAGTTAATTGCATCCCGGGTTCAATTTGTTATATTATCTTCATTATCGGAAATTAGTAAAGGGGTAAGATTACAGTCGTATCTTCGGATTTACGTTTTCCACTCGCTTTAACATCGTTAGAAAATTATCAAAAATTATCACAATCCGCGATCGTTTCCTTTAATCTTTAAATATGTTTTTCTTAAGAGAGTAAGGTGAGTTTCTCCTCCAGGATAAAAGAGCTCCTATGATTAATCAGTAAAAAAGAGAGACCGGTAGCGTCGGAGGGAAACGAAGGTGGCTGTCAAGGAGTAAAATCACAGAAGGACTCGCATCGTGAAGCGAGCGAAGGAGACCGACGGTAAAGAGTAGAGGGTGACGGTTGAGGTTGCGTCGACCGAAGGGTCAGAGTATAGAGCATCGTGCTAGCCAACTTGGTGGCTTCCTCTGTGGCTCAGATGCTTTCAGCTGATGTCCGCCTCCCTTCGGGGGATTTGACGCTTCCTGTACCAAAGTATTTTCATTATTAAACATTTTTTTTCTTTTTCACACAACATATCTACGAACAAACACGACAATCAATATTGAAAATAGTCCAGCAAACTTTGCTGCAAGATAAAGAAAAATATAAACAGAGTGTTCAGCCACCCCTGGAAAAATTTTTATTGAGACGAAAATCAAGAACACTAATTTGTTAACGGAGTACAGTTTTGACATAAAAGCAATATTGATTGTTAAAAACAAATGAATGCATATTAAAAGCAATGTTCGTCGTGTTCGCTATATATGTTTATACATTTATAGATGTATAGGTGCATGAGCTACTAACATAGACATGATTACGTAAGACATGGCAGACAGAAAGTTATGACAGTATGTAATGTGTAGGCATTAAATACTATTTCAATGAATAAAAGTTAGAAATGCGCGGGATTAAAAATTACCTCCCCTAAACTTTGCATACCTCTAATAAAAGCATAACTGAGAAGAGACGAAATTTTTTTAATTCAAGTGTAATTACTGTTTACATTGAATAAATGTGACAAATTAATTAAGTAGAAGCTAAGCATGAACTATAACAATTAAAAATTACGGAACAATTTCATATAGCTTAATACATTATGAAACATCAATGATAAACAGTTAAATTGCAAGTGAACATGCAAAAAGAATACATAGAGTGGTAAAGAGTTACCTTCTGCCGATACCGACCCGCACCAAACACAGAGAAATAGACACAGGAAACAAAAAAGACAGTGGTTAATCAATATATAATTATATGCTATATTATATTATGTAATAATATATTGACTCTATGAGTAAATAAAAACAACGACTGTAATATTTCAATGTAAAAGCGCTAAACAAATTTATATCAATAAATGTTTCTTTTTACCATTTTATATATAAAGTGTTCTATAATTCTATCAACAGAAATATGTATTTTATTTTGAAAATCTTAAAATATATACATATACATTTTTTTTAAAATTTTTTATGAAAATACAATTTTATATATCTACCCTTTAACATATCCTATCAAGTATTACGCAGGCCACACCTATGGATCTGTAGTTACACATATCTAATCTAATAGATTACACCCCAATTGTTTACAGTCGATGATTTTATTTACACTGGCTATCAAAGAAGTGTGTGCAATGGAATATTATCTTACAAAGTATACTTTATATTATTAACACTTCTTACATGGAACAAAATGGATGTTTCTTCTAAAAGTTATAGGGTGTTTGCAACAAAAGAGACGAAAAAGATACAAAAAATAGGAGGGGAATGAAACATTTGTTGCAAAATTTATAATGTCAAATTATAAGTAACAATAAAACACAAAACGAGCATTCAACTTTAACATTAAAAAGAAAAATGGGAGTTCATTTTTTCCTTAACCACTACCACCACCAGAAGGCTATTAACAATATATAGTCTTTAATAATTTGTTAAATGCCACAATTTCAATTATTTGTATTCTATTATAATACGAATAAAAGTTTTCGATCTTTTCTTATTTAGCGTAGTACATCAAATATAAAAAAAAAAAAGTACTTACCAGTTTCTTCTCCATCTTGGCCTTAATATCTCGTGCTAGAGTGTAAAACGCCTCTTCAACATTAATGCTGGATTTAGCAGAAGTTTCCATAAATTTAATTCCATACTCGACTGCAAGTTGCTCTCCTCGTTCTCTCGAAACCTGCCGTTTCTCTGTAAGTTCACACTTATTGCCCAATAGCATTTTCTCAACATCCGCTGATGCATTTTCTTCAATGTTTCTAATCCAATTTTTTATATTCTCAAAGCTCTTCTCGTTAGTTGCATCATAAACTAACATTATTCCCATTGCACCGCGATAGTATGCTGTAGTTATTGTACGAAACCTTTCCTGACCTGCTGTATCCCTTTAAAATGTTGTGAAAAAATTATTGTACTAAAAGACTATATTATTAAAATGTTAAAAACTTGTTGAACAAAATATTTTATTTGATATCAGTGTTATCTGCTCTTTTGAATTTAATATTTAGATTGAAATATACATTACATACCATATTTGTAATTTTATTTTCTTGCCATCCAATTCTATTGTTCTGATTTTAAAATCAATTCCTGAAAATAATAAACAAGCGTATAACTTTGATACATGAGAAAGTAAAATAATGTATTCGCATAAATAAAAGGATAATCTTCTTATATGTACACATTTCCTATTATTGATGATTTCATATTAGTATTACATGTTTAAAAATATGAAAAAGGATAATAAAAGTTATTTTTGTAATGAACATCTACAATTATTAATATATGAATTTCAGATAATTTTTAAAAAGTTATAAGTTATAATGATTCACACTTCAATGATTCATAATTACAGATATTGTGCATAACAAGGATTAGGACAAAGCAACAGATAAATAAATATGCACACATGATATATGTATATATATTCCTACAGAGTATACCAAAAATCAAATTAAAAATATAAGTTAGTATATACCTACACAGTTGAGGTAAAAAAATAAACAGACAAAAAAGCAAGGACAAAAGAATGAACAACATAACACTACTTATTATTCTATTAAGGCTTTATATACTTTGCAATTAAACTTTATAGTTCAAATAAATAAACCGATGTGTATAAAATTATATTAATTATAATAAGAAAATAAATAAGTCAATATATATATTTTGACAATGCTATTAACACAATACATAAATATATATAATATTTATATTTCTATACACATGCAAGCAAAGAAATTTAGCAAAAGTATGAATAAATACAACTGATAACACACAGTGGTTTAAATATTATTCTACGTATGTGTTTAAATAAATTAAATATAATATTGTTTTGTAATTAGTTAAATAGTTGTAAATACGCAAATAACACGATACAACTATATCATTATAATGCATGAAATTTTACACCATCTTACATTAAATATTTTTACAGTTTAATATTCTATGAAAATTAATAAGTGTTTTCAGAAGATCGGATACAGTGAGAAATGTTTAAACTTCTCCTACATGAACAGAATCACAAAAAATCTAGTAACAGGTTGTATGCTTTTAAAAGCATACTATCGATGACTAAACCTTCATCCAAACATAAAACCTCATAGGTAATTTAAAACTTTTGTCAGGAAATTCTATTGTGATACTTAAGAGTACTTTTTTAAAACTCGCTAATCAAGAGTAAATAAATAAAAAAAAAAGAAAAAGGAGAAGGCAATAAAATGGTAGAAAAATGGAACAAAAAGGAGATAGTTACCAATAGTTGAGATGAAGGTCGTATTGAAAGCATCTTCAGAGAACCTGAAGAGAACGGACGTCTTGCCGACCCCTGAGTCACCAATCAGCAATAACTTGAACAAATAATCATACGTCTTCGCCATACCCTTTGTTTTCAGTCTCTCTCTCTCTTTTTCACGTGTTTCCGTTCACACTACTTTTATTCTTTTTTTTTATTCTCTGAGCCCTTCGGGCGACGATCTTTTCAAGTGATCGTGATCCTTGGAATTCCGATGAGGCACCCTTTAAACTTAAACGAGCACACTTCGTTTTGCGATTCTGTTTATCGAGATAAAATTTAGTTTACAGAAAGTTTAAGGGAAGGATTTCTGCTGGAATCTGTTCGGATAGGGCAAAACTCGCGTAATAGGACACGTAAAAACATCTGTCAGAAAAAGCGATGACAGCCATCGGTAAGTACAACTTTTTCTTTAGTGTTGTGGCCAGCCTTCTGACCGCACCACAGGTGATGCGCGCGTGTGTATACGCATACGCAACACGTGTGTCAAGATTAAGCTGCATCCTCACGCGAACAAACATTATGGCGCGTTAATAAAGTTGGACAAATTCAAATGAGTTTTTATTTAAATAAATATTAATATATTCATACCCAATGCCTCTGCTTTAAAAGAACTAACCGGCCTTGCAATGTATATAAGGTTCTGCGGTCTTGTTTTTTTTTTTACTGAATGCCTTTACGATTTAACTTCCACAAATGCATGGCCAATGCGCGAGTCTGGATAAATGCCTCCTTTTCTGAATGATTTCTCCATAAGTGACTTTCTTTTTTTAATTGAATTGTAAGGATCTGAACAGTTAAAAATTTTCCATTTTAATGTTTTGTCTAAATAATAATGCTCTGTTTCCATCACATTAAAGCGACTACACATGTTCCGATCAACCTGATAAGCACACCTGAACAGGTCGGCCAGATGCCCATTAAACATCTACACGTTCCAGCTTCCTTCGATTTTTTTAACGACAATGGCTTCATTAGAAGACCCTTCAACAATTGCAGGATTATTATTATTTTCTATTTCTATTTCAGATTTTAAAATGATAGGACACACCCCGATTTGTTGAATTTCTCAAAATCAATAATGTATTCAGATACTTTGAATAGACGTATGTAAACACTGCACCTTCCTTGGTGACATACAAGAAAACGGTCACTGTTTACACTGTTATCCGGCAAATATATCTGCTCACTCATAGAGATTAAAATATTCTTGTGCACATAAGGTGGTTCAATAAAAACAACATATCGATGTGCACGCACGTGCGTGTATTTATGAACCATTAGTAACAAACTTGACTTCATCTAAAAGAAAGAAAAGGATTCAAACAAAAATAATAAAGTATTAATTAATTCTAGGCGGAGGTGGTGGCTGTGGCCTACGGAAGTAAATTATTAAACTGAGCATGCCAGTGAGCATTCCTATGAGATATAAATCCCAGTTCTGGCCCAAGAGCTGGTCCCATTTATTCAGATGATCAACAAGGCTAAACTCTTGTAGGTAATCTAAACCAAAAAGGAAAGAGAGTTTGATAAGAGCCAGTGCCACAGGAATTTTGGCATCTGGACTGGCTTCTGCTGCAAGATCGTAACATCGTTTAGCTAAATGTCGGTCCCTTGCCAAACCCAAACCACGTTCGTGCATATATCCAAGATTAAACATTGCTTGCGCATTAGGTTGTTGCTCAGAAGCTGACCGATAATGACTAGCTGCAGCCTCATAGTCAACTTTCGTTCCTTTGCCATAATAATGTGCATCTCCTAGTTTTACCTATTATAATTAATAATTTGTAAATAATACCTTACAGGCTGACTTACTTCAAACGTACTTTGAAGCTCATTAAAAGAATGTTGGCAAAAGCCTCCTAATTTTTAGAATGTGATCAAATGTCTCGGTATATATCCATAAATAAATTGATATAAATTGATAAAGACTATTTTATTATAAATACCAAAGCAGCAGAGTATCCTTGTGAAGCAGCTCTGGCCCACAGAGCAAGTGCCCTAATCAATCCTTCCTCTTCTGACAATATTGTAGTTTCTCCTTTATCAAGTATAAATGCAGCATTACTCTGTGCAACATCATAGCCCATTTCTGCAAGGAGAGCAAAGTTGACGAAGGCCTCGTTGATTCGACCTTCTTTGTAATCTGTATGAGCAACCACTAGCTGATCACTCCATTTGCCTCTTTCAGCAACAGTTTTTAAAAGTTCAACAGCAGTTGTGCAACTACGCATCATGCCTGTGCCAGTAGCATGCATTTGTGCTAAGTTATAATATGCCAAAACATGACCAGATTGACTAGCCAAATTGAAGTACTTGTTCGCTAATTTGTAATCACGTTTTACACCTGTTCCACCTATTAAGTGATAGTTATTAATTAAACATACATAAAGTCATAAGTAATTTACTTTAAAGTGAAACTGACTTAATGTAAATAGTAATATTAATTTTGTATTCTTTGTAATCACATTTTATATAATTAATAGAAATAGAAGATAGGATAGCATACTGAAATACATGTTGCCAAGTTGAAGCTGTCCATCGACCCATCCCTGCTCTGCAGCTTGACTAAAGTATTTAAGAGCTTTTACAGTATCTCTTTCAACCCCTCTTCCATAAAGATACATAAGTCCCAAACCACTTTGTCCAACAGGATTTCCAAGCTCTGCAGCTTTTTTAAAATATTTGTATGCCATTTTATTATCCTGCTCCACTATGTCATTACCCTCTAAATAAATCTAGAAAACAGCAATGCATTATCAAATGTAAAATTAGCACTATATTAGAATTGAATTTATATAAATTCAATATTCATGGTACCTTTCCTAGATAGGCCATAGCAACGTGATTTCCAGCATCAGCAGCATGTTGAAAATAATGCATTGCTCTTACATGATCTAATGGAACACCTCTGCTACCCTGATAATGTAGCTGTCCCAAACCAACTTGAACCAGCATGTCTCCTTTCTTCGCTAGTAACTGATAATATTCTATCAAATCCTGATCAAGAATTCCTGAGTTGTATCCAAGATTTTCATGTTCATCTAGAAGTCTAACTCGTTGAACAACTAGCCCTCCGCTAAAAGAAACTTCTTCCGCAACCTTATTAGCAACTTTACGGTAAAAGTCTAAAGCTTTCTCGCAAGAAGCTGGTGTCGTGACGCCAGCCCAATAACGATAACCCAAAGCCATTTGTGCACGAGTATCCCCACCTAGAGCTGCTGCTGTATAATGAAGAAGTGCCTTGGCCTGTGAAGCATTTACTCCGCCTAATCCCGTTGCATACAAAAATCCCATGCCCTAGAAAACATTTGTGCATAAGTAACGAAGTTATAATAATTTATGTGAATAATTATAAGATTTATGCACCATATGAGCAGATGGTAACCCAGTTTCAGAAAGTTCTTTAAACGTTCGATAGGCAGCTGGAATGTCTTGACTAGATGTCCAGAAAGAAGTTGGACCAAATTGCATTCCTAGCAACTGAGCCCATGCCAACATAGATCTAGCTTCACGATGACCAAGAATTGCTGCAGACGTTAACAGTTCATAGGCTTCTGCTTTATTAGCTCTTGTAGTGTTCAAAAGTCGCTGAGCTTTTCTAAATATTTGCTCCGCTAAATATTAAAATAAAAATTGTTTCAATTACAGTGTAATGATATTAAAAACCATTTAGAAATTGTGTGCGAAATTACCCTCTTGTTGTTCCGGTGTAAGTGGTTCCTGAGTCTCTTCATTATAGAGTTCAAGTAACTCTTCTTCGTTCCATGCTTCAGGTTTTTCTTCCTCGATTCTTAAATTATTATTATTTGGTAAGTCTATATTCTTAGTCTGTGCTAACATCGACTTCATCCAAACATTTCTCATAACAGAACTTTCTTCTTTAGTTTTTGGTTCATTTTCTACTTCTTCTTTTCTTTTTGCAATTTTTTCGCTAAGATAAGGTTCAGATACTGGTACCATCTTTAAAATAGTATCATGTAAAACCTTTAGTTCTTGCAAATGTTCAAACCTATTCTCTTCCAAACTGACATCTCTTTCTGCTTCTTCATCAGAAGTCTCAGACCTTTTCTTGGAAACTTCAGGTTCGGACGAAGCAGACATAACCAGTAAGAGTAAAAGCAACTCCTTCCGTAGCTTCATTTTGTTGGTTGAATTCTTATTGTACTTCTACCAATGAACTAATCTTAATGCGAATGAAAAAAATTATATTTTAGCATTTTTCTTGTTTACATATTAAAAACTTTTATAGATAAAAATTAAACACTAAAAGAAACTAAACCTAACCCAGACCTAACCCCGATCGATGAACAGTCCGTTTGCTAGGAATATACCTAAATTGCTGCTGTAAAACCTTTTCCACAAACTACATCTTTCACTATATAAATCAAAATATCTATTTCATAAGTACAACAACAGTAAAACTTCACTTTAGAAAATATATTTGACATATCAACATTCTTTGTACACAATAATTACGAAGACATATTCTTTACGTACTATAACCTAAATTTTGATAAACAACATATAAGAAGGAAAAAATATTATTTCAAAGTAAAACAAATGTTTGATTTCTTACTTTTAGTTCGAACAGACTGGTGAGAACCTTCTCGAGTTCATTTTGTAGTATGTTTCTCGAAAATTCGACTTTTCATAGCAGAAAGACAAAGTTACGTCATTGAGACACGTCAACGCACATCTTCAGTTATTGCGCTACTGATTTCTCGTGATCATTTGTAAAGATAAGATTTTTCAGTCTAAATTAATACTATTTTATAATTTACTTCAACTATCGAATATCAGAACACATTGCATTTTCAACTATCAACGAATCAGCTGTTATACAGATGTTTGTTTTCGAAAATTTTAATGGTCATATCAGTGATGCCAGAAAAGCACCGTCGGGTGCACATTCTCCCATGCTAGATACGCGTACGTGAGCTCGTGGAGTTTCGGAAAGACGACAAAGGCAAACTGAAAAAGCATGCCCTCTTTCTCGATTCTCCCACTTCCTCTTTCTCCCACACAACTGAAATCCGACCTCCAGTCAACGGCATACGATTTGGATTCTCGATTGCCCAGGCATTTTTACTTTCCGACCTATGTAGGCGCACATAAGCAAAGTACCCATAATGAAAAAAAAATTTTGTAAAATTTATTTTACGGAAATGCACGTTTTAAGACCTCCTGATTATATTTTAATTATTGAAAAAAAAGAAATTTTTTTTAATTCCCATGTATGAGCACACATATGTATATTATTAATACGATTCTTGAAAATAAATAAAGTAAAAGTTATCTCATTGAAATTTTTTCTAGAATTAGTACCTAGAAAAAAGTATTAGACAAGATTTGATTTTGATTTCGATTAAAAATCAAATTTATATTGTTTTAAATTCGCAGCCATTAGCTCGGTGTTACCCATAATGAAGAAGTTTTTCTTCAAAGGTAACACCGATTACCAGGTCTCACCACGAGGAGGTTGCTGCGAGTGGAGACCCAAAGTGAGACCGATGGAACAAAGTTCGATCAATCTTCCTTTTTACAGACTTAGAACTAACCCATGACGCAAAAAAAAAGATGCCAAGTAATTACTTTTCTAAAACAAAGGAGGAAGCTAAATTGTGGTAGACGCGACACGACGAAACGCGACACAATACTGCACAGTGCAGTAGGAACATGAGGTGCGACACGTACCGAATAGCGGGTCAAAAGGGGCAGCTCGTTACCTCTTAGCAAGTCCAATTGAAGGGGAGGAGAATCGACGCACCAGACACGGGTTCCCCATTTCTCCAACGCGTCCTGCTGGGAGCCCGTAGGACCCAACCCGGGACGTCTTACACAGGAGAGAGATCCTGAGTCGGGGCTACCGCAGACAGGAACAGGTCCCCTCTACGGCCGATGACTCATTCCCTAGAATTGTCTCACCAGAGGACGGCAACCGACCCTTCGAACCATCTAAACGGCCGATCACTTGCTTTTTACATTAAAGCAGCGGTGACCGGAGCTGGAAAGGGGGGAACGAGACTGGAAAAGAAGCTGTTAATTAATTAATTACTTGGCAATCTACGCATTAAATAAACTAATATACAATATAAACAGAAAATTAACGTCGTAGGTGGAATTAATGAGATTAAAATGGGAATTGAGAAACATAGGAAAGGAAAAAAAGAAATATTCGACGTTAATTTTACCATTCGCGCCGCGCCGCGCCGCGCCTTAAATTTAACGGTAATACGCATGAATCTTGCATCCGTCGTCCTCTATCTAAAAATTGATCTGAATAAAAACTAAAATAAAAATTAGTAGTTATAGACACAAATTAGAATTAATTATGTGAACAAATATAGGGACAAATATAAATATAGGGACAAATACAAATATACAACCAAGAACAGGATAATTAAAAAAATAACAACCCCACGATGAAAGACAATGAGGAACAAAATAATTTGAAAAATCACAACCCAACGAAGTAAAGAATGAAGAAGAAAATAATTCGAAAAATAACAACCCATCGATGTCGAAAATAAAGAACAGAATAATTGGAAAAATATCTACCCAACGATGTAATATATGTAGATAAAAGCTGAAAGAAAAAACGAATGAATTATTGGAGAGACGAACAGAAACAACGAAATATTACATCCCTATATATAAATAGAAAACACAATAATGGTATTAATTATATGAATATAAATATATGTATGTATATACCAATCGGCGACACCAGTCGGCGACACCAGTCGGCGACACCAGTCAGCATCGCAGAATCAGAGAATCTGAAACAGAAAGAAAAACGGGTAACAGTACCCCCGGCGGTTCCGGGAGTACTGAAAAGAGTCGGTCAGTTGTGCCCGCTTTTATGCAGTCAAGCCAAAGTATCAACGAGCCAATCAGCAGCCAGTCCGCTGGGGGCGACATTCCGATAGGGCGACACTTGCTTCACCTAAGTTGATAAGAGACCCCCCTGTGGCCCTCGCGCGGGAGTTATCTCCCAACCACCAAGCAAGACGGACCGTATCGAGATGAAGAATTTAATTGAAGATTTACATTCGATCAAAATCGAAGATGGCGGCCAAGAAGATGTTTCACGAGCAGCGGCCAAGGGACAAAACCGGTCTTTTTAAAGACCAAGAAAATCTCATTTGTGGGAACAACTTATGCAATGAACTGAACAACTTTTATATTTAACAAACTCAGAGACACTTTACATCTCTGTTTTATAACAACTTTTATATTTAACAATTCAGAGACACTTTACATCACTGTTTTGTAACAACTTTTATATTTAACAACTCAGAGACACTTTACATCTCTGTTTTGTAACAACTTTTATATTTAACAACTCAGAGACACTTTACATCTCTGTTTTGTAACAACTTTTATATTTAACAATTCAGAGACACTTTACATCTCTGTTTTGTAACAACTTTTATATTTAACAACTCAGAGACACTTTACATCTCTGTTATGGAACAAGTTATGCAATAAAACTGAACATGGTATATTTGCCTATACATATAGGAAGGAAATTCGTCGTTAGTATTGTCGCCCGTCAATGCACTTAATTATGCAAGATCAGTATACTATCTAATTTTATTTTTTATTATACCGGTTTGTAATATCGTAAAGATCAATGCAAAAACATTATGTACAGCTCTTGTATTTCTTTGATTTATCCAAGTAGTCAAAGTATAATATTTTACAAACTTTTGATTCAAATAAAATAACGAATGACACAAAATTTGAGTACCTGTTACATGCAACCTATGTATAAATGCATAATAACTATTATTGATATACGCATAACGAACTTAGTTTGTGATATTAAACATTAAGAAAAGTGTAAATTAATAAATAGGTTTCAAAATGGGTATTCCAGGTTTAACAACTTTCATAAACAATCGTTCAGATCGTTATTTGGAATATTTCGAGCCACGTGATACGTATTTAGTTATTTAGCTGTCAAATATATAATTCGTACAAGTGCAATTGTGTTTTTGGGGGTGATTACGATAAATACGCTCAACGAGTATCGGATTTTTTTTGACGTTTTGTTAAAGTGCAATGTAGTACCATTAGTTTTGATCGATGGCGGTTGCAAGGATAAGAAACTGCAAACAGTTATATCTAGAACTAGAGAAAAGGTTCGTACAGCATCATCTTATTCTCCGATCTGTCAACAGAAAATGAAATTTTTGTCCTTTACATATTTAGGAAGTTTTCAACGATGTTACGAGAAAGAAGAATGTTCGTCATGTGCAATGCTTATTCGAAGCTGATAATGCTATAGCTACTGTAGCAAGGGTATTGAATTGTCCTGTATTGAGTTATGATTCAGATTTGTATGTGTTTGGGACATTGTACATACCATTTGATACATTGGACAATTACACGGTGAAAAGTTCAACTGGAAATAGTTACACAAAATGTTGTAAAATTTATAAAGTTGAACACTTATTAAATTCTTATAGAGGTTTAAGTCAATCTACACTGCCATTAGCTGCAATATTACTAGGCAATGATTATGTAAAACGTGGTACATTTAGAAACTTCTTTCGGTCCAAGCAAGACGGACCGTATCGAGATGAAGAATTTAATTGAAGATTTCCATTCAATCAAAATCAAGGATGGCCAAAGGAGATGGTTCACGAGCAGCGGCCAAAGGACAAACCGGTCTTTTTAAAGACCAAGAAAATCTCATTTGTGGGAACCGCTAAACTGAACAACTTTTATATTTAACAACTTAGAGACTTTTTAGATCTCTGTTTTGGAACAACTTTTATATTTAACAACTCAGAGACACTTTACATCTCTGTTATGGAACAACTTATGCAATAAAACTGAACATGGTATATTTGCCTAAATAGGCGAAAAATATACAAATACAAATTGAATTTATTGAATTGATATTAAATAAACATTCTTTGCTATAAAATCAAAAAATTATTATTTGAAATAGTAGAACAATTAGAAAATAAATCGTTTGAAAATAATTTCGAAAGTCTTACTTGATAAACTATATTCAAACGATTTATTTCCAAAGTATTGTTTCATGTCAAACATGATCAGGGGGTCTTGAAACGTGTATTTACGTGTCAATTTTTCATTCAATATGGGCTTTGCTTATATATTTGTGTCTATATAACTTGAATTTAAATTCAAATGGTAATGAAAAATCAATGACGCATGTTTGTACATTATTTTTTAATCCTGGACTCGTTAATGGTACTTCTCTAAGATTAGATAGGGACAGTAATGGGGAAGAAAATTTAGTGTCAGTGCCTTCTAGTTTGTAACATTTAAGCATTTTATTACAGTCTCTCATCATGTATTTCATAAAACCTCTCCTTCTATTCGTTCCTGATTGCAGAAATGCATATATAACTCTAATAATTTTTAAACTTATTACATTGCTCAATGGATAGGAATAATCCTCTATTTGTACAGGACAAATGTATAAACGTCGAACCAACAAGTCCATAAAATATGCAGGATAATTGCCCATAAGATATTCATCTACAAACAAATTAGGTACATTAGCTAGTTTATTATTGGTAGCAGATTCTGACCCCTTTAAGCATGTCTAATATTTCAACTTCGTTTTCTTCCTCTTCTTCTTCTTCTTCGGATGATTCAAAGTCTCCATTTTTATCAGTTTCTTCCATGTACATTAGACTATTAACATCTCCATCAAATTTAAAAATTCTGTTTATGGAATGTGTTGTGGCACGAGCTGCATATTCCTGTAAAAACCCCAATGGAACAAGTATTTCTGTAGATGCATTTGTATAGCCATCTATATTGATTTCTATTATGCTTAATATTTTTTGTCTTACGGTTTTAGGTGATCTACATAGTAGATTGACTTAAACCTCTATAAGAATTTAATAAGTGTTCAACTTTATAAATTTTACAACATTTTGTGTAACTATTTCCAGTTGAACTTTTCACCGTGTAATTGTCCAATGTATCAAATGGTATGTACAATGTCCCAAACACATACAAATCTGAATCATAACTCAATACAGGACAATTCAATACCCTTGCTACAGTAGCTATAGCATTATCAGCTTCGAATAAGCATTGCACATGACGAACATTCTTCTTTCTCGTAACATCGTTGAAAACTTCCTAAATATGTAAAGGACAAAAATTTCATTTTCTGTTGACAGATCGGAGAATAAGATGATGCTGTACGAACCTTTTCTCTAGTTCTAGATATAACTGTTTGCAGTTTCTTATCCTTGCAACCGCCATCGATCAAAACTAATGGTACTACATTGCACTTTAACAAAACGTCAAAAAAAATCCGATACTCGTTGAGCGTATTTATCGTAATCACCCCCAAAAACACAATTGCACTTGTACGAATTATATATTTGACAGCTAAATAACTAAATACGTATCACGTGGCTCGAAATATTCCAAATAACGATCTGAACGATTGTTTATGAAAGTTGTTAAACCTGGAATACCCATTTTGAAACCTATTTATTAATTTACACTTTTCTTAATGTTTAATATCACAAACTAAGTTCGTTATGCGTATATCAATAATAGTTATTATGCATTTATACATAGGTTGCATGTAACAGGTACTCAAATTTTGTGTCATTCGTTATTTTATTTGAATCAAAAGTTTGTAAAATATTATACTTTGACTACTTGGATAAATCAAAGAAATACAAGAGCTGTACATAATGTTTTTGCATTGATCTTTACGATATTACAAACCGGTATAATAAAAAATAAAATTAGATAGTATACTGATCTTGCATAATTAAGTGCATTGACGGGCGACAATACTAACGACGAATTTCCTTCCTATATGTATAGGCAAATATACCATGTTCAGTTTTATTGCATAACTTGTTCCATAACAGAGATGTAAAGTGTCTCTGAGTTGTTAAATATAAAAGTTGTTACAAAACAGAGATGTAAAGTGTCTCTGAATTGTTAAATATAAAAGTTGTTACAAAACAGAGATGTAAAGTGTCTCTGAGTTGTTAAATATAAAAATTGTTACAAAACAGAGATGTAAAGTGTCTCTGAGTTGTTAAATATAAAAGTTGTTACAAAACAGTGATGTAAAGTGTCTCTGAATTGTTAAATATAAAAGTTGTTATAAAACAGAGATGTAAAGTGTCTCTGAGTTTGTTAAATATAAAAGTTGTTCAGTTCATTGCATAAGTTGTTCCCACAAATGAGATTTTCTTGGTCTTTAAAAAGACCGGTTTTGTCCCTTGGCCGCTGCTCGTGAAACATCTTCTTGGCCGCCATCTTCGATTTTGATCGAATGTAAATCTTCAATTAAATTCTTCATCTCGATACGGTCCGTCTTGCTTGGTGGTTGGGAGATAACTCCCGCGCGAGGGCCACAGGGGGGTCTCTTATCAACTTAGGTGAAGCAAGTGTCGCCCTATCGGAATGTCGCCCCCAGCGGACTGGCTGCTGATTGGCTCGTTGATACTTTGGCTTGACTGCATAAAAGCGGGCACAACTGACCGACTCTTTTCAGTACTCCCGGAACCGCCGGGGGTACTGTTACCCGTTTTTCTTTCTGTTTCAGATTCTCTGATTCTGCGATGCTGACTGGTGTCGCCGACTGGTGTCGCCGACTGGTGTCGCCGATTGGTATATACATACATATATTTATATTCATATAATTAATACCATTATTGTGTTTTCTATTTATATATAGGGATGTAATATTTCGTTGTTTCTGTTCGTCTCTCCAATAATTCATTCGTTTTTTCTTTCAGCTTTTATCTACATATATTACATCGTTGGGTAGATATTTTTCCAATTATTCTGTTCTTTATTTTCGACATCGATGGGTTGTTATTTTTCGAATTATTTTCTTCTTCATTCTTTACTTCGTTGGGTTGTGATTTTTCAAATTATTTTGTTCCTCATTGTCTTTCATCGTGGGGTTGTTATTTTTTTAATTATCCTGTTCTTGGTTGTATATTTGTATTTGTCCCTATATTTATATTTGTCCCTATATTTGTTCACATAATTAATTCTAATTTGTGTCTATAACTACTAATTTTTATTTTAGTTTTTATTCAGATCAATTTTTAGATAGAGGACGACGGATGCAAGATTCATGCGTATTACCGTTAAATTTAAGGCGCGGCGCGGCGCGGCGCGAATGGTAAAATTAACGTCGAATATTTCTTTTTTTCCTTTCCTATGTTTCTCAATTCCCATTTTAATCTCATTAATTCCACCTACGACGTTAATTTTCTGTTTATATTGTATATTAGTTTATTTAATGCGTAGATTGCCAAGTAATTAATTAATTAACAGCTTCTTTTCCAGTCTCGTTCCCCCCTTTCCAGCTCCGGTCACCGCTGCTTTAATGTAAAAAGCAAGTGATCGGCCGTTTAGATGGTTCGAAGGGTCGGTTGCCGTCCTCTGGTGAGACAATTCTAGGGAATGAGTCATCGGCCGTAGAGGGGACCTGTTCCTGTCTGCGGTAGCCCCGACTCAGGATCTCTCTCCTGTGTAAGACGTCCCGGGTTGGGTCCTACGGGCTCCCAGCAGGACGCGTTGGAGAAATGGGGAACCCGTGTCTGGTGCGTCGATTCTCCTCCCCTTCAATTGGACTTGCTAAGAGGTAACGAGCTGCCCCTTTTGACCCGCTATTCGGTACGTGTCGCACCTCATGTTCCTACTGCACTGTGCAGTATTGTGTCGCGTTTCGTCGTGTCGCGTCTACCACAATTTAGCTTCCTCCTTTGTTTTAGAAAAGTAATTACTTGGCATCTTTTTTTTTGCGTCATGGGTTAGTTCTAAGTCTGTAAAAAGGAAGATTGATCGAACTTTGTTCCATCGGTCTCACTTTGGGTCTCCACTCGCAGCAACCTCCTCGTGGTGAGACCTGGTAATCGGTGTTACCTTTGAAGAAAAACTTCTTCATTATGGGTAACACCGAGCTAATGGCTGCGAATTTAAAACAATATAAATTTGATTTTTAATCGAAATCAAAATCAAATCTTGTCTAATACTTTTTTCTAGGTACTAATTCTAGAAAAAATTTCAATGAGATAACTTTTACTTTATTTATTTTCAAGAATCGTATTAATAATATACATATGTGTGCTCATACATGGGAATTAAAAAAAATTTCTTTTTTTTCAATAATTAAAATATAATCAGGAGGTCTTAAAACGTGCATTTCCGTAAAATAAATTTTACAAAATTTTTTTTTCATTATGGGTACTTTGCTTATGTGCGCCTACATAGGTCGGAAAGTAAAAATGCCTGGGCAATCGAGAATCCAAATCGTATGCCGTTGACTGGTGGTCGGATTTCAGTTCTGTGGGAGAAAGAGGAAGTGGGAGAATCGAGAAAGAGGGCATTCGTCAGTTTGCCTTTGTCGTCTTTCCGAAACTCCACGAGCTCACGTACGCGTATCTGTGAGTGTGCACCCGACGGTGCTTTTCTGGCATCACTGGGTCATATACTCGGCGTTGGACAACTGAAGTAACCTGCATGTTAATATGCACGTAAATATCAGTTCTTTTACATTGAAACTAAGCTAAAGATAAAATCTCGAACCTGAGGAAGTTAAATCTTTTTATTAATAACGTGCAATAATTTATACATGTTTAACATAACCATTAAATGATCAACCTGGTTTTCATGTAAGGCATCGTGTCATCGTGTCAAGCATAATACACATTAACTTGAGACTATATGAACGTCAATTTAATTAATAAACAGTGTCTAAAACTTATTATTATTATAATAACTATGTAATTCACTGTATATCTGTATATCTATATATATATCAAGACGACATCTACCATAAAACGCCCAAGTTTGTCGAGAAATAATTCACGTTTTGCACACTAGATGGCGCCCCAATTATTTATGATCGAAAACTAATTTTAATTTATTTATTAATGCAACAATAGAGTACTCAGTAATTTAGATCACTTGTAAATGCTTCACAATTAACGCCAAAGGTCCAAATTTACCTAAAAATAGTCCTATTCCTGCCCGTTAATGACTTGCCTGTGTCTTAGGTCAGCGATGTCTTCTGACAGGAATAGGATTGTTTCTAGGCAAGTTTGGACCTTAGGCGTTAATTGTGGAGCATTTACAAGTGATCTAAATTACTGAGTACCCTATTGTTGCATTAATAAATAAATTGAAATTAGTTTTCGATCGTAAATAATTGGGACGCCATCTAGTGTGCAAAAAGTGAATTATTTCTCGACAAACTTGGGCGTTTTGTGGTAGATGTCGTCTTGACACATGTATATAGATATACAGTTAATTAGGTAGATTAATGCCCATTTAAATGTCCACGCCCAGGATAAAGAGCATACTAAACGGACAATTAAGTGGACAAAAATGCAGTCACTTATGTGGATACTACTGTAGTTATTATAATAATAATAATCTTTAGACACTGTATAATAAAAAAAGCAAATTCTATACAGGGTATGCCACTTTAACGTAGAGACTACAAAAGATTTCGAAAACAAATTAGAGGATTTAAATAAAATATATGTATTATTAAATTTCTCATTCACAGAATTATACAAAACATATAATAAAAGTTATTTAAAAAACATATAAACTACTAAATAAAACTATCACTGTGCTTTAAATAGCAATAAAAAGTAAAATAATAATAATACATAAGGTGTTCGTTTTATTTAAAAACGTAGAAGTATCTCAAAAACTATGCATGATATAGAAAAATGTTTCAAACAAATGTACGATATTGAGGATCCATTGTAATGATCGGTATATAATCTTGCATTGACTTTAGTCAGCCTTATGATAGTTATGTTTAATTTTCTAAATTGGACCATATATCTTTTATTAGATATTTTCGCAGCTGTTATCAAAACACGTTCACAAAGTTAATATTAATAATGTTAGAGGTAATCTAAAACTTATTCTTCATTTTTTTTGTTACCAGAAACCCAATCATCATATGTATTTTTTAACAAAATATATGCCTCTGAGTTTTTGTAATCCTCCACTGTCGTTTTCGTTTTCTTTTTCTTTTTCTTAGCTTTACTGGAATCTTTTTCAGGTATAGATTCTTTGTGATTTTCCGTTGTTTTTTTCTTTTTCCCAGCTTCACTGGAATGTTCATTAGGTATTGCTTTAATTATATCGAGAATCACATTTTTATTACACTTAACAAATTTTGCAGCTTCCATTAACAATGTTTCTTTCTTTTCTTCTTTTGGTTTTTTATACTTGTTACGTTGTATACGTAAGTAAGTGACACATGGTTTCTTTTCGAAAGATTTTGTAGAAGTCACAGTGCACCAATTAATTTGATCTATGAATTCGTTTCTGCCTGCTAGAGAAACGTATTCCAGAATTTGATCGCTATCTTTATTTGGCGGACAACGGTAATAAAATTCTTTATCGTTTCGTTCATTTTCCATATATTCTGTCACCACAAAGCTTAGAAGATCGTCTCCAGCATGGATTTTATGTATGTTAGATTCTTCAGTCATACAGCAAAGACCAACGTAAACTGCGTTAGCAGTAACAGACTGACCTACTACATTAGTAGTGGTATTAAATTCTACCTCGTTCCTGATTGTACGTCCTATACTTGAGTGGTACGTCAACGAATATATGTACAAAGGGAATTGCCGTAAGGTTTGTGAAGAACCAGCACGATCCAGTAACCACTCACGATATGAAGGTAGAATTTGATAATGACAAAGATTACAACGTTCAACTATCTCTGAACTAGAATATTTGTCGTTTATGGAACGAACAACAAGAGAGTGCAACTTGTAGTCTTTATAGATCATTTCTTCCAGACGAACAATGTTGTGCTCGCCACTTTCGTTTATATGTACATATTGGCAATCTTTTACCAAAAGTAAACCAGGTAAAAATTTATTTTTCTTATTGTTTTCCATAGGTATAATTTTACCGTTACTTAGATAAAATGGTTCTACAACGTAGTCTTTTTTAATAGATTTCAAGTGTTCTATTAAACGATACGAACGAAGCGTAATGTCATAATGATACTGAGCCATGTAAACAGTATCAAAACGCTCTTCAGTGAAATATTTCGATCGAAAAAGGCAGTATAGTAAATATCGCAAATTGAAATAAAAAGGAACATCGCTTTCAGACTTGTAGTCCTCAAACTTTTCACGAAAACGTGATAGTTTACGTGTAAAGTTGTTGTCAGATGACCGCATGTTTGGGCTTAATATGTCTATTCTGTCATCACTAAGTATATCTATAATGTATGAATTGTTTTTGTTGTAGAGTGCACAAGAGGGAACAGCACCAGGCTGCATTTTATCTCCAGAAAAAATTAATTTTATATTGTTTTTGAACGATACTATACACAGCAAAATTAACAGCAGCGGTGAGGCTATAGTGTATGTATCCAAAATAATCACTTTTACAAGATTAGCGACATGAACGTAGCTTTTGGCATATGTAATTAGCTGATAAAGTACTCCAACGATATTATCATTTTTTTGGAACATATTAGGCACAAAATGATATGACAAACGAAAGTTACGCATACTATAAGATACATAAGTATACGCATCAAATTTTTTTAACAAAATTTTGCTAGCCTGATTTCGTGTGAAAGTAATAAACTGTACTGGTGCTATTATGTTCCGATTGTAATTATAATATGACGCTGCCAAAATAGACAACATAAAAGTTTTACCAGTTCCGCTTGGAGCATCAATTAAGATAATCTGCTTTTTCTCGAGCAATTCCTGTAGTTCATTATATGCAACCTGTTGCTCATAATTCAGTTTCAGAACTATAGTGTTGCATATCAGCAGCATCAAACAAAAACGATACAAAGAAATGTTATTGTGTCTTATAATATTAAATCGTTTAAGGAAGAAATTTCTTTACCTTCATTCTTATTATTATTCATGATGTCTTCTTTCTCCAAAAATTATGTCTTCGCATAGAACTCGTTGGATATTTATCTACATTTATATTCTTGATGTAAAGAATTAAAAGTCTATAATTGTAATAAAGGATAATTATCAAACAATAATCTTTTACAAAGACATTTACCTATACTACTTATCATTAAATTTATAATGATAAGATAAGAAATATATCCTCAAGATACAATATTATTTTGATTTTTTTAAAGGGGGAGTTATAATATTTAATATTTATGATTTTTTTTTTAAACTACTGTTAATAGTCCATTTATTTTTATTTATGTTTTCACTTTTGTACACTTGTGTTGGTACGACCTCTAGAGTATGCACACAGTTTCATTTGTTGCTTAGTGTTATTATCTTTGATTTTGACTAATCAATATTCAATATTAATTTCATATTAAATATCCGAATAAATGTAAAATACTTTATTTCGCTTCAATATTCAATACATTTTAATTTATATAATGAATAACATAGGCCACAAAGAATTTTCTCCAACAATTACGTATGAACCTGATTCATTATGTGTAAATACTTACGGTTATATTAGCTTGGTTTCAATTGTAGAACAATGATTGCTAATAAAATTACTTCAAATAAGTGCAGCAATGATAATAAAATTCATATACAGCACAGATGTAATTTATAATGAAAATAATATTTCACTAAAGTCGATACTACGTTTACGAATTCTTATAAAGAACTGGTTAACTTCGTAACCACGCCACGATACTAAAAAGAAGATAATGCGTATCGAAACCGGGGAAGTCTACGTGATCAAACTTGGATTTTACCGTACGATTGGCGCAAATAATTCACATCCACAGACAAATGTATAGAGGGAGCTAAATACGGTCTGTTCTGATTTCTGATTGGTACAATGAGATTGTCACGCGAATTCTACCAATGAAAACACGGAACATTCTGCTTTGTATTTAGTTACAATAATGCCCGCTTCAGCGCCTGTGGTCGAAACCAAATCCGGACAATTGTAGCGGGAAATGATTTCCAAGAAATCCGTTACGAGGAACAAGAACGAATGAATGTGAACAAGAAAGATATTCATCCGCGTGCAGATGCGAACTTGTTAAGTACGACCGTTAAATGTTTTACAATTAATCTGTTTCTCTTTTTATCAGCTAAACGGAATATTATAAGCGAAAGAAATCAGTATGTAGAACGTTTCGGCTTTTATTAAGCGACACATACGAGAGACAAAGAGAAAACGACTGATAAACTTTTAGTACAAAGAGAAATACGATACTAGGTATTAGAGATAATGACTGAACGTGAGCAAACGTAATTTGATAATTATAGGAGGAGCGATAACCTGAATGCAAATGTACGGAACCGCTGGCAGACAAAGGCCAAAGGCCAAAGGTTAAAAGAATGCATGGAAAGTTTGGAAGAGGCAGGCGATCCACCATTGCACTACTAAAGAACCAGGACTTTGTTCTGAAAGATTCGGCCATGGAGTAAAGAAGGCTACTTATCTTTTGGTGAGAGAACTGTAACTGGCCCCAGAATCTTTGGCAGAAACGGTCTTCGGTATATTCCTAAAAAGTAAAATAATAATATTAAAACAAAAAAACAAAGTTGATCTTTACATTTTTTCAATAATTTTATTTAAAAAGTAAGTTCTCTTTGAACTACGCATTCATTGTATAAATAAGTTTTTAATACGTATTGAAATTTTTTTTTAAATAGTCACATTGATAATTTTATAAGAATAACCCTATACAGTCGTGGATACATAACTCATAATCTAGCAATTATGAGTTATGATATGATGTATCATTGAATTTTCGGAAACAGAGATGACGTAATTAAAATAACACGTCATACTTAAGTATCTACAGATATGGCGTAGGGCGGTGCCATGTGTCACCAGTTCGATCGATAATTATTTCTACGATAACAAGTGCTGAAGTCGATCACCAATCTTTCGTGTGAACGAACTTCATCTGTTTTTTAATTATGCATTGTCGTTTGAAGATTATCTTTATTGTATTCGTAAGGGGAAATGTTAACTAAAGAGAGTAACGATGTTATATGTTATATAGAACATTAAATTTGACAGGCGCGAGCATCGAACTGTGGTGGGACAATAAAGAAGTCGGTTAAGAAGTCGCGCAGTCATCTGTGATTATTCATCGTTAGATAAACGGTTACTTACGAGTTCATGTTTTATTTGTATTCGATTTCAGTAATTTTTTTATTGAGATAAAAAGAAGAAACAGTTACCGTGGGAACAAGATAAAACGAACAACGGTCAAAATGGGTGATAAAACAGGTGAATGTGAAAATTCAACTAGATTTCCTTAAAAGTAAAATTCAATTAATTGTGTTACATGAATATTTTATGCCAACAGCTGATTGCTGTCCAAACATGTGTCAAATTCAAATTATTTTTGAAACAGTATTTTTAATTATCGAGAGAAAACAATGAACAATGTAGTTCTACATTTTTTCAACATAATTGCAAAGTGTTAGTTGGTTCTACTTATATTTTACTTTTGTTTTCATTTGTCAGAGCACATTGTCATGACACCCAAATGTAAGACTGCAAACTCCACCACACTCATAATAGAAAGACAGGCTCTTGAGTCATCAGCAGAAAATGAGAATGAAAACAATGTTCATATTGCTGGAGGAGACCACAAAGGGATAGTTATTAACAAACAAGCTATTAATGGTATATATATTTACAAACACATGCACTTATTTTAAATGATTCTAATATTAAAATATTGTTAATATAAACAAAAAGTAATGTTATATTTTGTATATAGTTACAAATGGTGAACTTCATCCAGCACATCTTTGCTTACAATTTAGAGTATTTTTGGTGAGTGGTCAAACTGGGAAACATACCCAAGAATCCAGAACTCTCCAATTTTGGTTCATAGATACACTTTTAGAGACTGAACATCCAAGTGTAGCACAAGAATTCTTTAGAGAATTAGTTAGTCCACAAGAATTTCCACGAGGTAAGTCACTAAAAAGAATATTCATTGATATAATTGTAAAAAAATGAGATCCCTTTGTTTATTAATAATAATTAATATAAACTTAAGATTATATTTCATAATTTTACTTGTCCTTAATAGTCACTTTAATGTAATAATTGTTTTAGTAGACATATAATATTTTTACAGATTATGTTGGATTTATAAAGAAACTAATGAAGCTAATGTTGCACAAGTATCCTAGTATTAAAAAGATAGAAGTGGAATTAAAACAGTTGGAGGAACCAATTACTCTGCCAGCAAGACCATGTAAGTGAAATATTCTTCTTTTTGTAATCTTAATCAAATAAATGTTGTCTTTTAAGAAATCTAGTAGATACTTAATATTCGACAATTAAGTACATATTAAAAAAGTAATATATAAATCATTTATTCTGTGTTCAATTTTTAATTCTGATATTGGAAAATTATACTTGAATATAGAATTCTTATATACATCCAGTTAGTTTGTAATTTCCATAATTTATCTCTTATTTTAATGAATCTGCTGTCAAGTAGGGAGTAACATCAAGATTTATTTGATTAGACCTATTGAACTAAATGGTTCTTTATTGAAAGATATTGAAGCAATGCATCTTTGGTGCATATTACAACCAAAACTAAAGGAAAATGCACACATAAGATTTGTACAGACCATTCTATTTATTTACACTTTCATGTAAATACGTATTCTTCTAAATGGTTGTATGAAATAAACCTTTTGTTTTCATCTCTCTTATTCACAGCTAATACTGGTCATATACTGTTCACACTTACTCCATGTAAGAGAATTAATTGGAAATCAGGTTGGAGAGAATGAAAAGTTGCTTATTTTATTGCATTTTTATTATCTTTATGTGATTTTTTAAATGTGAAATCTATTACATAAAGATAATAATTATTTAATATTTGCCGGTCAAAAATTTGACTAGAAAATTTACTTTCCTGTATAACTATTATGTGTATAGATTTATTGTGCTTTCATTTTATTTTAAGAGAAAGATTTGAAAATAAATTGAGTAATATGTAAAGTATAGTACATTAGAAAAGAATGTAATAATAAATAGTTATTATGTTGACCGGTAGATAGATATACAGGATGTTCGGCCACCTCTGGGAAAAATTTTAATGGGAAATTCTAAAGGCCGAAATAAGACGAAAATCAAGAATACTAATTTGTCGATTGAAGTTTCATTAAAAAGTCATTAAAAAATTAGATTAAAAAATTTCAAATCATTCTGAAAAAATTATTTTCGGTTGCAGGGGTCAATTACAATCATTTTTGGTGAATAGATATACCCCCAAAATCCTACGCGGTTTCGAGAAAAAAATTCGTGTTGGTGGACAAATTTTATTAGTAATTTTTATTAACTTTTTAACGAAACCTCAATCAACAAATTAGTATTCTTGATTTTCGTCTTATTTTGGCCTCTAGAATCTCCCATTAAAATTTTTCCCAGGGGTGGCCGAACACCCTGTATTTTCAACTGCTTCACACAATAAAGTGGTAACCATAACTACATTGATTTAACACGATCTGTTCCTTAGTTTTTGCATTACATAATAATACAAAATAATAAATTTGTATTATTTTCTAACGTTCATTTCAGCAAACAACTAAAATAGAAATTTGTAGTAATTTAATCTACAAGTGATATTGTACTAGTAATGCAAGTGCATGACTATTAACAAGTTGATAAAGACATTTTTTATTTTATAAAATTCAAGGCTTTAGTGTAGATTTAAATTAAATCATTTAGACGACAAAAAATAAAGGGGCCTAATGTGCCTTTAAATTAGTGCTATATTTCTACTGTTTTACTATTTAAAACAACAATAACATCCATATAAAGCACCATTCACCTTATACTTGTGATTACTTACTGCCATATATGTATAATGTGTAGACTTCATTTTTATGTTAGTAATTTCACAAAAGGAATTAATAGTAAGAACTATGTCCTACTGAACTACAAATAGCTTTTCACTGTTCTTAATATGGTAGATGCATATTTGGCATTCCCAAATCGTAGTTATTTATTCATCAATATACCGTTTTTATTACAAGACTAATTGCACAAAATTCACTTAATGCTGATCAGTTATACACTTTACACATTTATGTAGTACGATAATGCGATATTTTAATGTTTCATTATTCTGTTTAACAGTATCTACAGATGAAACAGTCATGGGTCAGGTGATTGAACTAACACTGGAAAAAGTGTTAGAATTAATTGAATCTGCTTATCCAAATCCAGTAACAGTCATTGATTTATCAAAGTAAAATTTCTATTATACGTTTCTTAATTTATTTTTCACCAAAGGAACCAATATTTGAACGTTATGTTAATTTTAATTGCAGAGAATATGGATGGGATCCTTCTGCTATAGAAACAAAATTAAAAGAATTACAAGAGAAGGGTGTCGTCAAAGCAATGGAACATGGAGCTTTCACAAGAGTTGTACATCAAGATACACAGATTCAAGTAAATTTCATTTAAATATTATGTCTTTCTTACTGTAATAAACCATTTCAATATTTAATGCTGGTAATATATTTTATTATCTGTTCGTAGGTCGTAAAACAAATGCCAACAATGGCAAGTGCAAAACAACCTACTATAGCAATTATTACGGCACAATATTGTGAGAAGCTTGCAGTTGATTCAATGATAGAAAACAGGGAAACCTTTGTTCGTTATACTACTGTTGGTAAGATACATCTTCTTCAACATCGCATAATTACCTACTTTTTCTATCACCCCTGTATGTATATTAATCTGTATTGATTATATACAGTTATACAAAAGGGACAGTAAATATATAGTATATGTATATGCAGGGTGTTTCTAAATAAATGCTGCATGAAATAACTTCGGAACAGAAGGAGATACAAAAGAAAGTGAGAGGGTTTCCCTTCTTACTAATAATAGTTTCATGTGGCATTTATGTTAAGTATATAATTTAATGTAATTATAAAATAATTGCACATATAAACAATGGTTGAACAGCTATATTAATTTTAATATCGTACGAATCGATGGTAAAAGTATAGAATGTGTTACAAATATACGTATATTTCACTACGCGTGAAACTTTAGGTACGGCAAACTCATCAGATGCAACAAATGGAGTACCGCGAGTGATATGCCGTTTTGGTAAAGTAGTTTGTAATATAGCTTCTATTCCATTTTAATGTCACGTTAATGTTATAGCTTGCCAATTGCTTGTATCCAAGAAATGTCGCAGAGCCATTGTGCTACATAAAGCATATATTAAGAGACATTTTTCTTAGAATATTGTTTTTTATATGACAGAAATCATATTTTGATATTTTGTAATGAATATCATACATCAAATTCAAAATATCACCTCATGTGTCATGTCCTCATGTTTAAATATTCACTTTTTCAGGAATAAATTAAATTAATATTTATTGCGCATAAATATTGAAGGGGCTTGGTTTAAAATCATTCACAAATTGTTTTCGTTTTCATGGGTTCTTTGTTTGTTTTGTTTCTGTGAGAGACGTGCTATATCATTTTGTCCTTTTTTTTTTATTTATGACTGATATTAATCTTTTGTAATTATTGTTTATTTTATTAAAAATATTTACCAAAATTCAGTTAGTTATGATATATATATATTTGTATTATTGTTATCCGTTATTAGTACTTTATTTAATTCACTTTTCATTTGAAATGTTGCAACAATGTTACATAAACTTACGTATTTTTACACAAAGTAGCATAATAAGTTTTGTTATTTATTAATTGCAACTAAATTATGCTCGCAACTTGTCACTTTTTAAGAAACTTCAATTATTTAATGTTCTAATAAGTTTTTAATTGATTAATTTAATTATGTATCTGATAACAGATACTGGGCATAATTGCATCTGTATGGAATGATTTCTTTTTGACCAATTTATTCACATATAACACAGGTTCGATATCAGTCTGTCTATAGCAGCACAGTGCACATGTATCATACACACATTTCAAAATGTCTAATATAAATCCACAAAATACGTATGATGGAAGGTGCAATTATTTTTTGTTATAGGAGAATCAAACGTTTATACGTTAGGCAACATTGGTGCACATAGAATTGTATGCACAAAATTGCCAACTGTAGGTCATACGAGAGAAGCAATGACTGCAGCAGGAAATACAACTACTAGATTATTAGGTAATACTCAAAATTTGTTGAATTATTAAATTAATTTATAATAAATATTCCATCTAAATATTTAATATATTATTTAGGTACATTTCAAAAAGTAGATTTCGTTTTTCTAATTGGAATTGGAGGAGGAGTACCTCATTACACAGATTATAACAAACACGTACGACTTGGTGATGTAGTTATTTCATATCCTATTCCTCTTAACAAGAAATACATTTATGTATATTGTGAAAGCGTAAAGGCGAACAAAAGCGGTGATTACCATTTTGAAACCAAAGAATATTGTCCATCAAATTTATGTCTTCAAGAAATTGCTGCCAATCTTAAAGAACAGGTAAATTAGTTTCACTTTATAAAATTGAATAGAAAAATGGAATGATAATTTGCAAATTTTGTGATCTAGTCGGAAAATGAGACTAATCCTCCATGGCAAGCGTATTTGAAAGAAGGTTTAGATATTCTAAGTAACCAAACGGAACACGATTTTAAAGCACCTCCGCCAGAGTCTGATAAGTTGTACATGGCTATTGGGGAAAGAGATGTTATTGAAGTGGCACATCCTATCGCACCTTTAGATGCTACGAACAAAAGGCAATCATTCCTTAATATGGCTAAAAGATTTTTATAAATTAAGAACTAATCACTATTGCGTTGATTTTACAGAATGGATGGCTGTCCTCGAATTCACTTGGCACCAGTTGCATCTGGTAGACATATCGCGCGCGATGATCAACTTAGGCAGAAATTTGCGGCTCGTTTTGGAGCCCTCGCCTTTGACGCGGAAATGGACGCTGTCGTTGAAAGTATTTTGGGCAATTGCCGTGAAAGTTTTGCAGTTATCCGAGGTATTTCTGATTATAAAGATGGTTCTCGTATTAAGGAATGGCAACCCTATGCATCATTAGCTGCTGCTAGCGTAATGAAATCTATCATTTGCGCAATGGATCCGCCAACTAACGTGTAATACGATTTCCGACGGAATGTATAGGGTAACACAAGTAGCATTAATGGTTTTACATTTTCCATTCTACACAGCATTTATTTGTATAAAATGGACCAACTATTTTTCATTAGTTGAAAGCTATCGTTGTTTATATTGGCGCACTTAAGGAAAATAAGAGCGCACAAGCTTCATCAAAATTACTCAACAAACAGTGTTATTTAATTTCTTTTGTTTTATTTTTATATTTTACATCGCATTTAATGCGAAACAAATCAGTCACTTAATTTATGATCGAGGAGAAAGTAAGATCGTAATCAAAAGATACGACAGTTAGAAAGTAACATGCACGAAGTGCATTTTAATTGATTAAGAAGATATAGTAGGTAATACGAATAATTTTGGTAGTATGTAGTAGGAAACAATGAATTAAACACAATCACGCTTCCGAATAATTTACATTTATATTGCTCAGCAGTTATGTATCTGATTGTGATAAAGATATGTACTGATTTCTATTTTTCTTTTTCAAATTTATCAATTTTTCAACACGACTATTTGGATGGATACTTTATACAACTTGCATTTTTAAATATAACTTGTCGGAGTTAACAGTTTTTAACATCAATTAATAGTTACTAACATTAACATCGATTTACTATACTAATGAATTTTTTAACATGTTTTCATATCACTTTGATATGATTTTACAGATTGTATAGATCTATTCCTATACATTTTGCACTTTTAATACTGTTTTATTATTTTATAATGTATAAGAAAAATCGGTTCAGCGATCCTAAGACTGGTGCCATTTTTCTTCTATGCCGCACATACATAGATTTCATAAAATTCTCTTACGTGGAAAAATAGCTATGTAAAGTAAGAAATTATAATGTTTGCAATAGTTATGTAGTTTAAATATTATTATGATAACGAGTCTCTCAAATATCAAATCTTGTCGGACGGGATCCGAAGTAAAGTAGATAGGAGGAAACAGTGAAAGCTTTAAACGAAGCCTCGATGTAGTCAGCAAGGCAATTTAAATATAGAATATATGATACCTGAGATTGAAGGCAGAAAGTACATTTGGCAGTATTTGTCTAAACACGATCAAATTGTCGTTACAATATTATTCTACAAAATATTACATGTTTCCCAGAGTATATCGTCGTTTTAAAAAGGTCTATCCACTTTATTCACGAAGCATGCAGCAAATGCATCTATATCTTTCGAATTCGGTGGAAAAAAGGAAATATGTATACACAATTATACGCTATCGTCCAAAAGTTTTACGTATTTGTTAATACATTTCTTGCTTTAAACAAAAATCTCTTGATACATCTTCAGTATAAAATACACTTAGTTCGCGCAAGTGTAATGTATTTCAATAATATTTTAATATGCATATTTCAAGTTCAACATTTCTAAAGAGTTCAAATAATTTAGAACACTGTATCATGTTTCATATCTGATCTTTGTGTTTTATTTCTGCCACACCTAAATTTTATTATTTCCATCTTGCTAAAAAGGTGATTAAATTTTTGGACGGTAGTATATGTACCAAATATATTTGAAAATGTACAATTAATTAAGTGCCAATGTGTTCAATAAATTTGGTTGGTGTAAAGGAGATGAGAATTTTTCTAAAAGATACATAAGTAAGAGATATTTTTTAAGTCAATTAATAATATATATCATTACACGATAATTTTAATTAATTATCTTTTTCGTATTTTGAATATCTCATTCTTTATCTTCTGGAATAAGGTTCCCATTACCTGCACAAGAAACAAATGTTGAATTGAACTGTATTCTTAAAATTCAGATGTAAATTGTCATGTCTTTGAAAATTCTTTTATAAAGTTTCAATAGTATTTTTAAACTTTGTTGATAACATTAAATGTAACTTCCTCTCTTTTCAACGTTTTTATAAATTCTAAAGCACAGGGTAGCATATGAATACTTTATACTTAAGAAATATTTAAATATCGGACTCGAGCATAAATCTAAACAATTAGAGAGGTAGTACATACATATAGATATATACATTAGGGTAGACCTTAGCTATATTTGGTGAGAATTTCATTATGAGATTTTTACGCGATATCCACTAGAATTATGTCATTGATGGAAAAATTAATATGTGCAAAATTTGAAGTCGACTGGACAAATGGAAAATGTACCAAAATGTATTGCAACAACAGTTTTTGAATCGTCCGATCGATTTCAAATTTTAAACAGTTTATTTTCTCATTTAGTGGCATAATTTTAAGGGTGGGGGAGGGTCCCAAAAAATTTAATGATCGAAAAATAAGGTCCACCCTAATATACATGTATTGTTAATAGCGTTCAAAACCTTGCAATTTTAGAAGTATCATACGAGTTTCAAACATGTCACTGACTACGTTCTCAGCGACATTTAATCGACAATTTAAAATCCTATTTATTTATTTATTTATTTATTTATTCGATGCAAAATATAATTAAGGCTCTTGAGCTGTACAACATGAGAAATAGATTTTCCTTTTTTGTCGAGGATATTGTTTGTTTTGTATTACTTTAGAAGAACATTGTTGAAATATTTAAAATACAAAACAAAATGAAAGATGAATAATAATTTGTACAGATAGAAGAACCTCAGATCAATTTAATTGATAAAAAAATCACTTGTTGCGTAGAAGCACATTTTTGAAATTCTATAATGAATAGAGAGTAATTATTACATACACATATTATATTATAAATATACACAAATGCGTAAACATAGATACACCACCTATGTAAAGTATTTAATATGTAATATATAAATCGTGAATTCTATTATGACGTGGAACTTTAAATTCGATTTACCTGACGACAGATTCCTACTTAAGGCCTAAATATTAATTGCGTACCGAATGTATGAACTTTGTTATGTTAAGCGAAGCTTTCGAGCTTCGAGCTTCCAACTATATATTTACATAGACTTGCGTTAGTTACATATAGTCGCGCGCTTTCAATGCTAGTCGCACTATTGTGTTTTCCGTCTGTTTATATGTAGGGTTTAATGTTAAGTAACAAATACTATATGTACGTCCACTTAGTTTTTATTTAAAAGAAATTTATTAGCTACCGTAATCGACACGTAATTGTAATGGATTTCGATTTTTAGCAGTTTAAGGTTGTCTCAGTGTTCATATTTCGGAAATATATTACTGACCATTTTACACCGTTTACAAACTAAAAATCAATGAAATCTAATTTACGAACTGACAAATGTACTTGAACGCTATTATACGTAGTTGCGTATCGAAGAGAGCTTAAAGCTTCAGAAATCAGAATCCACGCTTCAAGCTTATAAACGAGTAGTCTTCCTGTCAATAAAAGTATTCGTTGTTAACATTTTGAAATAAGACTTTGGCAATTGATCTTAGACATCGTCTATTTAATATGAACGAGTGTTCGATGTGGTTAATAATATGGGTGCTGCCAAAACATTTTCTTAATTTTATTTCGATATTTTACATTGTTTTGCGTCATTAGAATTGTAGCAAATGTATTTATATGTGAAAATATACACGGTGTCGTGTAATTTATACACAGTTGAAACGGGGATGATCTCTTATGTAAAACGATTTAGGAAAGTCTTCCCTATCTTCTCAATCAAACTAAATCATTCGTTTTTAAACATTCATGTTCGGATGTTAAATTATACATTTCTTATAAGTGCATACCAAAAGTATGACCACATGTGTTCGATATTATCGATTCAATTTGATCCGTGAATTTCAATGTTCAGTCAATCGTTTTGTTTTCCACATACGTAGTCTATCGAAGCAGAAAGCCTTAAAAATTCTTTAAATTTAACATGAAGGATAAGAAGAATATAGCCAAGGCTAAAAATCATTTAAAAAAGATACTTGACATTAAATTGTTCAACCAATGGGAGAACATAGAGCCTGATATTCGAAGAATAATTTCTCAGAAAACTTTTTTAGAAATTCAAATCGGAAAAAATGTAAATTATAATGATTTATGTAACTCATGGATTTATCCAACAAATCTTGTCTACAATGGATCGCAGTATGTTGTGCCACAAACTCCAGGTATATATATTGGCAATATTTGACAGAATACCTTCTCTATTTGGTACATAACAAAATTTAAGAATGTTAACAAATTGTAAAGCTGTATAAAACACTTATTTACAGAAAATAAATTCACGAGGGAATGTAACAAGAAACGCAACGATATTCTTTTAAAAAAGTTGTGGGAATTTTTTAAGTTCGTCAGGTATGATGTATAAATATTTAAAAAGTACATTATTACAATTAATGGATGTAATTATAAACATATTAATTATATTTTAGGCTTCGTTCGTTCAGTGCAAAAGGCGTTTCCGCAATTTTAGGAATCGTATACTTGACGCATTTATTTTTCCTTTTGAACCCATGGTGGACAGCTAAAGAAATTTATGAGTTTTTTCATCAAAGTATATTGCTGTACGTCGTATTGGTTCGTATTTTTTATACCTTCTCAATATTATAACAAGTATTAAAGCTTTTTTAAAAAACAGTGATTGACTAAGGAACAAAATTATCAGGCGTGGGTTGTCCCATCTTTTTAAAATACCCTCTATATCTTCTAATTATGACATTATTATCTGTGAGAAATCATTGTTCAATGATTTTTTTTATGATTAAAATAATAAGAAAGAATTATCTCCAAACTTAATCAATGCAACGATTTATATATATCAAAATTGTTAATTGTCATAATTATTTGATACGCGCGATTATTTTTAATTGTTAAATATCGTTATTTCGTTTTCCTTGGTCGAATAAAAGAATACAGGAAAATTAAGTATTTATTCTTAGAAGAGTATTAATATTGAACCATTAAGATTTTACTAAGAAATGTGAATATATAATTTTAGGATTCTCCAAAGAAACTAGAAGTATTTACTGTGACTGAAAGTAGTCTTCTACTCGAAGCATTTCACGAAATATGCATGCAGAATCTTATATTATTACGCATTTTATGCCATACAAATTACCATTTAATTATAAATCTACAGGATCAGGCAAATTTAGCTCGGAAAAATTGATGAAAGTATTTCCCAAAATAAATAAACCTATTCTACGTACATTTATTCTGTAAGACCAAACAGTAACATTAATAAGTACAATAAGAAAAATCTGTAACGTAGAATAATGCGATAAAGAAGTCTAATATAGTAGAATAATAAAATTCATTGTTTCAATGTTATCGGTCAAAATACTCTACAATGCTCATTTGCTAGTAGATGACTGATAACCACAATCGTGACTTTCTTCTAATGTTCTTCCAGTATTCTCTCCATTACAAAAATTTTCATTGCATTCTAGATTCTCTTTCTGTAGTTCGTTTATCAAGTACTTCATTTTTGGAAACCACCAAGCATTACCACGTGTCGAAACGCGCAATTCCTAATATTAAAAAAGTATTAAAAATTCATCATGGTACAATGAGAAAGAGGAAATGGTTCTCCATGATAATAAATCAAATGTCTACAATAAATTTATATCTTACAGAATACTTCTGAATAATGACATATTATTTCTTCGTTTATAAGTAAAATTTTATGAAAGAATGTGTTGTAAATAATTTTAATTGTAATACAATGTTAGCTTGAAAAATTGAATTACGCGCATTTTTAATACTTCTCTTATTAGTAAAATAAACTAAAAAAAGAAGCATATTTTTAACAAATAAATACTAAAATTATTACGTGTAAAATATCGGGTCGGATGTAATTTTACTGAATTTTAGTCATTTTTTTTTCAAGAACGAAACCTTGTGAACCTTTCATTTTATACTGGGAATAATACTTTATTATATAATAACAAATGTATAAAAATGTACTAACTTTTTCAAAAGGCGAATATTTCGAGTTCGTGGGAATTGTTAAGCCTGCATTTTGTGCTACAATTGATGATACTACATGGCATCTTATGCAATTATTTTTAACACTTTTTCCACCATATTTGTGCATTCTTTTTAGTCTTTGAGTCAGTAAATGATTAATACGTTTGAATCGTTTTGTTTCGTGTAAAAGAGCCCTGAAAAAATAATTTGAGATTACAATGAGAGAGAAAGAGAGAGAGAGAACACTTACTTTTTCTTAAATCCAAGTTGCAATAGTTGTTGTTGATAAGATTTCAATTTCGAGCTAAGATTATTTAAATATTCTCGTTGCTCTTCCATCCAAATGCGAATACAGGAAATAACGTATTGCGATTGATTACAAAGTTCTGATCTGCTCGTGGCTGTTTCCGTTAATTCTGCTAACATGCAGGCCAAAGACTTATTTTTTAATTGGCATTTCTTTTTTAATTCTAACATAGATTTATGTGTCTCTTGTAACTAAAATAAATTCAAATATATTAAAGAATTTTCATTTATATAATGAACACAATTTATTTTTATATCACAATTAAATATTTTTCTTTTTTTTTAATAATAATAAAATAGCATTTAACCTCTAAAATGATTTTACTATTATTTTCTTCTACCATAGCTTTTTCTTTAATAAGAATACAATTCTGTTCCATGCATTTTTGAAGCTGTTGAACTAAATAGCATTTTGACTCTTCTAATTTCTTGGTTTTCTCTTGTTCTTTCTCAATCTGAAAATAATAAGAAAAATATAGTTTTACTATCTATTCTCAGTGAGGCACAATTATATTTTAACATTTTCAATCAAAGAAAAAATAACGTTTGTACTATTTTAAAACTATATGTAACATTTATGTTTACTCAGGTATACACACTATATCTTTCAATTGGCAAACATCTTCTGTTGTTTTATTTTCAAAAGCATTGTTCTCTGCTCTTAGAATACAATTGTCATTCTGTAATAACAAAAATTTCTTAAGAAATATCTACTCATGATTTGCTTGATAATAGATATTTACATACTTTTAGCATTTCATAATCCGCTTCTAACTTAGACATGATATTTGATTTTCTTGTTAGCATACTTTTTAAAGACTGTATTCGATCGTACAATACGGACATCTCTTGTTCAGCGTCGTTTAACTCGGATAAATACTCTTTAACTTCTTTGTCCTTTGTACCTAATTTTTTCTCAAGTTCTTCAATGGTGTCAAATTGCTTTTTTATAACAATTTCATTATTCGTAATTTGATTGTATAAAGTATTAATCTAGGAAAATTGAAATTAATTACTATCAATATTTTGTTATTTATTATACATGAATATATCTATTCATATATACCTGCATCTGTTTATCTTCTAATTTTTTAAACAATTTCTCAAATTTTACATCATTTTCTTTAACGAGTTGCAACTTTTCTAATAAATTTTCCGTCTTCTTTGCTTGGTTCTTTATATCAGACCTGAGTTGTTCATTTTCATAACGCAAACGACACTCTGTGTCTCTTATTTTTTGAAATTCAAACGAAATCTGCTGAGTATAAGTATCGCTTTCTCTTTCTATTTTCAGTTCTTTATCAATGATATCAAAATCTAATTTACATTTTTGTAATTGTTTTTTCATATCTTCGTTCTCTCTGGTTAAAATGTCTATTTCTGACTGTAACTCGTATCCATATGGCAAGTTTTTAATTTGTTCTTTAGTATTACATGTTAACTCATTAAAGTTAAATGTATCTTGGGTGATACAAACTTTATCTCCGACTTCTATTTTACACTGGCACATTTTGTCTTCATAAATCTTTTTCTGCTCTGGTTTTGATACCGATTTCCTAAACAAATGATTTAAAAAATTATGTTTCATAGTTATAGAATTGTCTTGTTCAAAATATATGTAAATTAAGATATTGTATTACTTTAGTTCTTGTAATTTTTCTTCTGTTTCTTGCCACAACTTCTTCATGTTTAAGTATTTGTTTTCTGAGGAGCATTTTAACTGTACCAGAGTATCTATCTACACAAAATAAAAGTAATATTAGTTTAATAAAACTGGTTGTTAAAAATTACGATTTCCTTATTTTTCATGATGCTATCATACCTTGTACTTCAAAGTTTGGATATCGTTTACATGTGCTTCTAACTGCTCCTAAAAATATTTGCAACAATTAGTGAATATTATTTCTAATACTTAAAATACGTTAACATTAACATGAATTTATTTTAATAGCTACAACAAAGATTGTACGGCTTTTATTGTCTAAGATAATTTTCCAGGTTTCTCTACCTGAATTGTTCTTAGAATAGAAAAATGCGTATCGGGGATAGAAGTAATAGTTAAACAATTAGCATATTCCAAATAGCAAATCCTTTGCTGAAGATGACAAATCATGTCTCGCTGTAGATCCAATAATTTGTTTTGTTTAACAGCCTTTGTATAAAAAAAATAAAGATTTCTCTTAATCAAAAATTCATATTTTAAGAGTATTAGCATTAACACTAATTGTGAAGAGAAATATACCTAACGTACCTCCGCAAAACATTCATTGTATTGACTTTGAGTTTCTTCCACACACACTGTCAATAAACGAATAGTTTTACATTTTTCTTCAAGCTGTAAATAATAACCCACTCGATTGTTTTTCTGACATAACTCTTGAAAATTAATACATATTTCCTAATTAATGTTTCAAATACAAATTTTACTTTTGTATATTGTTTATTGTAAACTCTTATTAGTTAAAAATACACTCTATACTTTGAATTACAAGTGTTAGTAAAAAAGCCATTAGTATACAGAAGGCCGTGCTTAAATATTTTTATGTCCAGAGTAACAATTAGATCACTCATGCTAGATCAATTTGACGCTCTTTGTTCTTCGTCAAAACAATGTTGATCTTGAATGCGGTGTGGAAAACCCATAGTAAAAAAAATTAAACGCTTGTGTTAAGTTTTGGATTATAAAAGGTGAAAATGATTCTTTAATACTGATTATTAAAATTGTACTGAAAGTTATTATATTGCTTTTTGAAAATATTACAGCGAATGTATCTTTTTCTATGCAGATTGGTTCAAACATTATTTGCACACACTATTACAAATTACAGTTTAAACATCATGCACATTTCCATGACTGTATGTGGAAGATGAAATCGTAGACCACTGTTCACTCACGTCGCTCATATTACTATATCCCATTTGATCTACTCGTCTTTTAACTTTTACAACAGTGTTCTGTAAGTGCCAAATAGTTTGAGTTTGAAGCTCGTTCTAAAAAAGGAGAAATCTTTTAATTAATTAATGGAAAAATAGGTATTTAATGAAATTAATCAAGTTAATAAAAACCTGTTTTAATAATTCTTGTTTTTCTTTCTCATAGTGAGAGATTATTTGATCCTGATTATCAATCTAGAAATGTATATTTTACATTTTGTTGTTAAGATTTCAATATTTATAATGCACATACCTTTAGTATATCTTGTTAACATTTAAAAATTCTTGCTTTTTAGATTCACAATGTCTTCATTAAACAATACGTATAAACATCAAAATTCTACACACGCTTATAATATATAAAATAACATCAAACGACATATTTTCGACTTACAATGAATACGATACATAATAACATGTTAATCTTATTATTATTGCAAAATGATATTTTTCTATAATAAAAAAAATCAAATGACTTCTAACATACCTTCTTTTGTAAATTTTGATGAAGCTCCTTTAACTCAGCTTGTGTCATCTCGAGAGAATCCTTTTGAATCTTAATAATTTGATCCATATCTTTCAACTGCACATACAAATACATATAATCATTAATTTTTTTTTTTAAATGTAACCTTCGAGCAGGATTAGTTATAAATGAATTACACTTACAAGTTTATCCTTTTTACATAAAGCATTTTTAAGTTTTTCAATTTCTTGGAAAGAATTCTCTAATTCATCTTCGTATTTTTGTAATTTGTCCATTATCGATTTTGCAGAGCAGCATGAATCAGTCTGATCCTCACCAATCTGTAAATGTAATTATTTTTAAACAATTTAAAATTTCAATTCTTCTTCTTTTCACGGGCATTTATATTTTCACCATAAACATAATACGAAACTATAGAAATTGAAACGAAATATTAATAAGGAAATTGTAATTACTACAAAACTTACAAATTAATACGAACCAAATTTGTAAATTCAATTTTCAACTCTTGAAGGCCAGTTTTTGTCGATCTCATAGTATCTTGTAATGTTTTCAATAGCTGAGGTATGATCTGAGAATACAAATCAGTTTACCATATCGCGTTTACTTGTACATATACTATATTTTACATGTAGAAATTTATAAACATTTACCATTGTATCGTGTCGAAATTGATTACATTCACAGTAGAGTAGTGTTTCCTCGATACTATGTTCAGCATGCTTTATGTTTAATGTGTCAAGTATTAATATTAGAGATATTAACAAAACAAATTGGAGCATTTATCTTATTCATTTATGGAAATTTAATAAATTTATTAGGGTATACTACTAAATAGTTTTATCCTTATTAAATTCAAAAAACAATAAGAATACAAATAAAATAACGTTTATAGTAAATTAAACTTACAAAAGAATTCAATACTTCTTTGGACTTCTTCAATTCTAATTTGCTATCGTTTAGTTGTTGTTGAAGATTATATTCAATTTCTTCTTGCAATTTCAACTGAAATTTAAATATATATTAATTATCTAATATATAATGTAATATCATTTTATGTTTAATTGATATTTACAGTGTTTTCTAACTGTATTATCTTTTTTTGTAATTCTATATTATCTTCGGAATGCAATCGCTTATAGTTCTGTGCTTTTGCTTGTACAATTTTAAGTTCCCCTTCTATCGATTTAATGTTCTGCTTCAGAAAATCGTTTATTTCTTGATTGCACTTTGCCTAAAACATGTAAAAGAACTGTATATAAATGTTTCCTTATTTTTTTAATACAAAGTAAACTACATTATTATTATACATATACCTCGTGTTGTAATATTTTAACTTGATCTTGTAAATCGGACATTCTGCATTTCCATAAACATGTGTCTTCGTTGCATTCTATATAAAGTGATTTCTATAAAAAATTTATTATACATAAACGAATATATATATTTAACATACAATAAAAATTATCCTTAATAATTTTCTCACTTGCGATAGTTTGTATTTTAATTCATCGTGTTCCTTTCTTAATCTGTATAGATCTTGTTTGATTTGCAGTATTTCATTTAAAGTCTAAGATCAAAAAAAATAATACAAATTAAATAGATGTACGCGCGTGTTTATTTGAATAAATTCAGATACTATAGAAGACAATATAATTAATATATGTATACCTGTGTATATAGTTGTGGTTCTGTGACATTATTGTCACATACCTATTAAACGTTGGTTATAAAATTAATTAATATCAATGAAATCAATGAAAATATATATCTTTAATTTAACAAAAATAAAAGATAATTACCTGATTCTTTGAGGAAATGAATTGTTCCAATATGTGTTGTATTTTTGAGTGAATTGCATCAACTTTTCTTTCTAGTTTCCTTAACTTTTGCTCCTTTTGGGACAGTGTTGTTTCTACCACGTCATGCGTTAATAGCTACAAACGATGAAGTGTTTTTAATACTAACATCAATAAATAATATTTTGTTGCACTTTTAATAATAAGTGTACTTACCGCTTCGTCCATTTTTTGCTGTAATTTTTGTATAAATAAATCTATTTCGCAAAACTGATTCTTTAGTTCTTTCGTATCTGACGCGATGCAACATCCCTTAAAAAGTGTTAATATTATTATTCATTCTCAATTTTCAATATATCATTCAAAAAGAAATTTACTTGAGCTTGAAATGCTTGTAGACTGTTTGATGTTTGTTCTATTTCCTCAATGACTGAATGCAACAACTCATTGCACATACACATTTCTTTATAATTGGATCCAATACTTTCCTAAAATTTAAATATGCGTAAAACAGTTATGAAATTATAATAATAATGGTAATAAAATTGATCAAATAAAATGTTACCTTTATATTAGTTTGCATTCCTGTAATGTGACCTAATAAATGGGACTGAGCATGATTTATTTCATTTTTAATATCCTTCAACTTTATGTTTCCGGAACTAATTCTCTCATTATGCATTGTTCTTTCGTCTTCCTACATTCAACGCAAAATTGAATTTAGCGAATATAGTAATGATATCAACGCGATAAAAGTTAATAAATCTTACTTGTAATTGCAATCTATCAATTGTTTCGATTATTTTTTCCCGACTTCTTATTAGTTGATTTTGTACATTTACGATCTCTTTATTTAAATCGGTATACTGCAAACATTTTATATTATTAATACAAAAGTTACAGATAAATATTTAACAATATGTTCTGATAGAAACTTACTTTTTGATGTCTAGACTTAAAAGTGGAAACTACAATATCAATTTCTTCTTTGATGCCTTCTGTAGTGATCTGGGCTTCAATAGCGTATGTTCTAAATAAATCCATTAATTTAAATTGTTGATTAACATCTGTATCTAACTAAAACAAAAATTTTCTTTATATATTAATATTACTTATGGATTATGATTTACGGAAAAGAATTATTTTTTAATTATTTAATACGTGTATGGTTTGCTAAAAAATAAATAATATAGATACACACTATTTGTGTTTAAATTTCATAAAATAATACTTACCGATAAATTTACACTTTCCGTGTAAAGTGAATTATTGTTTTCCAATTTTAGCTAAAATAAAATAAAGTAAAATTTATTACATAATATTTGAACGAACAATTAGTTTTTACAGAAAATATTTAGAAAGCTGAACGTACTATAATAGAATTAATACTTGCGATCGACGTCTCTTTTTTTGAACACATTGTGTTTATATAGTCAATACTTTTAGTCAGTTCATAAAGATTGTTCCTATTGAATTCATTCTTAACTTTGTGACATTCCTGTACAATTAAAAATTACAAATATCATTATTTGTTTAAAAAATATGTAACACTCGGTAATGTTTCTCAAAAGAACAAATTCAAATTATCCAATTTTCCAGACAAATTACAGCATTTTTACAATTAATTAAAATCCCAGTCCCAGTCATAAGTTATTTCATAGATTATATTAAAGTTACCAACTTGATCTTTAGCAGAGCATAACTTTTCTAAAGTCTTCTCTAGCTCTTCCTTTAATTTAAGAACATCCTCTTTCTCTTGTTCCATCCATGATTTTACTTTAGTCAAGTATGATATTACTTGATTCTAGAAATACAAATACATAGCGAACAACTAATTCCTTTAAATACCATTATAAATGAAACAACTTACGTCAAAAGTTTGTTGGTCATTTGCTACAACCAAATTTGAAATTTGATTCTCAAACTTGGCACGTTTTTTGAGATTGTCACTAAAGTTTTGAAATTGAGTACAATATTTATCAGTAGCATCTTCCTTAGTTTCTGATTTCTTGTTAGGTTGAGTTACTTCATCTTCCGATTTCGTTTGATGTCTAAAAAATATGTGAAATCCCAATTAGTAATAGAAGAAATTTAGTATATCTACAAGTCCTAGATATTAAAAATTTCTTTTATTTATACTTACTCAGCCATTTCTTTTTCATTTTCGTGAAAATGTTCAATTTGTAATTTTAAGGACTGTATACATTTCTGATTTGTCTCTTCCTAATTTCAGAATTGCAGAAATAATTTAAAATTAACCCTGTTTGTAAATAGTACAATCTAATCTGATAAGAACTAGTATAAGAAAAACAACAATACTTTGTATAACCATTTCATACACTTTCCATTTATTTTGCATAAAATGTATTTTTGACAAAGTTTACCAAAGTGTAGAAAATCAAAATATAAAATAAACAATATACATCAATTATATAGATCCAAGGAAAGAGTAGGTTTAATTAAAGCGGTCTTAAATGGGGAGGATGCATTACGAAAATACTCCCATTTAATGAATAATCTGATTTATTTGATAGACCATGACTAATTTTTATTTTAAGTTTAAATCTTTTATCAGCATTTAAATTTATATTTACCTGGTCACAGCTACAACTGTAAAAGTACAAAAAGAAAATTACTCGGATGCACTAACTGCCACATTGGTCATATATGACCAGCCATGGTTTCTCCCATGACGCCATGATTAATATAAATACTAACAAAAACTTACTCTATAGGAATAGGTATATCGCTAGGTTCAATTTCAAAGAACTTTATCCCTTCTAAATTCCAATGCTTTTCTTGTGCTGCACGCCGTATTAATTCCAGTAACCCTCTAATATCGCTTTGAAGAAATTCTATTTTTTGTTGCTTATATTCTTTATCCTTTTCTAAATTGCTAATACGATTTGAAAGCGTATTTATATCCTATAATAATAGATTATTTATTGTATTAGATTTGCACCTCTTTTTATTTTAATCATTTTTTATAATAACTTTAAAGACCTTACCTTTTCTGTGTCGTACATGTTTATTGTACTATCAAATACTATCATCGACGACTGTTTTAATTTCTGTTCTAATAATTTCACTCTATTTAATGCAGCCTGCTCCAGATCTTCTACTATTTGAACTAACATAATATTTTGTTCTTTTAAATTCCTGATCCATTCTCTTGAAATTTCCAATTTCATCTTTAAAAAAAATATTTCTTATTTATAGAAATCACATTATCAAAAATTAGCCACATACTATTAAATGAGACAAATAATAAAATAGCTGAGTAAATAAACAATTTTGTTATACATAGAGTTGAAGTAACGACAAAACCATGGGTTAGGTTTACGATTAGGTTAGGTTTAGGAATACGATTCTTGCTTTCTCCGATTGCGAATACATAAGTTTTAAAAAGTTTTATATCTTACAGAAAATGTTCGATAAAACTTACGCAGACTTGATCAATTTCACTTTCGAATTCTTGATCAACGTTTTCGATACGATCCTCGTACAATTTTTGAAACTCGCCGATAATTTTTAAACCATCCGTTTTAACGCAAAGGTTTCTGATACTCTTGTCGGTAGTGGTACAATTACAATCATCGTCATCAAGCGTAGACATATTTTGAAAGGGTTCAATCATCGAGTCACGTTTGCTCATGACACGTAAATTAGAAAGACGATAAACACACGAATCAATTACATAAAGTTCATTAACGTAAAAAAATCACCTTACATTCGCTGTCAACGCAATCTTTAAATAAATACTAACGCGTTAACTCGTTATTTAATTAATGCAACCAATAACACGTTTTTAATATCGTAAAGTAAAAGTCCTCAAAGAACGCATACCCCGCTGCCGACTATGATTAACGCTAGGTCATGTCATAAGGAGTCATATCTTGGTAACTAGTTGTTAGGTTAGGTCTGGGTTACTAACCACCTAAACAAAATACAAAACAAAGCAATCACCCTAGTCGGTTTTCTTAGTTTATTAAGCCAAGGACGGGCAGTGTGGCCAGATTAACTTGAGACTATATGTACGTCAATCTAATAAACAGTGTCTAAAGTTTATTATTATTGTAATAACCACAGTAGTGATCAATATAAGTGAACCACATTATTGCCCATTTAATTGTCCGTTTACTTTGCCCCTTATCTCAAACACGGACATTTAAATGGGCACTACTCTGCCTAATTGATTGTATATCTATATATATATCAAGACGACATCTACCATAAAACGCCCAAGTTTGTCGAGAAATAATTCACTGTTTGCACACTAGATGGCGCCCCAATTATTTACGATCGAAAACTAATTTTAATTTATTTATTAATGCAACAATAGAGTACTCAGTAATTTAGATCACTTGTAAATGCTTCACAATTAACGCCAAAGGTCCAAACTTATCAAGAAACAGTCCTATTCCTGTCCGTTAATTAGTTTAACCTGTGGCTTAGGTCAGCGATGTCTTCTGACAGGAATAGGATTCTTTCTAGGCAAGTTTGGACCTTTGGCGTTAATTGTGAAGCATTTATAAGTGATCTAAATTACTAAGCACTCTATTGTTTACTTTAGAATAAGACTAGAAGATAGAATTGTTCAAAATCTGTTACACAACGATTTAATTTATTTATAAAAGCGTTTTCACGATCACAAGAGTTGTGTTTCTGTATAATAGTGTTTGAAAAGTGTAAGACATTCCTTATATTTATATTAATAAAACATTAAAGCCACAATACATTTATTTTCCATACTTTTTATTAACATTCTCCACTACCTTTCCCTTTAATTCCCTAATTTCTTAAATTCTTAAGTATTATAATCATTTAAAACCATTCTAATTATTATTCGTAACTAATTAAGGTCGTCAACAACTTCTCTATGCATTATTTCGTGTAATTAATAAGTTATAAACAAATTACTGAAAGCGATATTTATTTCAATATTGGGCAAAAAAGTGACAAACGACAGTATCGCCATCTAATATCAGTGTTTCGAAGTCAAAAAATCGTCCCAGGATCACAGAATGTTAGTGGAGGTATCCGGAGTACAGCTACCCCCACTCCTCCTCCTCCTGATATACATAGCCTTGATTATTCATTAATAACTCCTTTTCTGGTTATAAACTATTAACTCTTAGAATTGAAGAATGTAGTATAGACCCTTGGCAACATTCAAGGATACTTTTTATAACCATGGCATGCGTTATTAAATAGTTATTAACAAATATCTGACAACGGAACATTCACGGCTGTATCACCGTCTCCTTTAATCGATGAATTATCAACTTTTCAACAATGACACGCATATTTTGGATATTAGGGAACCTAGAGGACATCCCTGGCCACATTCTGGGACCAATTTTACCTCGCTCCACGCTTTAATTAATTAGTTATTAGCGAAAGATCCCTAAGATGTCACGTTAAACGGTTACAAACAGTGTTCCGACTTCCGATAATTGTTAATAACTATTTAATAACGCATGCCATGGCTAGAACCGGTATCCTTAAATCTTGCCAAGGGTTCATACTATATTCTTAAACTCTAAAAGGTCATCTGTTAATCCCAGAAAAGGCGTAATTAGTTAATTAACAAGCAGTGATTGCTTGAAAGCAGCGATTTGCATTGTGGCGCCAACTAGTGGCGAAAACAGCAAACTATGAGGTTTTCGAAGTTTAATAAATTACTGCTCATTAATTTACTAATTACGCCTTTTCTGGGATTCATTTATGAACTTTTAGAATTGAAGAATGTAGAATGGACCTTTGCCAAGATTCGAGGATACCTTTTCAAACCATGGCATGCGTTATTAAATAGTTATTAACAATTATCCGAAGTCGGGACACAGTTTCTAACCTTTTAACGCAACACCTCAGGGTTCTATCGTTAATAATTAATTAATTAGAGCAAGAAGCGAGGTAAACTTGGTCCTTGAATGTTGCTAGGGATGTCCTCTAGCTTCCCTAATAGCCAAAATATGCGTGTTACTGTTGAAAAGTTGATAATTCATCGATTAAAGGAGACGGTGATACAGCCGTGAATGTTCCGTCGTCCGATATTTGTTAATAACTATTTAATAACGCATGCCAGGGCTATAAAAACTATCCTTGAATGTTGCCAAGGGTCTATACTACATTCTTCAATTCTAAAAGTTCATAATTTGTTCCTGGAAAGAGAGTTATTAATGAATAATCAAGGCTATGTATATCAGGAGGAGGAGGAGTGGGGGTAGCTGTACTCCGGATACCTCCACTATCATTCTGTAATCCTGGGACGATTTTTTGACTTCGAAACACTGATATTAGATGGCGATACTGTCGTTTGTCACTTTTTTGCCGAAATATAGTGGCGCCATCTAACATCAGGGTTTCGAACTAAAACTCCTACTCGTGATATACATAGCCTTGATTATTCATTAATAACTCCTTTTCTGGGAATGAAATATGAACTTTTGGAATTGAAGAATATAGTATAGACCCTTGGCAACCTTCAGGGATACTTTTTATAGCCATAGCAAACGTTATTAAATAGTTATTAACATATATCGGAAGTCGGAACATTCACGGCTGTATCACCGTCTCCTTTAATCGATGAATTATCAACTTTTCAACAATGATACGCATATTTTCGCTATTAGGGAACCTAGAGGACATCCCTGGCCACATTCTAGGACCAATATTACCCCGCTCCTTGCTCTAATTGATTAGTTATTAGCGATAGATCCCTTAGGTGTCGCGTTAAATAGTTCGAAAACGTGTGCAGAGTTCCGGGTATTGATTAATAACTATTTAATAACGCATGCTATGGCTATAAAAAGTATCCTCGAATGTTGCCAAGGGTTTCAGCTATATTATTAAACCCTAAAAGTTCATGAATGAATCCCAGAAAAAGAGTAATTAGTAAATTAACGAGTCGTAGTTCATTGACAGCTGCGATTTATTGAAGTGGTCTCTATTGTGGCGCCATCTAGTTGCGGAACATTGAAACTTGTCGAGCGATGGTACACGATTTCACCACTAGATGGCATCCAAAGTGTGATACCTCCTCCTACATTCTGTGATCCTAGCACGATTTTAGCAGTACGAATCCCCGATATTAGATGGCGATACCATTTTCATGCAGAAAAATGGAACGAGTGCACCTGTGTACCTAGTGCTCGATCTAATTACATTGATAACCGTCCCCTTATCTGATCCAGTAAATGGATATCACTGTTTGAAATGCATATAAAAATGTGTAGCTCGAAATTCAGATATACTATCCAATAACTATCAGCTGATTTTACTTTTGATTATTTCCCTTTAAATAAACACGTACGTATAGTTTGGAAAAACATATTTAAAAACAGCCATGATCTATCTTGTATGTGTTTATAAAATAGTACTATTAAGTATTTGTTAGAGTATATCAAATTATACTCTAAATCATTTTATTAAAGTTACAATATTTATATTTTATTTGTATTGAAATAGGGTTATGAAACGGGAATGTTTTTTATTTAAAATTTATACGAAATTGCAGTATGGCTTCAGCTTCAAGTACAAGTGCTCGCAGTTTGTTCGTCGAGTCGAAAATGAGATTGGCAGATAGAGTACAAGTTAATGTTAATAACATTGCTTCTCTTGCCAGACAAATTCAGAGGGGTTCAAAAAGCAGCGAAGTAATACCTTGCATAAATTTTACATAGTATCTATAAAAAAATTTGGTTCCTTTTCTAATTAAGATGTGTTTACAGATATTAATGCACAGCGCTAAAAATTTTGCACAGCAAGAACACAGTTTAGAAACCGCTGAAACAAATTTGACGAAACTTGCTCTTATAGCTACGCATTTAGAATGTCAAATAGATTCCATGAGTAGGAATTCCATAATTTTGGAACAAGTTACGGAGCAAGTACGTGCTATGCAGAGATAAATATATAATTTGCTGCATATCTGGTTTATATTGTATCCTTATTAAGTAATAAAAGAATCAGAATAATAAGAAATATTTGTGTGTCTGTCTTGACTAAATGTACCCAAATAAAATTTTAAATTTAAGTTCTACAGCTACATTCTCATTTTAAATTTACATAAAATGTACTTTACATTTGAGAAACATAAGATGTAACAGTTTATAATTATTGTTAAATTATTTATTATTTATTTTATATAATTAACTTATAATTTGAATTGGAAAACAATTTATTACAATTGACAAAAATTTCTTTAAACGCGTACCTTTTTAGAAGATAAAATGTATAAGTAAATAACTCTCTTTCACATAAAATTTCATATTCTTATAGTATACATGATCAAATTTAAATTGATTGTTTGTAATTGCATTATTACACGATATTTCATCAAATAATAGTTTTATAAATTTTTAGTACATACGTAAGATATAATTTGTTAAATAATAAATCTTTGTCATGAATGAGACTTTCCAAATTGTTGTTGTGCGAAATTTATCAAGGGTAAAGAATGTCATAATGACCAGGACGATATAATAAATGAACCGCTGGAGTGGCACCATCGGGAAAGTCATGTGCAGTTACTTCGGTTCCTGCACCTCGATCCATGTAACGAACTCGCACTCCAGTTCCTAAAGCAGTACTCATTGCTATAATGTGAATGTGATCAGATTCTTTGTACATTGGTTCCACTTCCTACAAAAATGTATCGCAATATTTTTCCATAGTTCGTACAAAATTGATTAGATCGGTAGATGTATATTATTAATAACAGTATTGTAAATATTTTTGTATGAAAATGAAAATTACATCGCGTTGATAATGCTTATCGTACTCACTTGATGGCAGAATTCTGAAATAGTACGTTCTCCTTCTATAAAATGTTGATAAAAATCAGCTTCGCGTTGTAATTGACCAGATGTAATTAATCTAAGATATACAACGACATAATCGGAATAACCCTGTTCATTGAAAAGTTTGTGTAGTTCGATGTAACTTGATTCTGCACCTCCTCCTACTTTGTCGATTACTTCCATAAACTATAATGCCAAAAAGAATCAAGTATTTTTTTCTAACAGCTTACAGGTACATATATTCTTCAAAATGAAATTAACAAATTACTTTTATATCTCATGTATTTACCGTATCGTGAAAATCTTCGACCGTAAATTGGGGAAAACCTAATGCTACCAAACTGTCTTTACTTTTTAACGCAAATTCACGAAATTTTTCATATTCATCTTTATTTCCAATTAGTTTTTCTAAATATGCATAACTAAAGGCTCTAAAAAAACAATTTCCATCTGGCCTGGTTCTTCTAATGTAAGAATACTTTTGACCCAGTACTTTAGTTTTAGAAAGATATACATCGTCTTCTGTGTATTCACGTTCCAAGCTCTTAATCGATTCTTTTTCTCCAACTAGAGCGATAGATTCAGAAATCTGAAAAACAGTCGATCCGTTCTATAACTTTGCTTATTCTTTTGAATAAAGAATTTATATATCGCATTGTATTAATCAACATAATCACAGAATCACTTTGGAACAATTTTTAGAATTATCTTCTTTTCTAAGGTAGTGTAATTGTATTGCACATTCTCTGCTTTAACAAACATAAAGTTTACCGAAGAACGGGACACAACAAAACAGGAACGAACATTAATAACAGTTGTTAACAATATAAAGTAATAATTTGTAATTTTCTAATAAAATCTGATTATTAATTGATAAGAAAATGTGCAATACATCGATTTTAAAAATGACAGAAAGTGAATATTAACCTCTTTTTCGATTCGCCTTTGTTGTTGAATAATCAATTCATCTTGGTTGACGTCTGTAATAAAACGAATATAATAAATTATATGTCCATGTTTTGAAATTGTAGTTTATGTTTAAAAACCTGTATTTTCCGTTAACTGCCCTTTCAAAGATTTCTCTTCCATATTTCAAGAGATTTTCATAAATTTCGAAACGACTGTCAAATTACCAGTCGTAAATAAAAGTCCGATGTCCATGTGGAAATTGAAAAGCATTTACCGTCGTACTTAAAAGCTTTAGATTGGCAACTGTGTTTCTCAAAATGGCACACTATAGCACAAAGTCACAGAATAATATACAGAAGCGACACTTCCTAGTTTTTGCGAAACCAAATTTTGAGGGTGCACACATGTAAATTTACATAGCGCGGGCTCAATTATATTTCGTGTTTCATTTATTAGCAATGCTAATTATATGTAAAGGGTACTCGTCGGGCGAAAACTTTTGCCTTCCCTGTATGTCAAACAAGTACTAACATCGGCAATATTGCCTCAAAGAACATCAAAGATTCAAAATTCCGATAGAAGTGTCGCTTCTGTATGTTACTCTGTGGTGTAATCGAAAATGCGTTCCTAACGAACTTGTACCTGTACCTATAACAGAATATATCGCTCTTAAAGGTCCTTTTTCACGCCACTTAAAGGTTTCATTTATGTTATTATTTATATATATAAACGATAACTTCACTATTTTTCTCCCAGCACTTGCTTTCATTATACGTGGCCACTTCCAATGAATAATATTTAATTTTATTATATTTGTTATATATTTAGTAATATTAACGTTATAGTATTTTAAGTAGTCGAATCGTAATCGATATTTTATCGATAAATCGTGACGCGATTTCCTTCAACGTGATCAATATAAATATGGCAAATTTTGAAAACGAACAAAGTACAAATGATAAAGAATTAAATGACAGTAATATTAGCACCGGTGAAGAAACTTCTCAAGAAGAAATTGAGAATAATATCCGTTCCGATGAAGAACAAAAAGAAAAATTAGTGAAGTTACCGTTAAGTCGGGTAAAAACAATTATAAAAATGGATCCCGAAGTAAATATGGTTAACCAAGAAGCCGTTTTCCTAATTGCTAAATCCACGGTAATTATGAACTATACATTAGTTACATTTGTATTATTACATTTTTTGTACATTACACTAATTATAAAACATTCGATCGTTAAAAATGATAAATTCGTTAATGATTTATCTTTAAATGTAATTAGTATCGTAAGGTGCATATATTAAGTTCGAATATTTGAAATGTCATTTTTCGTATGTTTGTACTTTATAACACTTGATGGTATATTAAATATCCCAAGTTTGATTTGTATAAAATTCAATTATTGAAAACAATGTAAAGATGACATTTTATATGCACTAACCTAATATAATTGTATCATTGTACACAAAAATTGTAAAGTAATTCAATGAATTAGAAATGGTTACATTTTGTCTGAATTATATGATAAAATTCTGTTGTCTAACAATTCAGTCACACAATTAAGTGTACGTATTTCGTGCCATGCAATATTTATTAATTTTGCTTTTTATTCCAGGAATTATTTATAGATTCTCTAGCTAAAGAATCTTATAAACATACTGTACAGATGAAAAAGAAAAAGACTATACAAAAACAAGATGTAACAAATGCGATAAATAATGTTGATGCACTTGTATTTTTAGAAGGGGCACTAGAATAATATTTAGTTTTCATGTATGTTTTTATGTTACATATCTAACAAATGTAAAAAGCTGACTTCATAAGATTTATTATTAAAATAAGCATTTTACATTATACTTTCTGTCTACATAAGTGTAAATGATGTTTAAATTTCATTAATTTTGTTGTACCAATTCGATTAATTGAAATAAAGTTTTTTAAGCAAACATATGAAAAGTGCATGAAAGTTATTTAAAAGCGTTTTATTATGAATCCTCAAGCACACGGACATAGTTCTAAATTTCTTCATATAATAGAGATAAAGGTATCGGCTGAAAATATTTTATTATATCTATACTCAAATTTATAAGCTGTATGTCTAATGTGTATCTTTATTGTAAAACTCATTCAATACACATTCATATGATTTCATCTGCATATACAAAGAATTGCACAATTTTTTTTTATTATACAAATAAAGTGTATAAATAAAACTTTTTAATAACATACAGATTAATATATTTCTATAAATACTTTAACATTATTTTTGTTAACTGTATTTATATTATTTGCAGCATACCTTGTATAATGCAGAATGAAATTTGTACATCATAATTACTTTTAGCTTTAAATTTAAATAGTAATTATAGCATTTGTATGCAATTTTAAGAGAATAAATTCTAAAAATCTCTATTGAAACGTCAAAGAATATTCACACGAAATTGAGTATTTTAAACATTTCTATCTAGTATACAACTTATGGATAACAAAGAGAAAAAAATCAGTCTTATTTCATATACGCCAATCATTTAGTTTTTATATGCTACCAATTATAAATGTTCAGAGATCATGACTCATAGTAAATAATGATGATGCAGAAACATACAATGTAAGAAGTTACAGATTATTACTCGTATAATCTCGTTAATATATATGTACATCAATTACATGCGTAGGCTACTATTTTAACTGTAGTCGAAAACCGAACAAATTTAGAACATAGAAAAATTCATATATGTAATAAAAAATTTTTATATATTTATACTGCATGGTTATTACATTGAAAGTTTACTGAAAGCAGACACGTTATTTCAAGTGCTTTGAGATACACAGATTTTAAATTCTTTTCATTGCTTATCAGTTTCATTAAAAAAAGAAAAATATCCTTGGAACAACTTATTGTAATTTCACTTTGCATGCTATGTTAAAATACTACTATAACATTAATATTTCTTGAGTATTATATTCAGGGTGAATTAAAAGGTTGTTTATGCTTCAATAAGCATTCAACTTCTTACTTTTTTAATACTTTTTTTATTCATCCAATTCTCAATCTGTATTATTAAAGTCTATATTATGAATGTAATATGAAAATGGCTTGCATTCTACATAGAGTTTTTCTTTTAATTTAGTATTAATTCCCCTTTTCTTTTAAATGTAATTTGCAATACATTTCACCTCTTTTTTTATTATATTTAATAAACCGTACTATTACGAACTTTTATATTTTAAATAAATTTAAAATGTATATTTTGTTATTCTAGGAAAGTACAAGCAGTTTTTACGTATACGTAAATCAATGTTTAAAATATTTACGTTCAAATTATTCTCCTAACATTAAGCAGATTTTCATCTCACATTTCTTAAATAAGCTTTATTTTGCGACATTTTTGCTATGCTAAACTTTTGTCGTTACAATAAAAATAGAAATAATGTTACCTTTTATGACAAAAAATACGTTACCGTGATATACGTATATGTATATTTATTAAAATTTGTCTAATATAATTTCAATATTGTGCTAAAATCACTGAATATTACCGATATTTGTTTCAAAGAAAGAATATGAAAATTCATTAGAGAAGTATGTATGTATATTACTGTATAATCATACATGAAGGATACTAAAAGATTAGGAAGTAACTTGCCATTATCTGTTTACTTCTTACGTTTAGCTTTACGTCGCTTACAATCTCTAAAGGAGTTTTGATCTCCTGGTGCGCTTGAAGTTCCGGTCTTGCTGTGATTGTATAGATTATTTAAAAAGTCTTCAAAATCTGCTTCGCTATTTGATATAAAAACAATTTGTTAATGAGAAAAATAAAGCATTTTATTGAAATTATAAAATAGTAATACCTCGTATTTGGGTCTATTTGTTGACGTTTTTTACCACTATTGGCTGCTTGTGAAGGTGGTCGTTGGCCCAAGACAATCCTGTACTGTACGCTATGTGTATTTGCTCTCAGATGTTTTAAATTACCAGCTTGACAAGCTGCCCAATCAGTGACATCATATACTGCTCCTTCCATGCATGCATAATAATGCCAAAGGAAACCCATTAAACGAGATTCTGCCCAGATGTCTCCCTATTTAAAATATAATCTATTTAGAAGCACAGTTCAATACTCGTTCCTTCTTTCTAATCAATTTTAATAGTTACTTCTTTTGCACTATGACGTATTTTACATTGAGCACAAAATCGTGCTGCATAACAAGGACGTTGTGTAGGTATTCTTTTGTGCCTCAAACCACAATTCGTACACCTTATTGTATTTGCTGCCTGTTCCATCTTTCTGTGAAGTTGAGAGAGTAAATCGCTCAATTCACCCCAAGCTGCTTCTACTTGTCTAGTTTGATCAAATGCTTGTCTACGTTCCTAAAATATTAAATGTAAGGTTTTTACAAAGAACTTTAGAAAATAACTTTCATCGCAATCTTATTATTATTATAAATATAAAAATAGTACCGGTTCACCAATTATATCAAAGGCATGTACAAGTATTTTGAATGCCTCCTCTGCACCAGGCTGATTATTTTTATCCGGATGCACCAAAAAAGCTTGTCTCTTATAATACTTTTTAATATCATCGTCTGAACACGTTGGTGTTACACCAAGTATACTGTAAGGATCTTTTCCTTTACAAGCTAATAATCTCTTCATAGCTTCTTCACCAGTGCTAGGTAATGCAATATTAGTTTCAAGACCACCACGTATCCAGTTACTATTTTCTTCTTTTTCTTCACTTTTAGCTTTTATTTTGCGCCAAAATGCAAATTTACTATTTCCAAACCAATTATCTAATTGTTTGCCAACAGCATTTAAAATACGAATTTTTGAAAATGTTACAGCTATGTAAATCCATGAGTATTTTAAATATAGTATAGTATGATACCATCCGCATTTACAACTAAAACAAATATGTACAATATTTAAACATATTTCTAAAATCACTGAATCGTGTAAAATGCATCTGTTGCATTAAATATTACTTACAGTTGAATAATGAGATTAGCACTCATACTAACTACGTCGGACACTAAGTGTAACAACCAATGAAATATTTTTAATCCAATTTTGCACCAACGACTGGCATACTTATTTAAATTTTTACACAAATCTTTCACGGGAGATTCTCTATTCTCTCTTCTTCGATTTCTTTGAGCTTTCTTAATTTGCTGTGCTTTTTCAGCTTGAAAACGTTTACAATTCTTTTCCTTGGTAACTTTTTTCTCTTCTTTATTTGATTTATTTACAACTTGTTGATTTTTTTCCATTTTTTCAGGAGAAACGGTTTGGCTAGAAGTATTTATTGTGTTCAAATTGTTATTTATTTGTATAGGTCGTTTAAGAAAATTTCCAATAGATTTTGAGTTACTATTTTGAATTTTTGAATTATTAAGCGTTTCTCCCTTTTCTGCCTTCTTGGGAGTTTTTGAAATTTTTTTCTTTTCAAATTGATTAGACCTATCAAAAGTATTTATTTCATGGGATTCAGTTTGCAAGCCAAGGTTATCCAACGACACCCAACGTCTTGGAAGATTTGAATTATTCTTTTCTAAAACTTTTCGTGGTACTTGTATTTTTGGAGAATTATGATCATCGCTTCCGGATGAATATTGTCTCTTCAATACTGCAGATTTAGATTTGTTCTTTGAATTTTTGTTGGAGATCTTCTTACTTATAGATTCGGGTTTAGGTTTTATGGATTGAACTGTTAATGGAGATGGAGGTGTTGGAGCAGATTTTGTTAATACATCGGAATAAGAAGGCCGCATAGGTTTAACTTCTGCTACTACACGAGGCTTTCTATGTTGAGAATCTGTAGAACATCTGGGAAGCTCTTCGGATTCTTTTACATCTGCATTTGATTGTGGTACCGGTGTTACATTTGGAGAACCACCAAAGGGGCTGTAAGTACCAGATTGGTTTGGTACCCAATTGCCAACTAAATTGTCGATTAGCTGTTTTCCATTGAAATTTTGAGTTGGCAACTCAGATGGTACTGTAATGTGTCGATCATTAAATAGACCATATTCTCGGTCGATCATATTTTGATTTCTATATGATGTTATATTTGAAAGTTGGCATTGTTCTGCCATGATTTGTGAAGCATTTCCATAAATTACATTAATATAATTGCCTCCACCAACATCTATTGTACCAATTAAATCATTATTTTCATTTATACCTAAATGATTTACTGTCTGTGATGGAAAATAAATTGAATCTGTTGTGGAGTCGTAACTGGACATATCTTGCATGTAAAGAGGAGTACTCATTGGAGTCATTGATTGCATTGTAGGTGGATTAGACGGCGGAGTTTGACTAGTAATATAGTGTCTTGTTTGGCCCGAAGAATAATCTCCCCAATTATGAGATGTAGCTTGTTGTGGATTTACACCAAATTGGACATAATGACCATTAGAACTTTCCAAATCAGCAGTCATAGCTTCGATAATTTTATCTAAAGACATACGTTTAAAACCAGGAGGTGACTGTTGTTGCTCTGCCATATTGCGGTATATTTCTATAAAAAAACATTTTTATTTAAGACATGTATTATGATATAAAAGATATGCATTTTGTGGTAGACCCATAGGATAGTAGGTAGATTCTACGAAACATAAGAGTTTCTCATACTAATGTGGATAAACTATGTTGCAATTGAAATTTTTTTGAACACAGGAAACTTGAAATTATTTACGAATTAAATACGAAAACAATGTAACAGAATTCGTATAATAAAGAAGTAATATTGACGTAAAGTAGTTCAAATTCGACTGTTGGTAATATAAAAATTGATTTTATATAGTTTAATAACCTAAAACAAATGTTTCTCTGTGAGTTCACAGCAGGTGTAACGATGCAATACTTACATTCATCGGCAAGTATACCACCGCTAAATATCCGTTTACATTGTATTCAAAACAAACAGCTTTTTAATATATCGCATGAAGAACATCATACTTAAGTGATATGTGCAATTTTAAACTATATACCATGCGGTTAATACAAAATCAGTCACTGTATTTGTCCGTGGTCCGCACTACCATCAGATTCATAAACGGATCACATAAATAGTTTTCTTTCTGTATACATACATCCATATATATAATACTGTTGTGAAAAGTTCCTAGATAAACGGATATGCCCAATTACTGAACCGTTATGGCTTCGATATGTAAGATCTTAATGTACTTCTCATTAAGTAATTTTTATATCTCGTATATTAAAGTTTCCTTACATATATCGTTGAAAATAATTAGACACGATTATATTTGAATTAATTTGGAAAGTATAAAAGCATCGTACCTTTTTACTAGAAACGCGTACTTGTTATTACTAGTTCAGCGTATTTGTCGCGTTTAATTTTTAAAATACTCTTCTATATTTCATTAAAATTTTATAATTTATTAGTAATACTTTAATTTTATAAACACTTCATAACTTTTTTCTAATTACTTTTAACACTGTTATGTACAATACAATTTTTAATCATTAATCATATACATATATTAACTATTAAATGATTTTTTTAATGCGTATTTATTTTGTTTATAATTCCCTGTTCTTTGTATATGATAATAATGTTTAAAATACACACTTACGTTCGTATTTGTTTTTTCCTTTTAGTATAAGTAATTTAATAAAACTAGATTAAAAATAAAGTCGTGTACAGGTACATATTTTCTATTAGATATAAAAAAATTAATATATTACATATAAAATATTAGTTATACTAAATACAAGAATTACATTTATGATAAAACATATATAAAATACAATAACTTTTAAGAATAATCATTAATAATTATATTTTGTAAATATGAATAATAAACTTACAATCATTAAAATAACAGAATATTTTGTTTTTATCGATGCATTACAAGGTTCTCTTCTAGATTCACAAGCACAAGCTTCAACCGTGTAACCACCCACCTATAGAAATATGTAAATTATTTAAATCAGATTCAACAGTTCTTTAACAATGAAATATATAAAGAAAATTACTTACATTTTGTTGATAGCATCCTGATGTAATAGCCGTCACTTGATCTTCCATTATTTTTCCACAAAAAAAGGACATATTAACGACTGCAATCAGTTTTAGTTTTTTAGGATTTGTTTTTTGCATTTTGTGTCATTTAAGAATAATATACTTACTATTATTATTGTATTCAAAAACATATTTTATACAAACATTTCCAGACGTTAAAGGACATAAAAGGGTCTCATTTCGCATATCCCACAATTCAGTCATATTTGGTGGAAGCTCTGAAATTTATATAATTTTTATTATTTTTAATTATCAATAATAATTTATTATCTTAGGATAAATATATAGAATTTTACTTGTGGAGATTAGAGGTTCGATACAAGGTACACCTTTAGACATAGTACAATTATATTTCTCTGGTCTATTATCGTACATCGGTGGTACCCATCTAAAGTGAAAACAGTATGGTTTATCCTCATCTATAGTTGCTAAAAAGTAAACAATAAAGATGTTTTTAATTTGATTTCTCCCAATTTTGTTGAAAAGTTCAAATGTTTTAAATACAATTACCAAATACTAAAGACACCGTGCACAAACTTAAAAATATACTTAAATATATTTCCTTCATTTTGAAACAATGAGTGAATCCGATCAACTCATTCTAGAAACACAGCTTATCTGATAAAAATAATCATCATCGTATCAATCTATCACTTATCTGATAGTGTACTTACAATATAGTATTATAAAGAAAGAAACACTTATTGTCACCATGCTGTAATACATGCAAAGGTACCAAACTGCTTTTTATTTAATTAAGGACATTTAAAATATTTGTAATTTATTAAAATGAACACTTATTTACATTTTTAAAAGATATAATGTCATTTAGAGGCAATGTCATGAGGTAAGTAAAAATTAGCCATTATAAAGAGATTCTTAGCCTACTAGTAAAGATAAATATTTTTCATAAATGTTTTATACATTTTGTTCTTGACATCTCCAACGTATTTCTTGCATTTGTTTATAAAAGTATTATTTGAAAAATATGCAGGAAAGCTTATTAAAATTCATCATGCCTAGTTAATGCTTCCCCAAAATCAGTAGCTTGGGAACCAACAAAAATATCATATTTTTCTAATATTTCTTCCTTTGTAAGTTTTTGGTCTCCATCCATGTCTGCTTCAAATATTAAGTGTCTAGATTCAGCCTTTGCATGATCAAAGTCAGCTGGAATAATCCAAGCTTTGACCTATAGAAAAATAAAAAATTTAGTTAGAGTTAAAGAATATGTTTTCTTTTTTAAAAAATTCAGTATTTTCCACCTCGTCAAAGGTCAGAAAACCATCACCATCCTTGTCTCGATACATAGAAAACTGCTCTATCTCATTTTTCACCCATTCTGGTTCCTCTTCTCCTTCTGTACTTTCATACATATCGCCTATAATAAAAAATATATTTTAATTAACATTTGTGTATATTAAATTTAAGAAGAAATCAAATATATACCAATATACTCCGAAAGAGATATTTTGCCATCTTCGTCTTTATCAATATCTTCCATAGTTTCTAGTACTACGATATCCTTTGTATGATCTGCTTCTTCCGCATGAAGAAAGGCAGTAAACTCTTCTTTTGTAAGAGCATCATCATTATCCAAATCTGCTGCTATCCAACGCCTACGATCCTTTTTAAGCATAGCTACATAAGAAAAGGAATTGTCTTTGGATTTTTCATGATTTTCTGTTTCATGCTCATCCATGTCTCCATAAATCATTGCCATGTACTCTGTCCATGGAAGTTTTTCTTTTCCCTCCACATTATGAGATTTCCATTGTCTGTCGACATTGTTTCGTATATAACGCCGTTGCGTGTATAATATCCAGGATTTAAGTTCTTCTACAGTGACAAAACCATCTTTATCTTTGTCTATTTTATCAACTATTATTCCTAATCTTCGTGTACTTTCTTCGGGGGTAAGTTGATCAAAAGTTTTTGCTTCTTCGCCAAGAAAGGCTTCATGATCATAAGCTGCATTATGTTGAGTATCGATATAATGCTCCTCTTCGCTCGGTTCCTAAGATAAAATAAAAAGAATTTAGATTTTCACTTAGTATTATGTCATATTAATACTGTATTGTAACAGTGTATGAAATTATTTAAATGTATTAAGCAAGGTTATACGTAGAAGATTCGAATTTTCGTTATAAAAGTAGTAGTAATGTTTATTTTTACAACGATCGACCACGTACGTCTTTTCGCACATGAATTGAAAAATTCCAAGTACTTTAAAACTAAGAACAAACCTTATTTATGACTCGTGTCTTGTGTTCGTTTTCCGGCTTTGGGATCGCTGTCGCCAAGACAGAAAAACCAATTAGAATTTGGAGAAGCATGAATTCTTGCATAACTCACGTAAACACCAGACGAGTAAAGGGTATCAAAAGTCAGTAAAAAAATGAAATTGTTTCAATCTCGAAAATGAAAAATGTCGGTAATTCTGACGAACAAAATTCCAGAAGTTCCCGTTTAGCTTACTCGATGTCTACATCAGCAAAGCTTTAATATCTTGCTTCATGCTGCATCCCCACTTTCCAGCTACATATTCGTTTTAGATACCATTTCTGATGCTGACGCTGGAACGCCTTTGTTCCATATTCAGAGTTACTACTTTATTATGATATGTATAAAACCCGGAGTATCATAAATTACTATCCGGAGATTGCAATAATAATCCAGAAATGGAGAAAACAAGGAAAGAGAAAAAAGACGAAACTAAAGATTACATTTCTCGAAAACAAATGTAAATCGTGCGAAGCTAGAGTATGTTTTCGAGTATGAAAGAAGCAAATGTAGTTTGTTTAAACATAAATAATTTGTTACAAATATACCAAAATATCAATTTATAATTATTTAGCGTATATAAGAAATCACTGTTAGAAGAGGGACAGTATATTTGAAGTACTGTCGGTAATTTGGAATACCGAAATATTTAGAAAAAAAAATCTTGTTAAAGCTGTCCTTTTCTAACTAGGAAGACAACGTGCTAGCAGCGTATTTACGTTTAGACCCCCTAAATCTAATTTTAGATCCTACATCTGTAACGATATTTCCACACGAGGGCAACTTGTAAAATTTAGTTCGGCCAATGCGAAAAGAATTGTTTCGTTTAATCTATCGCCACATTTTTTATACATACAATATTTCAAAAATAAAATTCTTTAAGATACTCGATGTATACTTCATTTAGTTTATTGTATGACCAGCTTTATATAAATATATATTTTTATTACACAAGTTTTATATTTTTATGACTATCCCTTTTGTTCCTTTTGTTTCTTTAATTTATATTCTTATTATGTGATAATGTAAGAACGATATGGATTTTAAAAAAATCATAACAAGCGACTCCTACTTTCCCCCCGAAACCTGCATTTTTGATGATACTTTTCTCTGATGTAAATGAATCATACATGACCAGTCTTTTTATCTAGGACGTTCTTATCCAGTTATCTTATGTTTGCTGATGATAAAGAGAATACTAGGTGGAGGTTTCAGGTATCCGTCGCCGGATACGTCCATAACTACGGTGTCTACGTTTTAATAAGTACTATCCCATTGAGTGATTCTTGCGAAAAAGAGAAAGACATTTAATCGTGTCTACAATTACAAATTTATTTAGTATATACGAGTGTTGAAACTGATAGTGTTAAGCAATGGTTACCAAAACTTCCGGAGCCCAATTGGAGCAACGAATTCAGTGTATAAAATTTACCATTTTCTGCTTAAATGCCGTTATATGGGTGAGCGAACAAAATGAAAACAAATACGATTGTATTCGGTAAACGACAGAACTTAAACGCAAGAATTTGAAACGAATTAGTACTTACGTAAACGTCTCTATAGATTTTTATTTATTTTTTTTTTAAATCAAATAACTCTTATCAAAGGATAAGCAGAATCAGTTATAAGCAGAATTTTTATATATTATTTATATTCTTTTCGCGATATTTTATTATCGAATCGCCGAATAGTTAAGCAAGAAGATAATTTTTATCCTATGAATAATTAGTGTTGTAAGCAAATTACAATACGAATACTCTTCTTATTGCAATATACATTCTTATTACAATCGAGTCAATGTGAGTCAGATCACAGCGTATCAATCATATCAGTGTTTATCAGCGTGACGAATACGAGACTACAACTATTAAAGAATTACATTCTTTTACACCAACAATGTCAATGAAATTTTTTTAAAACAGAAATGAATGTAAAAGTATGTTGCAAATGGTTTGTTTAAATTTTCTACGCGTTTGTTATTACCTAGTTACTCGGCAGCGCAATGTTCGGATTGTGCATGTGGCTAAGGCTGGATCCAGGTTTCCAAGAATGGGTCGAATTCCTTGATATGTATGAATTCTACATTGGAATTTACATCTTACTTGCGGCTTCAATATTTATCATAATTATTACATTCATTGGTTGCGGTGTTACTCTTACGGAGTATATCCTGGGGCTCTTCGTTGTAAGCGGAATATATTACATTACTATTTTTATTCATCTAATTAATCATTTTAAAAAGCTAGTCTAAAGGGCGAGAAACGAAGTATAAAAGACCGGGCTATATTTCCGGGTTTAGAAAGTCGCGCCTTTACTTCGATCGCATTTGCAGTATTTTACCTGAAACAGAATAATGACGATATCAGCTTAAAACTTATAAAAATAATATATAGAAAATACGTAGATATGTAAGAACGTCTTGAAAAAATAATACACATTGAACAATTCCATATATGTTTGTTTAGTACGTAGGTCTGCAATTATTTTGCTTCGTTCTTGGCATGGTAGGAACGTCGATACTTTTGGATTATTCTACTTACGATAGTAAAATTCAACCGCTTATACGGCGTTCCATGACGGCGCTTATTAATAAATACCACGATGAAAGAGCAACGTTTGTTCTGCAACTGATTCAAGAAAGCGTAAGATGATATACACACTATTAAAGTAGTTTTCCTTGTAGGAAAAATGTATTTTATGTTGCGTAAAGTTTAGTAATCGATCGATATCGATTCAACGCTTAAATGGTATCAACCACGTAATTAATCGAAAGATTTTGAAATAGATCGGTTGTTGTGGTGCCGATGGACCGATGGATTATTTGAAAATGAAAAAACCGCTACCTAACGAGTGTAGAGACACAGTTACTGGTAATGCCTTCTTTCACGGCTGCGTCGAAGAGGTTTCGTGGTTCCTGGAAGGCAGATCAGGATGGCTCGCTGGTCTGGCGTTGTCTTTATGCATGTTCCATGTCAGCACTATAAATTTATTAGAATCATTTCGTCGATTAAAATAATAAATATATAGTAGTAATGATAATAAATTTCATGTTACAGGTAGTAATAGCTGCCCTCACTCTGGTGCTTGTGCGAGCTTTAAAAAAAGAAGAGAACTCTATTACATTGAAACATTAAGGAGTTTATTACGTTCGCTCATCTTTTCATCGTGCATTATAAAAATTAATTTATATTTCTTGATAGATTCGAGAACATAGTACATATATCCGTTTTACGAATGGAAATTTCGAATGCTTGAATAGTCAGCAAAATGGACCGATAGCCGAAGTAACAATATATTTTGAAGAAGACTCACAGAATATGCATAGAGTATTTATTTCTGTAATTCTTTCTTTCTTTCTCTTTCTTTCTTACTTTTTTAATCTTGATGTGTAAGTGTAGGTATCGTATATTATAATTTTTTAATACAATATTTCGAACGAACTAATCGAAGAAATTCTTTGATCAAAGAATGTTCTTTACACACGACATATTGTTCAGAGAAAATTCGGATTTTATATACACGTTGTAGCTCGACACGTACCTGTTTAACGTTTGCAAGATTCGTTATGTATGTCTATACCTTTTTTATTAGATTATCTTTACGTATAATAAAAAAAAATAGTATTTTTATAAACTTTATTTACAAAATTTTTAATATACGTACATTCCTGTATAATGGTCATTAATTTATTTACAATAATTTATTCGTTGACCGATTGCAATCTTTATCAAGCACAAGGCAATTGTATGTAACAATTTCACAGACAACTCTTCGTAAACTTGAACCGGAAATTCTTGTTTGCTTCTAGTGTCTTAGATTATGAGCAAATTAAACATTTGAATATCACTGAACGTCATTGTACGTTTCGATACAGTTAAGTATTATTAACCGTAACGTAAAATACAAAACTATCATCGGGCTTCAAAGCATTTACCATTAAATGCAAGTGAACTTAATACAGTTATGGATGGTTGCGCGTTTTCTTAATTAATGTTAATTTAATATTAAATGAATTATTGATAAAATACGAATAAATATACGTGTTGTAATAATTTTTGACAAATTCGAAGTAACGTCGATACTTTAAAGGCTTTAGCAAAGTCATAATAAAACAAAATGAAGAAATGATTATTTACAAGATTTACATTAAATTTCAATGTTTAATAACAGCTTGAAAATGTTGTGTTTTTATCAAGGGTTTAATATTTTTATCTCGTTGTTGCGTTAATTAAATTACCGTCGAATGAAATTGACTTGGATCTACTTTTTTAGAAAATATTTCCTCGTCGATTCGTATCTTTGCTTGGTAAAACTTATGAATAATTTATGAAAAAATGAACTTACCGCTATCGAGCTTTGCAATTATGCCTAACTTGCACTTGTCAGATTTATGCACTCCCAATATCATGTTTTCCTTCGCCATCTGTTCTCTCAAAGCTCCGGAACAGATGTTTGTATCTTAAATACTAATGCTAGCAATAAGTACTACGTTTTAAATACGTTAAATAAGATTACACTAAAATGCCAAAGTGGATAGCAAAGAAGCTTATTTGAAACCCAATGGAATCCAAGTGCGTACCGAAAACTGTAATTCAACGATCAATTTTCTGTTATCTATCATAATTAATTGCTTTTGGAGAACATCCTATAATAAGACATTCTGTCCTCGATAGATTAAGAGCATCTCACACGATTGACATGAACTAAAAGAGAATCTATCCTACGAAAGGGAAAGGTGGATAACCGACCGGAGGAGGATAGTAACCTGGATAAGAAGGTACGCTCGGCTGCACAGGTACGGTAGTTGTAACATAGGTTGTGACCTCCGTTGGTACCACACGGCTAGAGAACAACGTGGTGTAAGCCGTCTTTGCTCCAAAGGTCAATTTTAGTATTTTAGAATCGGACACGGTTGCCAGGACTTGCGTGACCAGAGGAGCGCTCGTCACCGTGAAATGTGGCTGCTGTGGGAATAGTGGTAATTGCGGCGGCAGTTGCGGTGGTAATTGCGGCGGCAATACTGGTGCAATCGTTGATGTTCCGTATTCATAAGAGGTTCGTGGCACGGTGCCGACTGGCCTGGATAACGTCGAGTAAAGTGTGTTTCCGTTGTTCACCACCGGAATCACGTGAGATTCGTAGAGCGTCTCCAGGACAACGACTGGCCGCGATGTAGTGATCACTTGTTGCTGCTGTTGTCCAAAATATTTCAACAGGGCCAGTTGATCGGGAGTCAACTGAGATTCAACGGAACTGCTGCTCGGTGTTTCTGACTTTACTTTTGACGACGATATGGATTTGAAGGGCTCCAAATCGGTGTCCATATCGTTGCTTGGCGCTATTACTCTTTTGGGAATATCATCGTCGTCTCTGTCCTCGTCCCCAACGTCCAACTCTAAGTGGAGCTCGCTTCCTGCTTCGTCGAGTTTCGAGTTGAATTCGTTTAATGCCTTGCTAGGAATGAACTGGTATATGTCCATCGGCGGCAGAGTCTTCGTGGCGGTGACCACACGCGCGATATTGTACGTTTGCACAAGCGTCAATTTGGTTGTATTATTACCGTGTATCACCGGTAGCAGATGGGTCTTCAGAAGGGTTTGGGTAGTCGAGAATGTTTCCGTTACAGTTTCCAAAGGCGGCGTAGCTTGGCCAGATTCTAGAGATATGGCTGGAAGGGTTGCTACGGCCGAATCAAGTGGCAATGTTGTCTCGTAAGCTGCTGCGGTGTTGGCCAGAAGATTTTCGGTTAAAGGTTCGGTGGGCGATATCGTAGTAGACGGATCTATCGTCGAAAACGATTTCTTTACCGTTGAAGTTACGGTAACGTAGCGCGTGTTTCTCAAGGTTCCAACCTATAATTAAAAAGAACAACGACAGAATAATTACCGTTCATCACCGCTACAGCTAGTTTTCCATGTCTAAAGATGTTTAAGATGTCGTGTTAAAGATGATTCTGGATAAACTGTTATTCGAAGGTACTCTTACTTTAGTTCTAAATTCTCACCTGGAAAGTGTACGGTGACTTAATGGTGGCGATTTCAAAGTACGCGTTACTATTATCGGCGGCCGTAGAGATCTCAACGTTGATCGTTTCTACGGGTAATATCTGTTCGGAATGCTGTTGATCTTGAACGCTGATACTGGCCACGTCCTCGCTTTCGCTTGGATCCAGTTCGATATCGCTAGCAACTTCCTGGATCTTTCTTTGAGCGTTGACTGCTTGACCCGACGTGGACACGGTCGTCGTGGAAGTCGAAACAGAGGCTGCAGTTGCTTTGCTGTCATCGAGATTTATTGGACCCTCGGTAGTAGTAGTTTCAGGCGTAGAACGTAATTCGTCATCGTCGACTTGCTTTCGAATTATGACTCTTGGTTTAGGGGTTGTTTTGTAAGACCAACGACCTTGCGTTCTCGGCAACTTCAGTTTCGGCGAGGGGTTAGTATTAACCGATTGTTGCTCAACTTTGTTTTTATTGCTTTGTTTCGAAGGCAAACTTGGTTGATTATTCGGCCTGAAACTACTGCGACGACGCGTGACAGGTGCTTCGGTCGTAGTTGTTGGAGGACTTCGATTTCTGGTACGAAATTCAAAAAAGGATTATCTTGAAAAGATTGTTGTGAAATTCCAAACATTTAGTATTCTCTGTACAGAGTGTGTCTCTACAGTACAGTTTCTTTCTGTATCAAACGTTTGTTTCTTCGCTTAGAGAAGAGCTACAGTTTGACCTAGTTTCTAGAATCACTCTAGCTGACGTAATATCTCGGGAATGAACAGACTGATAGCCTACAATTTTGACACAGATACGAAGTTGATGGCTTCCTATTGCTCCAACACAAATCAAGTCGTTATCTCTACAAGTTTTTTTTTCCTGTTTACGAATGTTTCAAGATTTTACGAAGACACTATAATTTTGTCAGTTTTTGAATTTTTTATAGACATTTTTTTATAAAAAATTCTTATAGCTTGTGAAGAAATACAAATATTGATATAACTACATGTTGTAAAAAAAACGTTAAATATTTTAATTATGATCGATACTCACTTAAAGCTTGGCCTTGATGTGGTACTGATTCGAGGCTTGGGCGGTTTTGCTTGCTGCACTTCACCGCTATCATTCTCGTTAATTTTGTTATGGAATTTCGGACGCGCCGAATTCGGAATTGAATGCTTTCGTGTGCTTCGTACCGTGGAACCTGACAATTTAAAAGTAAAACGTAGAAACTCTTAATGTTTTCACGCATTAGGAGTTAAATAAATTCTGTATAATACCAGCTGGAGCGCTAAAGAGAACTTCTAGAGGCAACGAAGACTCTTCTTGGTGGTTCGTTGGCGTTGGTTCTAGTTGCGGTTTCAGTTTTCCTTGCTGCGGTCCGATAGTTTTTAAGATTCTTTGAGTACTGGATGGACGAATCTTGCCTTCAGGAATTGGTGGTGTACCTTGAAGAATCCTAGAAGAGCTTTGAAGCACCTGAGCGTATTTACCATTTATGTAGGTACCGATCACGCTAGTTTCGTGAACGGTTGTTAATCCATCCTTAACGATAGTTCCGCCGAGTTTCGTCACGAGACCAGTTGGATTTTCTTTCTCTCTTCGTGCTGTGGGCCTTGGTTTCGAAAGGATTTTCGAAGAGGGTCTCAGATTGATCAACTGTGAGAGCAAAATCATCCAAATCAGCTCTTTAGCGGCATTTGTTAATGTCTTCGATCAAGGTCTTACCTTGAACGTTTCATCGATTACTTCTGCGGGTTGCTTTGACAGGAAGTCGTATTCAGGTTCCGCAAGATTGTTCTTTAAACCGGGCTTATCGTCGTTCGCTTTAATTTGCACCTGCGTGTGCACTGGAGGACTCTTGGTCATTACAGGTGCCCGAGTGTTCAATTCCTATAAATATATCAATTCAAATTTTTATTTACGGTTACGTAGTTAGAATAGTCAGTTTCGAATTCGATGAGCGTTGCAGCACGAACCTTATTTATTAGTAATTCTTGAATAACATCGTTAATTTGTCTCACCTGACTCTTTGGAGATCGCAATCCGTTATCGTCCGAGGAATTTATGATATTCTGTTCGATCACGGAATTCACAACAACCTTCGATCCTTTAACTTGTTTTTTAGTTTCTTCCCCTGGATTCGTCTTGTGTGTTTTGCTTGGCTGAATATCAAGAGCTGCTTTTTCCTTCGTTTCGCTCGGTTTCGTCTGAATGATCGAACCGCTGCTCTTCTTTCCTTTTTCACCATCTGAAATACACCGTTAATGATCAATCAAAGTATTTGGTAGATCAACTGCACTATAAAAGTAACTGAAAGATTGCATTGCTCGGTATTTCCTGTCTTTAGTAACGTTAAGAGATCAGCGACGGTATAAGATTGACGTTCATTAGATTGAAAAAGACTTTTTAAAGAGGAGGAATTTTCTCTTAAACGTTAAATTATACCTGATGGCGCGCTTTGTGGGCTGAAGACCATCACTGTGTTTCCGATGGTGGTGGTGAAATCTAGGAAACCGTAAACTGTTTGTGTAATAAAATCATCGTTTACAACCGCTGGTTTGTTTACTGCAGCTGTCTCGATCGGCCGACTCTTGTAAACTTGGCCTGTACATTCTGTAACTAAAAGTGAAACCACATATACCTCAACAACGCTAGTTTTCCTGCCCATAAACAATTTATAACCGTTATAAAACGTAACTTTATGTAACGTATTGTATTACGAAGATTCAGGCTTGCGCGTTCGCGACAAAATTAAAATTTCAATCATAAGCTAATTTCGAACACGAGAGGCGTGTTAGGATTTTTTTAACCAAACGATGCTGTAACGAAACGCGCGCGGTGTTGCTTACAAATTAAACTTCTTTAGAGAAATAGTACTCGCATACACACGTATACCTGCCTGGCTGGTACGTGGCAAGTGTGGGAAAGAGTAGCCATTTGGTAATAAAGAAACGCCTTAGGCATCAATACTGAAACCTTTTGAAGAACACGTACACCGTCATCAATAATTATTCGCACGACCGTTCGTGTCGAGAGAAGCACCGAGTATATGTTTCGTACCAAACGTATTTATTAATTTCAATACACTCGGTAAACAAATATATTGTTTCATAATATCTGCATCGATTTAATTAATATTAAAATCAACGTGGAAACGTAAAAAATTATGAATACTCACCATATATTAAAGATATGGCAATAATAAAATGTTTCAACATCATTGCGTTCAGTCTGATTTCATTCTTCGTCAATACATGAATTTTTTATCTGAAACAAAATACAGCGATCGAAATATAAGATTTAAAAAACTGTTTCAAACTTTTTTTTTACTTTTTAAAATGATATCCATAATATTTGATCTTGCGTACATACAATGTTTCTTTAAAAAACATCGTTGCATAAAAATAATGCTGCTTTGGAATGCATGAATGGTATAGATACGTATAAAGTCACGCACCGTTACGAAGCCAACGAAATTATTGCATAACAGTAGCGTTGGTAATCGGTTAGCACGAAACAATAGTAAAAGGAGATACCGTTTCAGGCTATCTGCTTACCAAGCATGACTCTAATTCCTAATTTCAAATCGATTCGCTGAACTTGAAGCGACATCGACGTTTTTTTAAACGCAGGAATACCGAAAAGTCTTTGGAATAATTTTACAAAAATACTCTGAACTACATCGAAGCAAAAATCAGCTCGACCATTTCAAATAAATTAACAACATATAGTAAAATAATTTCTTGTACGTAAGACAGAGATTTTCAGGCAGATTTTTATAAGAGATTTGCTTGGTAAACTTCGTATAATTGGATTTTCATTTAGATTGCTTCTTAATTTAATCGATTTACCAATTCTCTTTTGAGAATTTTCGCGTTAACATTTGCTTCCATTTTTCTTTTTACAGGGAATAAGCCATGCTCGGTAAAAGTCGATAAAACCACTGGGTTGGCAGAAGTATCTGCGAGTTCGTAACCCATTCCTTTCACTCGTATTCTCTCAAGATATTGCGGCAAGGAGTTCATATAATCTGCACGCTCGTAGTAAAAAGCGCGAGCAATCCTCGAATCGCGCGTTACTATCGCGAAACGCTCCAATAATACAATTACTCGCATTTTTCTCCTAGTTAATCATCGTTTTCTGCAGTAATAATTCGTCTAAATATGCATTCGTGTAATAAAATTGAATATCGTTTACGAATTATCGATGTATATCGCGTATTATTGCTAAACGCTCTGTTGCGAAAGAGTTCAGAGTTCAAGTTATTAATTTCGTAAAAGTTTCCCAATATTTCCACAAACATTCGTGTTCTGTTAATAAAACGCAAATTATTGAGTAAACGGGTTCACGAAAGAAACCAAAATTTCTATTTGTCATGCTTCAAGGACTATATTGTGAGTACCGAGTGAAGTCATTCCGCAACGTCTGCAGCAAGGAGTGGTCTCACAAGTACGACTCAACGTCAACGTAATACCGCATACCAAGTAGAATACGTTTAAAGAAACCGAATATTGCACAAACGGTGATCGAACATTGATATATTGGTCGGTCGTGACAATTTAATTAGCTGCTAATACGCATTTTTCATACCTTTTCGTTCACAAATTGTTATGTAAAAATTAGAGGCATTCGACGCTTCAAACGGTGTACTAATTACTTCACACGAATGTTATTTAAAAAGCTGTACGTCGAAATGATCGATGCTCGACACGACCTAAACGGAAAGAGTTGTAAGACGGACATTGGCGTTCGAGGTGGTTAAGGATCGTGGCGTGTAACGGTCCTTCTATGTCCTTCGAGAACGTCCTCGAGGATAACCACATACTGTCCACTGTCTCGTCGAGCTTATCGCGAGATAATACTGTTTGATCGAGTGCTAGTTACACAGAAACATTTGAAAAAATGAAACAGTCGTGTTGAACATGTTCCTTCCAAGCCATCCAAATCTTATCGCTGACCATGGTAACAGAGTTCTGTGTAAGAGTGTTTGGTTTGAACCTAATTTCTTTACGATATCAAATTCTTGAGGAAACTTTCACTTTCACCGTGACACGAAAGAAGTGACCAAGCTGGTAATCAAAGTTCATGAAATTCTGCGTGCTTCGAGGAAGGATTTCAATGGAGCCATGTACCTGTAGCCTGTTTCAATCGGTCGCATGTCCTGCATTTCCTCGTTTGGCGCAACACTAGCGGCAGTATGCGTTTCGCAAAGAAAAAGTGAGCGGTCGTGTCCCGAGGCGTTCACATATCTCCCTGGAGCAATTTAAAGCTTGGATTTATGTCGTCCAACCGCGTAAAACTTTCCGCATCGGTGGAACGAGAAACTCATTAACGGATGCTATCCGCAAACTATCATCTACTACAAAAGAGTTCGAGTGAATATCCGCGGTAAACAGAAAGTAATTGACAACATTGATGCAACAAGCTCAAACGATGTTACACGATAATTTACATTCACGAGCAACTGATCGAACGAACCCGCATAATAACGAATTTCATGCATCTCGTCATCTGGTCGTTGGCGTCTCTTTCAAGGTTACACAGCTAAAAATTAATAATTCTTAACGATCGTACGAACGCGCCCACTCGTATCGAACTGTCTTTCCAATCGATAAACTATAATTTAAGCGGAATTTTTACATTTACATGGGCGTTTACGAACACGACAAAATTTGGAATTTCCATTCTCCTCTTTTACTTCCTCTTGGAACATCGTTTCACATAAATACGATTCGTTTCCACTGTTTCAAGCGGCTTGAAACTCTTTCTTCTATCGTTAAAAATAAATTAATTACTCGGATGACCCGTTTCAAATGCTTCACCGTGTATAAATGCCAGTGGTACGCTGCACGTATGCATGTACACTGTCACTTCCTCGAATATGTTAAAACCGGTCATCAATGGAGAACGGGATTTCTGGCCAAGATCCAAGATCATGGTCATTCTGTTGACCATCGACCGGTTCCAACACCCGCTGTTTATATCTTTCTTGCTTTTATTTTTTTAAGATACATCTTTTACTTCCCTCTTTTTTGCACGCGAAATTAAAACAAGGATTTTATTAACCCTTCTAGCGTTCGCTATTGTTTACCAAAGGAATCACTGTACGACTAGTTTCACTGTTTCAAGTTCACTGTCAGTCCACGTTACTATCGACTATTACGCGTTAAGCACAATTCCGTGGAGCTTCGTAATATTTACTATAATTACGAGTAAACGTCCTGCGATTGTGAGAATTCTTAGGAAAGCGCTTTCCCATGCATAGTAACATCTACCATGTCAGGAGGAAAGGTTAACAAGAGATGGATGTGGTCGAGTTACAAGACAGATCGCGGTTTACTCATCTAACGCGCCCTTACGAAAAGAATGAACGCGAGAATTGAAAAAAATAAGAGTAAATAATAATAATGTGCGCAACATAAAACGTGAAATCAGGTTTGCTCATTGAGGTCGATCGTTCGAAACGCATAGAAATCTACGTTGCCTATAGCTGCTTTGATATTACAGAAGAAGAGGCTCCATTATTATCCAGTCTCACGATCCAACCTGAATTTTGTGTGCCAAGCCTTAAAGAAATAGATCTTGCGACAGGAAAATGATTAGCTAAATTCTTACGAAACATTTTTCGAATATCTGCAAACTTTCTACCTGCGAAGCTTTATCTTCTTCGTTCCTTCAAGTTCACGGTTAAAACCGGTGCAAATATTTAGCCTGTCAGCAAGGTCAAGAATCATGGCCGGTTAAAATGCCTGCAACGTTTTGTTGCGAGCACTTTTTTTATTTCTGAACCGAGGACACATATTTTTGCATGAACAACTGGTATCGCGCGAGGACTTCTTGTCCTCGTACAAGCACGCGTTCTATAGTCGATATCTTGTAGAGAACATTGTAAATAATCATGCTTTGCAAGAGAATGTCGCGAATCCGATCTTCGGAACTCGGCAAATCGCAAACTAACAGTGTCAACGGTAACTGAATTAAAAAGAAGTTCGCCGGAATGCGTGAGGAACAACCTTTCATGAAATGTTCATGGTGCTATTGTAACTCGATAAGAAAACTTGGCTGGTTGTAACACCGATTCTCACATTAAGAAGTCGCTATGTTATCCCGCGAACGATCATTCTTTGAAAGTAGTTCCCAGCGAATGTGATTGTTGCGAGAATAATTACCGAGAATCTTCCAATTGTCAAGAGCCAGTTCACATCTAACGATTAGATAACCCATTCTGAATTCCGTGGTTTTACGCACGTTGATATTCACAATCTTTGTTTCATCGATCGAATTTGCCCAACTCTGATTGCAAGTTAAGATTTAATCTTGTTAGAAACGAATCATTTTCTGCGCGATCAACAAAAAATCAAACTGACATTGATCCATTCTATTATATGTAATTATGGATATTTATTCATAAGAATAAATTTTTCTACGCGAATAGTAGACACGATGCGAGCTATTGTGATGCATATCAGTTTGCATGAACACAAAGGATCGTGAAACGCATCCAATTGTGTGTTTACAATTTTGTAGGAGTGGTTAATACGTATGCAGAGTACGTCGGTACAATTTCACCCTGAAATGTTTTCATTATGATATCAAGAATGTGACACGTGTATTATTTATGTGACGATACTGTTTAATTTTATAAAAAAAAGAATTATTTCACGATGTGACTACTAATGTACATAGTTTGAAAAGTAGCATTTACAATTGTCAATAACAAATACAAAGCACAATGAACTGGATGAGAACTTGTGTATCGGATAGTTGTTTAATCAGATTTGTTACTTCCGCTTTTCTTCCTCAGTCACAAGTAAGCAGGAGAAAGTAGGAAACCCTTTCACTCTTTGCATAGGTAAAGTACTAAATTTTAACGTACCGATTGTTTACCAAAATAATGTCCAATTCAGATATTATAGTTAGATATTTTCCTAAACAGTATGCGTCAAATAAATATCATTTGATAGCATGCTCTTTAAAAATGCAAAAATCTGCATAGGCAAGTAGGCGTTCCGGTAAGTTTTTCAAGTGCAATGGCTCGTAACACTTGGTAAGACCAAGCCTGCACATTTCAGTCGAGTCTACAAAAATCACTGTCAACAACCTACGAGCTGGCAAGATTAGATAATGTCTAACAGTGTTTCTCAACCTTTCTTGTTAAAATTCACGACGAATAAAGCGTAGGAATTTTATATAATTCATTTTTTATTAATAAATTGTATTACTGCATTACCCACGGGTGTGTTTATTAAAAATCAAAAACAAATTTTAAAGAAAAATCAACAGAGAATGCTGAAATTTTTCGGCAGAAAAAAAAATTTTAAATCGTTCTGGAAAAATTATTTTCGGTTGCGGGGGTCAATTACAATCATTTTTGGTCAATAGACATACCCTCGATATCCTAGCCAGTTTCGAGAAAAAAATTCGAGAAGGTGTGAAATTTTTCGATAAAATTAAAAATTTCGAATCGTTTTAAAAAAATTATTTTCAATTGCAGGGGTCAATTACAATCATGTTTGGTCAATAGACATACCCTCGAAATCCTATCCACTTTCTAGAAAAAAATTCGAGAAGGTGTGAAATTTTTCGACAAAATTAAAAATTTCGAATCGTTTTAAAAAAATTATTTTCAATTGCAGGGGTCAATCACAAACATTTTTGGTCATTAGACATACCCTCGAATTCCTACGCACTTTCGAGAAAAAAATTCCTAATCGAAACTGTAATGTCTGGCCAGAAATGTTGCCCGAAAATGTCATGCTAATCTTTAAAATGTCATAACTTCTGAACGGATCGACGGATTTTAATTTTCAAAAATGCAAACGGCGCGTATTTTAATCAAGAATATGTAGAAATCGTAAAAATATTCGAAAAGTTGACCCTTGACTCCGTAAAATGAGAAAAACCCCATAAAAATGGTTCAATTTTCAAACAGCCATAATTCCTATAATAGTGAATATATTGCAATTAAATTTTTTTCTGAAGTAGAGCTCATGGGTACCTACAAAAAAGTATTAGACAAAATTTCTGTAGCGCCTCAAACAAATTTGTTAAAAATGAAAAACGAATTTCTATAAAAAAATCGACAGGGGGTACTGCCTCATTTTTCCGGCGAAAAAAAAAAATTTCAAATCGTACAAAAAAAATTATTTTCAATTGCAGGGGTTAATTACGATCATTTTTGGTGAATAGACATACCCTCGATATCCTAGCCAGTTGCTAGAAAAAAAATTCTTTATCGAGAATGTAATTTCATTTTCTGTCTGAAACGATACAAGATATAAACAAAGAGTTTAATTCGGATTTTTATAATGTAATATGGGTATGAACGGTCGTAGTTTAGAATTCCTGATGTAAAATAACAATGGGGCCGAGTGTTGTGCACCGATGGTGTTAAAATTCTATTACATAAATTAGAGTTTGTGTGTAGGATGGTAATGCAACATTCGTAAAGAGATCAGTGAACGTTTTGCACGCAAAGTGCCGCACGCAGTCCTTGTAAATGGATCGTGGTCACGAGTAAACTGCACGTGTTTCTACAAAAATATCCGCGCTGCAAGGCGGCGCACGTGACGTGCCAGCAGCGGCTTAGAAAGCAAACGATTCCGTGGAATGTCAATTTACCGATCAATCACCAATGCCCTCGAATGAAAACCCGCTGAAGCGAGCAACAGGGATACTTTTCATCGAAAAAGAAAAAAAAAAGGATACAGCAGTTTCTCATTGTCACGCGTCATGCTTCGACCGACTTTCGACTTTGAAAAAAATTCAATTGGAAAACCGTACACCGTGCACAAGCCATTTTCACGGGGTTTATTTACGTATCGAGAGCTTAAACGCGTTAGTAAATTTTTTAATCTATAGTTTAGTAGGAGTTCCTTTCTAAAAAGTATGTTTCTTGGTAAGAATCAATTCATTTTTTGGGCGTCGCGTGATAATCAACATTCCTCAGTGGCAAGTTCGGTGAACGCGCCATTATGGTACTGGTAGAACTGTTTGGCCAAGCATTTCACACGACGCCCAAAAAAGGATTTCCATTCCGAGCTATAAATATTTAAAAAAAAAAAAATAATATAAGACTTTCACAGTTCCTTAATCAAGATTTATGAGCAACGTCGACGTTTCGTAAATACGGAGACCTCAAACTTTTGGCCTTCGACTCAATTTACTTTGAAAATAAAATAGCTTTTTGCCCAAGATGGTGTTTTCCTCGAAAACTTTTCGGATCTCTGATTTGCATCGTAAGATCATAAAATTCTCGAATGAAAATTAGGCAAATATTATAAGAAACATGAATAATTCTGTGTAGAATAATGGAAGGAATTTTTAGGAAGAAGGATATAGTACTGTTCACTTTTCGGATTAATTAATCGGCCGTAAAGTTTCGCAAACGCAGCCAGAAAAGGTAAAAAGAACAGCGTACCCTGGTTTACCTTTGGCGAACGGCGTAAAAGAAACGTTAATTGGCAAAAAAAAAAATATTCCGTAATGCTAATTTCGATTAAATTCAAGACTTTAGGTTTCACTTGGTAACCCGTGGCTTGGCGTACTGTAACGTAACGCAATGTAAACGATTCCCCAATTATAATGAAAAAACGTAAGCACGTGCTAGCAAAACTGTACACACGTTCGCGCAAATCGCGATGTACTTTCACTTGGACTTCGTTGAGCACAGTAAATAGATACGCAGAAAGATATGTAAGCCGCGATTATACCTTCCGCGGCTAAGAACCTTACACGAAACTCATGTTCTTGATTTTCGCATTCAAATTCAACGATAAGCGACTCGACAAGAAACAAAAAGAAACTGCACACCCGCCAAGAATTATTACGTTACTCTTTTCCTTACAACGATCGCGAACAAACGATATTTACACATTACATTTTATAAAACGTATCCTTTTTTCATTCCCAAAGCCTGCGTTATAAACCACCGAGGAATGGAAAAAGGAAACCGAAGATTCAAACGACTAACATCGTTCCCATTACTTTTTCAGATTTCGTAACGTTTTCACTTTCAAAAGCAACAGTTCTTTCACGATCAAAAGGTTTCGCAATGTGTAGAATCCTGTTCTAAAAAGACGCAGCTCGTCATTTGGAAGTCTTGGAAAATTGGAGCACAGGACATCAAAGATTTCAGTAATTATTTTGACGAATGTGTTGGATTCATTGTTCGAAGCAATACTTTGAAAGAAAGTGATCGTTAAGATCGCAGTAGAGAACAAGGTATGAGGAAAGAGTCTATAAATGAAATACAAGAAAAGTAAAAGCGTCTGTGCGTCCTAAATTTCCTTATACGAATATAGGATGATGCATTGGTATGAGTTTTCTATCGAGCAGAGACAAATATAAACGATACGATCATTCATTTACGCGCACGCATTCATAAACGTGATCGCTAATGATCCATGCAGTATTTCAAGAATAAATTGCACGGCAATGCCTCTCAAAGCAAATAAGCTTTTCCGTTCTTTCTTACACACTTTCTGCCGATCACCTAACTATAAATTTCTTCGAGTGTTCCAAAACGAATTGACAAAATCAAAATGCAAATTTGTAACGGGGAAAAGATCACGTTAACGGAGATCTTCGATAACACGTTTACCGTTGTTGAACGATCATCCACTAACAGTTGTTACCTCAGTGCCGTTATATAAAACTATTTGATCGGAAAATGCATACTTGCTTATTACAGTACCGTAATTGATTTTTATTATGGCATCCGCGTTGTTGTATAAAACATTTAATAACACGTTTGCAGATATGTAAATTGAGCCTGGCGTGATAATTATCGTCGCACAATGTACATTTTGTTCTATCGACTATTATATTTGTACTACAAAATACTATGAAAGTTCCTTTCGATTACTTTTTAATCGCTCTACAGACATTTTCATTCTTTTAAAATACTTTTACAGGAAGACAAAACAAAACCCGCGTGTCTGCAATATCCTTAAGCAATCAGCAACAGGATGTCTTTACTTCTGTATCAAGAAAATTTCCTGTTTTATTCAAACACAATAGATTCAAATGTGAAGAAACCACTATAAATATTTATAAACTTTACGTAAACGGTCGAACAAAAGTTTAATCAAGTATCTGGAAATGTAGTTATGTATGAAATATCTCTCTTGTCAAAATCTACCGAAGCTTAAGGACACGTATTGCTAAGCTTTTGCAAACCGTTAAATAAATATTCTCCTGTAATTACAGTGGGACTTTCTCCGGTGTATAACGAATATGAAAGCGACAGATTTCACGAAGAAACATGATCACAAATTAGTAATGAGCCAATACCGCGATGCTTTTATCAGGATCGTTGTTAACAATTATCGTCTATAATTTCAAGGAATATTTATTTTTCCCAAGAGAGATCCTATTGATCCAATCAATCGTACAAATCCACGAAAGTTAATTTCGATCTTTTTAGATCTCGAAAAGAAGAGAGTCGCTTTGAAAAAAAACCTCAAACGTTTGAAAAGATCGTTTGGTTCTGGAATAACGAAGATAAATCACCTGGGAAAACGTACGCTTCCTTGCCCCATAAAACGAACCTGAGGAAGGCGATTATGTAAAGGTACCAGAAACGATTCGACTTCTAGCTGGAAAATAGACATTCCTAGTCTCTCGAAAGTAAAACCGGTTGATTGAAATTTCGGTAAATTTCTCGATTTAGAAACGAACTGACATCCAAACTTGAAATCCATTTTTGAAACTAGCGGTGCACGATACCTCGAGAAACACTTCTCGTACGAAAACTTTCATTGTTATCGTGTAATAATAAATGTTCTATAAAAAATGCTACTTTTTCTTTGATTCGAAAAAGACCATGACTACTTGGGTTGTGCCGTGCACCCCGGAAAACTTTCTTTTACGTGGTTCAACGCAAGAGTAACCGCGTAACTCGATAACGATCACTCGGTTTAGATCTGAAAAAATGTGTAAAAATATTTTTAGTAAACAGAAATATGTGTGGAAAAATCGGTATGTATAGAAGTATTGTTTTTATAAAGATACAGAGCTTTGATTCGGTATCCTGTATCGGGCTAGCTCGTTGGAGGTAGCGCGGGAGGAATCGATTTGTGCTAGGTTGAAAGATGAAGGGGATGATTTTGTTACTCACTATTGATGCTTTGTTGACAAGAACGTTGTTTGACGGTTGATTAGAGACGCCTCAGTGCGAGAACTCGTTGGTGTCGCGATGCACGGCGCTCGACATTCCTTTCAGCTTGCCTTGGAGTAACTGGACGCCAAAGTGGTTTCCCTCTCTCGATTCGCATCGACTTCTTTACATTCTACACCAGCTCCGATCATGGCTTTCACTTCATCCGTCGAGGAAATAAATGGTGAACCATGATCACGGCGAGACTTAGCGCGACGATGTTGCTGGTCCAGCATCGACGAGGCTTGCTGAACAACCTGACCGCTTCGAGTACTTACTCGAAATCACCTCCTACGGTACATTACGTTTCAAATCAGACTAAATCTCGTCAAATACATTACTACGTAGCCTTGCGATTTCCCGCCGATTCATTTTTCACGCAGACACTGCTCCGAATATTCTAAACATAACAACATAACATAACATAAACAATGGTTCGATCGACGTTTAATCAAAGAACTTAGAAAAAGAAAAGAAGATCCTAGTCTGAATCGTATACAAATAATTATTCGATCGTTACCAGCATCGTAAAGAAAGTATCTATGACACGTGATACATTTTTGTAGGTTTTATTAATTTTGTGAAAGGTGAAACCATAAATACAATATCAGGATTATGTCAACGTTATTCCGTACAAGTAACAACACGTGTACATAACAGTCATATTCAATGAAACATGTATATCTGGTAAATTCATTTTCTTTTCCAACATTCGTATATTGACGAAACCGCCATAATTATTTGCACTTATTCATTTCTCTGAATATTCTAAGGGTACTTTAATAATGATCATTCGACGAAACAGACATTACTTACACTCTGGTAATCTACACAATATTTTACTATACTGTACTATACAAATTAAGTCAGCGCATCATTATTAAAAGTATACCTCAATTTTTATACACACACAATATATTACAGTTATTTGACGAGCCTTTGTCCAGCAAAGGCAAATTAATACACGCATTATATTTTTCTTGGTAATGTTCTTTGAGTATTGTTTTTGTTCAATAGGAATATCATCAACGTTCAATAATGTAATTTTTAAGTGTATGAAAATACAAGAAAGCCCATTATATTGACGGATTTAATCATGACGGATTGTCACTCTCTAATCACGAGAATCGCGTTAATAGATTTACGATTACGATTACGACGTATCGATTAAATAAAATTTAATATACATGCGATAAACATGTAACTACCAGGGTGAAAAAAATAATAATTCTATCAGTGTTTCAAATTATTAAATTTGGATAGTTTCGTTTAAAAGAGAAATATTTAAATGTTCGCTCGCGATTAGAGGTTGTAGTTTATCTGTTTTCGAAACATTACACTTGGAGCTTCTTTTAATTATACATTTTGTACGAATCGCAATACCATGATCGATATACTTTGATTCACGAGTCTTCTCGTTCAACAATATTCCCATTTAAATCGGACATTTTTCCATAAAAAAGCAATTCTTCTTTATAGAACACCACATAACATTTATTGTACGACATTATTTAGTTATAGTTCAAAATCGGGGTTTCAGTTTTGGAGTTTAATTTAGTTACGCTTTGGAAGTAGATACTCTGCATTAACCATAGAGATTGAACAGATATTTCTCCACATTTATGTAGTAAAAGCTACATCGATTGAATTGTTCAGATCTAGGAAGGGTTTGTTCGTGGGTCGATACCTAATTTTCCAATTGCGCAGCATTTTCTAATTCTGATTTTACCGAAACAACATATTTTACTAACCAAAAGCACGTTTCATCGTAATGTTTGTTCCCCATTTTTAAATTGATTGTTTGATAACGATATTCACTCTGCTAGGGAAGTTTTTTCGCATATTGCTATAAACAAATACTCAGTTTTTATGCAGTCTATACCGCATTGTTAACGAAACGAAGCGTCGCAATTTTTGACGACTGGTTTTAACTTGGAAAAATTATAACAAACATAGTTGTACGATAAAACTTTCCTTGTGCTTCGTACTAATAATAATTAGGAATAATATTCTTTTCTTTTATGCTTGTCCGTAAGTGAAATCTTTCATTTGTTGTATGGATAGAAAATTTAAAAAATAGTCTACTAGATACCGTATAGTACATCGCGAAAATAATGGAATGTTTGTAATAAAAAAACTGCAATATAACGATACAGTTTTTCGATATAAAATAAATTTCAATAGAAAATTGTTATTGAACTATTACGTAATAATATGTAGTTAGACCACCTTCAGCATTATTATATACTAGGATTGATATTAATCCGAAATACATTATAATCTAAAAATAAAAACAGTTGTTGCGTATGTTATCAGATATTCTTCAGATTTTGCAAAAATAATCTTTATAGTTGTGCCTTACAGCGGCCATAAAAGTATTTTCAAATATTTACCTTAAGTTATGCGTCTTGTTTCGTAAAGTGTTTCGAATATTTTAGTGAACTGTCGGGGACTCAAATCTTTTTAATTTCTTTAATTTATTTTCGTTTCTTTCTTCTTCGTTTAATTATCAGGGTCTTATTTCTGTAAAAATATTCTGAAATAAAATAATTAAATTGAATATAGAATGGTGGAATATATGTAGAATCGAATGGTCTGTCCTATTTATTGATAATTATTTAAAAAAAATCTTTCCTTACAAAGTTTCCGTAAAATCAGAAAGGATTCCAAGGACTATTTCCGAGCTATCTTTCGAGTACTCTTTATAAAGACGTATAACAAATAAGAAATACACCTTAGTCTCACAAAATTTTAGCGCAGCTGCAAACGTAGCATGGGAAAATAAAAATATAGAAGAACTCGTAACTAGAGTCAAGAGCAGCAGTACAAGTATTGTTTGGCCCGTCTTGGTTCTTCGTGTTACTGCGTTTTGCAGTACGTAACTTGCTGACTCGATTAGAAAAGACTGCTGGTGGGACGAATGGTAGCTGCACTAGAAAAGGAAGTTTAATATTTCGAAGATTGTTCGAATCAGGAGGATATTGACTCGGTTACGGATGTCTATGACGCTGCTCTCGACTTAAAAAGGGGATATCAGTCACTGATAGATCAGCTATTAGGTCGCATTAATTTCTGAATAAATCCTTAAACGAAGAAGCGTTGATCGATCGAATAAGACCACGTTCGTATTTGCATACTACTTAACGAAGAGGTCTTTCAAGGAGGAACAGATTGATTGTTCGCAAGATTCGGTTTGCTCTTGGTCTTTGTTGCTGCCTGAGAACCAATTCGCCACTTTGCTGGATTTCTGTTTGTTCGGCGATATTGAAGTTTTCCCAGTCGATCCGGATGCTTCCGCGTCGTTTCCTCTCTGCGCCGTTAAAATTTTCTCGATCGCAGTACCTAAAACCTACAAACGTAACTTGTGCTTCGATAAATTTGTTCTTTAACCGCTTGAAAAAGAACCTGAACGGAACACAGAAGGGTTAACAGGGATAGATCAAGCAGTGGAACTTTCCACCTACCTGAGCATCTACTTTCGTGCCACTCGTATCGTCCCAGACGACTTTGTGTCTGATATCGCCGATGGGTGACGTTTTCCCGATCGTTTCCTTCACCGCTTTCACGACTTTCGATTTATTGAACTTAAAATTTAGACTGGCCGTTATCAAATCCTCCGGTTTCTGCTTCTTCGACATCGGCTGATGTCTCTTCGTGAACCAGTTCGACGGCGCCGGAATGGAAGAAGCGGTTGCTTTCGAGGAGCCAGTGAATTTCCCTTTGGTTCCGTGAAGGATCGACACGTCGAAGCTGTTGGATCGAAAGCTCTTCAATCGACTTCGCTTTTGCTCGGCAGTTTTCCCCGACCAACTGGACTTGCTCTCCTCTCGCGACATCGAAGCTTCCTCGCCGCATCTGTTGATCTCCGTCGCGGACGACGCCAAAGAGCTCAGGATCGATATTAGGTCGGTGTTGGAGCAGACAATGCCCGCAGCTCCGGACATGGACGAGCCTGTTTTCGGTATTTCCGAAGCTCGTCTCTGCAGAGGCGTCTTCTGGTACTGCGTGTAACGCTGAGAGGAGCTGTTACCTTCCAAAGGTTGAATCTCGCAAACTTGTTCCGTCGACGTCTTGTACATCTTTAGGCGTACCTGAAATCGATCGTCTTTGGTCAGATTTTCCTTCCAAACGGGAAACCGGTCCTCACCTTTCTCGCTTTTATTTCCGTGATGTTGTCCATGATGTCTAGCTGAAGATTGTGCGTGCTTCCGCTGTTGCTCGGCGGCCCCGAAATCCCAGACTTCGAGTCTCGACGACCAGGTAAAATTCTCGACCCCCCACCCAGCGGAAAAGCGGCAAAGGACTCGCGACGATCGCGATTAAACAGAGTCGACGGGACTTTGGAAATCGTAATAACGGAATACCTTCGACCATCGGATTGAGGGGCTGGTGCCTGAGAGAGAGTCGCCAGAAAAGCTGCCTCCTTTGGCGACGGTCCCGATCCTTCACCGCCACGTTCGCTCAATCGTCTCACCTGTTGACGGAAACTCGTTTTAGTCGAGTGGTTTAAATTGTTTTTCATGGACCGCTAAAATAAATTCAAGAGGTGGAAAGAATGCGTTCTTTCCCGCGCAACGATCGGATGGTACCTGAGACGCGGTTATTCCGGAAGTGCATTGCGGAGTCGGCAAAGAGTGTTTCCTGGTTTCTCGCCACGGAGACAACAGATAAGGATTCAAGGAAGGCGAATCTGGATCCCGGCTTCGCGGTGGAGACTCGTTTCTACGCCGTTCAGCTTCCTCCTCTCCCAATGTGCTTTCCTCGACGATGATCTGCGGTTCCCCACCTCCGCTTCCTGCATTTAGGTTCAAGCTATTCGACTGCCTCCTCATTTTCTTTCAGGTGCACTATCCTGCGAACCAACGAAATCGTCTCTCAATTAAACAGTAATATTACAGTACAGTAATTTCTTTCAAGGTATCGCTCTCTTAAGATAATGGTAGAGACAGACGAATTTTATCACGTTACTTTATTTGTGTCTCATTTATCCGAATGTTCGATTAAGTAATCCACGATTGGTGTATTGCGTAATATCGATTTATCATACAAATTGCAAGCCGTGACCTAGCTTGCCGAGATAATCGGCGTAAACATTATGAGTAATATCGAGGCAGCGGAGAAAACGCTTTCCTCGAACGCAGACGTAATTTCCCATTATTTCATTTATCTTGCATAATTTTTTGCCAAGTACGAATCTGCGAAAAGAATTTCGCCACTGACTCGTAGATGGAAATTCCATGTAATGCAAGACAACAAGGAAAGCGGTAGCTCGATCAAGTATATAAGCAGCGATCTTCGCTTCTTAAGCATCAATTAATCCGCAAGTCAATTCAAAAGACTTTGGTGGTAATCCTATACTTGTTTAATTCTCAGTTTCATTTAGAATTTTCTTCTAAGAAACATGAAGATCTTCGTTCTTTTCTGTGTTTTCGTTGCCATCGCTTGTGTCTCTGCTGCACCTAGTTATCTTTCCAATCTTGGTGAGTAAACAAATTATTATAACAACTGTATGGATTTCACGAATAATTTTTCACGAAATAATCAAAATGAAATAAAAGATTAAAGTTTGAAATCCGTCAAATCGACGTGTACTGTAAATCTAGAGTTAACAGACACGAACAATATTCAGTTTTGCGCGGCGCTGTGACTGTGTGTTGGAATAAGAATGATTTTTTTTCAGAGGAAATGGAACATTCCACGAACATGGGAGAAATGGAAAACATGGCTGTTACCGGGGATTTTGAACAACCAATTCGACACCGGAGGGTAACGTGCGACGTTCTATCGTTTCAAACGTTATGGTTTGGCGTTAACGATTCTGCTTGCGCAGTCAGATGTTTATCCCAAGGACGCAAAGGTGGCCGGTGCGAAAATGGCGTTTGCGTATGCCGCTAGTAAAGTACTTTATTGGATGCTGTAAACAAGCAAATCTACAACACCTGCATTCGATATCCGATATTTATTACGTTCACTATTACAAATTTATCACCTCTACGTGTAACGCGTGCTGAATTATAGTATTGAGATTTAATAAAGATGTTCTATTTACGTTGATACCTAGTGTTCCAATCATTCGATCAAACCCATACCTTTTAACTCTTTATTTGGAAAATTTTGAATCGAATCTTCGATACGCGTCAGCTGTCTCAGTCTTAGCAGTTGGTAGCCTTTCTAGCAATTGTGCGTTTGACGTTAAACATCAAAGGAACGACACTTGACAAACACGTAAGTTCCTGCGTGTCGTCGAGCACTTGTCAAACGTTCTTTGATTCAGTGAAACGCTACTTCCGCTTTGATCAAGTTGCCAGGGATTAGTAACACTGTGGAAACAGGGCATGGTTGGATTTCAAAGTAGCGACGTCTAGAAAACGCGATAGAATTTTTCCAAATATCTCGAAAACTACCCACCGCCTATTTTATTGTTTAAAACCATGTTTTCACCATGTTTTTAAAGGTGTTCGAGTAATACCAGGCGCAAGTATAATTCTGTACGCGTACTTCGGTTGGAAGTTAAAGTGGAACCTTATTTCGACAAGTCCAAGTCTCAGCTTGGAGATTCACCGAGGATTCTCTTTTAAATTAAAAACTTTGCTGCACGTAAACGTAGTTGAATCAACTTTCGAAGAACTATTTTCGAGTAATATAATTTTCTGCTTCGTGCCCCTAGTTAAGAAGAAGCAAACCATTCAAGAAATTCAACGACTGTTTAACGCTTCCCTTTTTTAGCCAAAGCAATCGGTTTTTACACAATACGATTATTTAACAACGTTACGAGCATTAGTTTAGCGATACACGAGTTTGTCACTTTTCCGTATCTAACGGATGTTTTACGCGTTCATAATGCCGATCGAATGAAAATATATCGATGTACGTCGAGAGCTTGAACGAATACACTTGTTTAGAAATGGGAACTGCAACGAGACGAAGGGAACTACGTTCAGTATTATCTGATCATTTCATGCAGCTGCAAAGTTAAATTGAGAATCACGCATTTACGGAAAGTAATATCCTTCTTAAGCGACGACACTGAAATAGTCAAGAGAAGTGGAAGGTACGTCACTCAGAACTTTCAATTATAGCAACGAAGTTAAGAAACAGTTTATACAGATACTGTGAGATCCCTCTTAACGATATCCTGTATAACGTTGTTTCGTTCTAATGCTTCTTCCGCGCTTCGCGAACCAAATGCACGCGTTAAATTTAAAAAAATGTATTGGACCGGTCGTTAAATATTTTTGGATTTTTAAATGAAAAAAAAGAATCCTTTGATAGTAACAAAATAGGCAAACGCAAGATTTCGATCTCCTAGAATAAATAGATCGTAATATCAAGTCACGGGAGACTCCGTGACTCCGTATTATCTTGCTAGTAGTACTGGTCAACGACTAGTCAGTCAGACACTGGTTTTCTAATTATCGTTTGATACTACTTGCTATAGTTAAAGGTTTAAATTTTTGTTTCCAAGTTACGGAGATGGAAGAATTGAAAACTGAAACAATTTAATTATCCTATTCCTATTCCGAAAAATTGAGTGAGAGGGTGGGGCTTGGTTCAAGCATGGTTGTGTTCCAGTCAATCGACTGCGCCCAAATGCGATTCCTTAAAAGATATCGAGTGATATCCAATAAACCAAAGACCTGGTGAGTGCAGCTTTAGATAGTGTATCGATCGTGCTTCGCGACAACGGTTCACCCTTAGAGGTACAAAGTTAAAGCGCACTGAGAGTTTCTGGTTAGATATATCTATATCTATGTCTATATGTATATATATATATATATAAATTTTTTTTTTCTATGTATACATACACGGGTTGCTAACATTAGGCCGCGTGATTCGGCGAGCCGTACAACCCCTTGTATGCATATTTTACGTCATCCTCCGATGCATTTTGACGTCACGTGTTGTTTGTGACATTGCAAACCGCGTGTCCAGGTTGCAGATACCGTAACATCGCATAAAAGAGACTCGACGACGATGTACTATGCCTCGACATCGTTGTTAGCAAACTTCCACGTTGAAAAATCTCGCGACCCGGTTCTCCCGTCAAACTTTAAGAACTTTCTTATCGTACTGGGTATTAGATCTCAGAAAGGCAGCAATATCGTGCGAGTTTCGTATCAACTGCTGCTACCTTTCCGTCGGAAGAACGGATAAATGGCAACCTAAAACAGTAGAAAACGAGGGGTACACGAATCTTATATAGGGCATGACACGCAATTAGGCCAGATCGGAAGTTAAATTTTTCACAACAGCGATATTTTATAACAGCCGGAGGAATGAAATTCGCGTTTTTAAACGTACATTTTCCTCGAAAACTCGCCCTGGCCGTTAAACACTTTTTATTTTTCAATTCACAATGTTTCTAAAGACTCGCTTTAGCACTGAAAGTTCAGTTCATGGTCGCGCTTAATCCTGGAAAGAAATCGAAGGTCGGCCGTCGTTTTACAGAACTCTTCTCTTTTATCTACTTGAGCGTGGCGCGACATTGAGCGATGGTCCATCGCGCTACGAATTTTATCTGGACATTGATGAAACAAAGATAGAAGATACTCGATAAAAGACATCCACTGTAGCTAATAATCCCCAATTAAACTTCACGCATAGAACGTAAATGCGGGCAAAGCCGATCCTCGAACTTTCCCGGTAATTGGATAATAATTCCAATCGTCTCAAAGATTCTTCTGCAGCTTGAATTGGTGATCGGTACTTATAGTTTTACTAGTGGATAACGTGCACGTTCCCTCGTCTTTTAAAAGATGCCAATTCGGAATCGATGAAATCGTATCGAGTACACTTTCGTTTAATTTTCTCTAATGCAATTTTTTTTTCTGTCTTCGAGTATTTTCTAGATACAGCTTTTCTCAGTCGCGCGGTAGCAAAATTCAAGAGGGACGGTTTATTTGATATTTGAAGGTAAGAGGTTGGTGCTTTAATAAAACGTTTTCGATTGCTGGGAGGGAACTCGTTCGCATCAGATACTAAGCGAAGTTAGTTATTCCCGACAAAAGGGAGCTTCCTCCTGAGAGGAAATTTTGTTCGGGGAAGGAAAAATTTACGTGATTCGTATGATTATCGATTCGCCGAAGGCAGGAAGGAACGATAAAAGGGAGACTTTACATGCTTCGATAGAAACGAAGCAGAGTACTGACGAAGAATAGGATATCGCGAAAGTAGAGGGCTTAATACGCTGGAACGGTATGTTAATGGAAATCGATATGGAAAATGTTCTTTGGTGAAATGGTTGCTCTAACGATTTTCTCAAATTTACGAATATTATCCTACGAAGCAGCGATTTTCAACCTTTTTTATTTCACGGCTAACATGGAACTTGAATTAAACTCCTATAACTCCCTGCAATATGCAGATTCGTAACGTGAAATATTTCAATGACGTTTCTCAATATTTCAGTATGATCCGGAATTTGCATTACGTTGCACGGTTTTTAAATAATTCATGTTAGGATTACTTAAAATACGTAGCAATTTTAGCGGTGCAATTGAAATTGCAGTAGATGTATTCACCGATGCAGAATGTTTGCTGAATGCACGATTAAATAGTGGAGCATCCAATGTTCAATAGCGTTAAAATAAATATTTGTACTTGTCCTGTATTTTAGAGAGAAACGTTCACTTGATTAAACTACATCTAATTTCCGTGTATCAACATACGCGTATATCGTTATAACGTTGTTATTTTTTTTGCGATTTTTCGATTATAATCGTTTCGAGAGGAAACTGCTATGGTGGAAACCAAACCCCCGAACCCAACTGTTATCACGCTACGACAGAAAGTTGCTATTTATAGCATTCTAATTAAAAGACTTAACTAGAAAGTTACATCCAATATTTTGTTACGTTCAAAGTTGTACGCTGTTGGGAATTGGAGTATAATTCGCGTTAATAGTGTACACCGCAGCAAATCGTAGTTTCTGTGTCTGCAACTCGCGAACTATAATTCGCTAGATATGGCAGCTACAGAAACAATTACCGAGCAAAAGATATTACCATTGGTAAAACAGCGAATTAGGAAGCAAGAAACACACGACGCGGGTTGTACCATGTTTTGGAAGAGGAGGAGAAACCGTGATCTTTACAAGCGTCCCCGAACTTGTGTTACTCGAGTGCAGCTCGCGGGTTGTGGATTTGCATAACTATTAATATTACTTTCGACAAAGCAAAATTCCGTCCTTCGAAGTCGAATTTGTTTTCGAACCCATATTAATTCGAGAAGAAACGTTTCACGCGTGCTTCGAGCGCTGGAAGGAATAGTTGTAAAAGTATACCGTGTACGTATTATCTTGGGGAATGGGCAGAGGGATTCAGGTCGATATTATTCATCGTGTGACTCGAACTTTATCGACATTATGCTTTCATAGCGATCTACGCGCAACGTAGATAACGTCAGGATGGCCAAGAATCGACTGAATAAATTTTAATTTTCCAGACCGCTGGCTTACTCACCTGTTGGATGTAGATAACAAAGTTAAATTAACTACGCGATGCTCTTCTACACATGTACGAATGTACTTTCTGCTCTTTTCCTTTCCGCCCTTTCCTTTACCCTTATTAAGAGTTAACTCGTTATCTCTTTAAATACTTCTCTGAACCGACGTCACTGAGTCCACCTACAAAAGTAAAACACCTACAAAAAGAAATTACCATGGGATGTATTCTTTGATCCTTTAAATCCGAATTTTTGCTTATTCTGTTTGTCACAATCAATGACATCGATTGCAAAGTTCTGCAAGAATTCGATGTCCTGGAAAGTCCTGGGATTTTATATTCCAATAGTATCGATAAATTAAAAACGCTAAATAAAAAGGAAATGTTACTTACATTAAAAGGTAGGCCGATTCAAATGTCGTTTGGTGTTTGGTACCTGCAACAAATCGAAACACGTGTGAATTCCAATAATTCAAGTTAAATAAACATACGATAACCTAGTTTGAGATATTAATAGCAATCTAACGTTTCAAGCAATAAATCGCGAAGAACTAAAAGTCTTGTTTAGCTCATGATCCTGGATTTGATCGATAACATATTGTATTAAAGCCACAATTTCACGGGTGTGTTCTGTCCCGTGTTGGTGGCTTCGTAAGTTCAGTCAGGATTAGGGTTGGATTGGGTTGTGTGCAGGATCATGCGCGCGGGGTTTACGAGCGATTAAAGGATTTAAATTCTCCGTCTGATTCACGATAACTTTTTGTTCATTGAACAAGTCGAAGCAAACTTAAACTATGCACACAAACTGTGGAACTCTCGGAAAGTTTTGCAAATGGACTCTATTTAGAAAGTATGACGCCAGAGAAAACGTCCTTACAATTAGACCTGCATATCTAAAATTTATTTTTTCGACTTCAAATAATTATACTTTAAGATGTTGAGAAAGGTCTGCCAAGGTTTTCCGTAAATAGAAAGAAACGTTACGTATAAGAATTGGATTGATTTTGCATATAATACAAATACTTCACCTTCACCGAGCACAGTGTGCTATATTTAATCGTAGAAAGAATTGTTTGAAAAATAAAATAGGTTATAACTCGGAAACAAGGTCATATCGAGCATATTTTTCAATGAGCTTTTTATCTTATTGTTGTGACCTGAATCCATCACTGCAGTATTTCCCACTTGTTAGGAAATAACCAAATGGGAAAATTTAGTTCAAAGAAAAATTAAAGAATTCTATAATTCTTTACCTAAAAGGATATGTCTTTCTCTTCTAACTAAGAAACCTCGTTGAAGTGTAACGTCGATCTATTTTATGTTTACATATGTTTTACGTATCACTAAAAATGTTGACGCTAACATAATCCTATCACAATAAAATAAAGATAGGACGCGTGTGGCATCGTTTTGTCTGGGAGTGTATATGATTGATGAACGATTGGAGCACAAGAGAATAGCTATGGAGTGTCTGTGAATGGAAAGAGACAAAGAGAATGAGTGACAGTTATTTGCTCAAAGTCAAACGCAATTTACTCCCAATATGACGGTTGGCTACGTCGCTGCTGTATTATTTTGAAAATAATTCCAAGGAAAAATCGCTCGTACGAATCAAAGATTCAATTTTTCAAACATTCATCGATCGTATATTCGAACTAAAACCTTTATTAATTCACTGAGTCGTCTATAAAACATTTTACTCGCGAGAACGTCGTACTTTATTTATTGTGTATTTTTATCTATCGTGTGTTACATATTTTCTAACTACACGCTTACATGATATTAGTGTGTTGATTTACATGCAACAGGTTCGTACACTGATATTTTAGTTGGCGATTTAAACGAATTTAGGTTTACATCGACCGATGCATCGTTCTTGGGGATTTCAGTTTTACGGTTCAACACACGACCCTCACCCTCACACCCGATACCGGATTCTTGATTGGAATAATAGTTTCCCAGGAGTTTGTACTCCCTAGAGTACGAATTCATAGAAGCAGCGTAGCTACGCGAACCTACATAAATGTTTGACGATGTATCTAGTTTACCGACATTGCTGTATCCTCGAATATTGCTAATCAATAAGATAAATAAATACCTAAATCTTCATAACACCGTACACCTTATGTAATCTCAAATGCATACCTGTTGTCTCTACAATGTACGAGTGCATCAAGATAGCAAAATTATTTCTGCGCGTCTAATCGTACGAATAATAGTCGAAAAACTTTTTTCTTGTCATTTACTACATTAATAAATACGCTATATTTTCTGGAACACTCTAACAACATTACGATCATAAACTTTATAGACGAGAATACGAGTGTCTCTCACATCGTAAACGTTATTGCCACCGAGATTCTTTATAGCACCTTGTTGAAACCTGCGATAAAATTGTTTAATGTCGCTAATGGCAAAATGTCATACAAATATAGGTTCGTAAACGCTTTCTTTACGAGTTTGTAACCTTTCTGGGCTACTGATCCACGGTTTTCGACGATGAATTTCAAGCAGAGCGTCGGGAAAACGAAACTAAATAAATGTTCAGTGTCAGACTGTTTCGGGGGAAATATCCAGGTTCTAGCGGTTTCATTTTAACGAAGACCCCTCTGAAAGACTATTGAACAGAGAATTCGTCCAGCGAGATCCGTTTTATGGTCAGACTCGAGCTTACTAACCGCCGCCAGCAACAAACTCCAATCTGCTCGACAATCGATTCTAATTTCGAGGCAATCGCTCGGTATCGATCCAATAGCAGAGGGACGTAAATCTCTAGGCTAATTTCATTTTGGTATTTCAAATCACATTTCAAAACGGAAATCGCCACCGAATATCCACGAGAGATAATTCGCGGTACATACATACTATATGTACGTACGTATGTACCTACCTATAACGTCGACTTTCTCTTTATTACCTCGTAATTAATTCTGATTTCTGTGCGCGGATACTAAAGCTCGTAATGCCAGAAAATAGAATGCAGGACAGAGACAGAGAACGGGGGAAAGAAATACGAGGATACTTATTGCACCCTAGGGAAACCGTGTATCGTGCAATACTGTTTTTCTTTGCCAATTCGCAGGAGCGATACAAATAACCTACATTGCGACTCCATTTTATTAATTTTTTCATCAAATTGTCTTAGCATCCGTCAACTCGTTTGCATCGTTTGAAAACATGAAAGATACGCCCTTGTCGTCGAATATTTTTTTAACAAATGTAAGTAAAAATAATCTAAGATTGGTCGGAAAGAGAGTTTCAATACTTTCGAAAATAAAAATATATTGCGAGAAAAGTTGGAAATTGAGTTTTCTGCTTGTTATTTGTTATTTACAAAGTCCATTTAAAATCACAGTGAAACGAGTTGGCGGGTTACTTATTAACTCTGCACCAAATTGCATTGTATGCAATTCTCGATTAAACACATTTGTTATTCGGAACGAAAACTATGAACGGGAGATTTATATAAAACGTTTGTTTTAACCAATTACAAATTGTATAACTTTAAACTATTATAAGACGAAAATAATGATATTTGTTTTAGTCCAAAAAATCTTTCTTATAAATTAATTATATTTCTGCTTTATGATAATAACACGACCGTATAAAACCATTAATTTGTACTTGGTTCAACTGCAGGAAGCACTTTTATGCATTCCGTTTCCTCGTATATTTTATTAAGAGTCCATAAACTAGAAGAAATGCCCCTACAGGGAGATATTACTCCGATTTGATTTTATCAATGTAAAATATGACGACGCGTATGGGAATATTTTGTTAAACGAAAATCTCAAGATGTACCTTTACGAGAAGGATTGAAAATTACATTCACTTTGATTCGAACGAGGTTTGTCCCTATTTTTTAGTACTCGAATCTTTTTTTTTTTTGTATTTCAACTTGTTAACAAATATTTGAAGCGTTCTGAATCAAGTTATTGATTCACAGCTGAACGTAGAGTCCCTCTGGTTTCGAATTTACTTTATTTCTCACATTCTGTGACATTTATTCGCTGACAGTCGCAAACTTTAACCGTTTCCAGTTTTAACGGGAAAAAATCTAACTAGACTCTTTTTCAAGCGAACTGTTAGACAAAAAGTGATAAAATAAGTATCGGTAAAGATGAATAGAAATTCACTGCGCCATTTATGCTTCCACGTTACAAAGAAGCCACAGCAAATAATAAATTGAAGGTGGCTTTTATTCCGTTATTATTTTCCGATGCTACTAGTATTGCTTCTATTGTAATATGAATTATACAATTTTTACCATTTCGTGCATTCATAACGACTGCTCGTTTAAAAATTGTAAAACTTCCGATCGATGAATCCTGGCACAGAAATTTTGACCATTGCAACAAACATCTGTTACGAACATTTGCGTTAATTAAAATATGCATTGGAAATAAAACGGCCTGTTATGCTCGACAGAAATAGAATTCCGTTTAACCGAGGCAACGTACCATTATTTGTAGCGAAATGACGATTCGTTCAGGCTGCTTCTCGAATATCGGACGAAAAAGTTATCGATCGTAAAATATTACTTAAACGGAAAGAATCCGAATAACGTAAACATAATTAAAAGTTGGCGAATGGGGATGGAAAAGGTCAGGACGGAATAATCAAAGTACAAAGTTGAAAATATGAAAATTGAGATAATGGACGTTTTAAAATGGAAACAGCGCGAATCAAATTGCGTTAACTGTAACGTCGTCGTTATTGCAAGCATACACTTTGAAAGTTACGCATATAATTCTATAAACGTAGTTAGTTTCGTACGTGTGCATAAATATGAACCCGTGTCGAGTAATCGAGTTAACATAGAGAGTGCATCTTCTAAGGTTGTCTTTTATAGAAATATGGAAAAAATTCTAAACTCGGGGTTCAGTTTTGGTATTAGAAACCTATGAGAAAGAGTAGAAAATGGATTCGATAGTGTCTAATAATTCCTCGAATAAAAATGTCAAACATCGCTCGATTTTTGATGCTCGAAACTAGGCAGACTCCTAAACGAAGGAACAAATAAACGAGATCGCTTTGTTGTTTGATTCGTCATAGAAATTGGCTTCCTGCGATCGATACGCTCAGATTGGCACGCGTGTTTGCAATTGTTGCAAAGACACCAAGCCAAATTAAAAGGAGAAGAAACAATGGAAATGAAATAAAATGTTCCCTGGACCGATTGCTGGTAAATAAAATAGATCGCTGCTCTCGTTTCCCCGTTTCGTTAATTTCCACTCGGTTTTTCCTACCTTCCCACCCCATATTATAGTGCGGTGTTACCTTATAACGGGCAAATTGAAATTTCAGACTTGATGAATTTACAAGATTAAACGTAAACTCGTCTTGTTTCGTTTAATAAAATCGACGTTGCGTCTCGGATGTCCTGTGTCCTCGGGAAAACTTGAAACGGATTTAATGGAAATACACTTTGTAAAGGGATACAACAAGCTGACGCAAGAAAATTATATTGCACGCAACAAATATTTCCCTCGATATTCATGCCGGGGCGTAAATACAATTCAACGTTTGCAATTACACATGCTGGTAATAAAATATTCGTTTTGCGGCATTGTCGAGATCGTTGGCGATACGTTCGACGAAGTTATGCATTTATGGGAAATTTAAATTCTCAAAAAACTACAGAATGCATTTAATATGCAAAAATATAAGAAATTATTATATTTAGAGATTCAGAGACAACCCTTTACAAAGCTCCCACCCCATTAATTATCCTAAACTACTTTAGAGAAAATACGTCTTTTAGTTGATTCGCATATAGGTTTCACCGTGTAAAACGATACACGATATAGAAAGCGGCTATGTAATATCGTACATGTGTGTTACTGGATGGACGAAACGCATAAAAAACTATACCCATGAATCATAACTCTCTAACGACTCTTTGCGCGCAAGATAAATGATAAAATTCAAGAAAGAAGTACCCGAACCCTACCATTTCCAATATTTCCCAAGTTTACGAACATTTCCGATCGATGAGTGCCTTTCACGATGAGTAGGAAATTTAAACTTAATTTGCTTCTTCATAGTTTTCTCTTCGATCTCAGTCAACGACGGTAATCTTGTTCTGAATTAATCGCTCTTGTCAAGATTACGTACAAGGGCATAACGTGAATACTTTTTCAAGTTTAAGAATATTTTTAAAGCGAAAAGTACTTTCCCGGACATTAAAAAAGTTTTTAATCAATTTTCTTCTCCATCTGTCTCTTTCCCATTCTACTAAACGACAGAAGTTTTAATCCTAAGTAGTTGCTGTCATCGGACTTGTGCGATAGAATTCCAAGTAAATGTATTTGTTAACGCCAGGGCTTATCAAATTAAACGTCAAAGTGATTCCAATTAAAAGAAATTTGTTAACCGAGCTTACCGTATTGTTTTAAACCGAATAAACATCTATTTTCTTTTAAACTAATTATATTTACGAGACGGAAAAACCTGAATTTTGTAGGAGTCGTCTAATACGTGTATTAGAGTGGCAGCTAGAAGAAAAAAATCACTGTTATTACCAATATAACACGTTCTCCTATGGTTGGCGGGATATTCAAAATTGAAATAAGATAAAAGTTCGTCCAGCTTTAAAAGCTTAGCATTGAAAGCTGTCCAAAGTGGTAAAAAATGTTGGATCGGATATCGAAATAGTTGTCGACTCGAGTAAGGATGAATGATGACTTACCAGGAGAGTCGTATGGTGAGCAAGACAGATGCCAAAGCAGTGTTCGTTGGGAGCCAAGTAGCCAGGTTCGCGGTCGCACGAGGTGTATCCGCTTGAGGAACCGGTGGCTACGACACGGTTATAGAAACCACTCGCGAAGTAGTTCTGTCTGTTGGCAGGTGTTACGTGCAACGACCTCCGTAACTTGTTTCTTGCGGTAAGTGCGTAGATACACTTCTTTACATACCGTTCAACGTCGCGCGGTTAAAACCAGAAGGGTAATAAGAACCTTTGCGATCCGATTCGAGCGTAACGCGCCAATAGGTTGCTGCCCACTGTTGCTCAGAGTGCAGGAAACATTTCAAGGTGATTGCGCTACGAACGATGAGAAATCATCGACGGATACGCATCAATGACCCTACCACCGTGATAGTCGAAGCGGTACTGCGAAGCTCGCGACACCGCGACCCGGCATCCCCCTCTACCATCGACCCAGACTCCACCGTCCAACCAGCGACCCGGATTCTCAGCAGTTTAAATTCCTTCCCTTGGATCCGTCAGCGGCCGATGTCGGTTTTACGAGGGGGTGGAAAGCACTGACACCACTTTTGGCGGTCTCACGTGTTGCTTCGCTGTAAACACCGATGATCTCTGGATTTCATTCAATTACAGGAAACAACCCCTCCATTTTCGGGGTTTCGTACCTGCAACAGGGATACGTGTCGTTAATTTTTAGCGAACCGAATCTTGCCATGCTTAAAACCGATATTATACACGGAACAAACGTATATCGTGTATCATCGATTTTCATGTTTACTTCAATTAGTTTAGACAATCATTCGGTTGCATTCAATTACGAATGTTGTCCTATGTTAATTGTTATTAATTCTCGAATAGTCACGTACTACTATAATTATGTCATACCTATTAGTTACATTCCCTGTATCTGACAGGGAATTTACGTGAATAATTTACTGCAATGCGTACCGTATGAAAGAATGCTTTTAATTAAGAATACTATTATTTTATTTAATAATATTACTAGTAATTGAACGGAAAATAATAGTAGCACTGTGAAATTATAAATGGATATTATGTTCGATGATACTCGAAATCTTTTCGACTGTGAAACACAAAACTGTACCCGAAGACAATATACCAATAGAGAACGTTCAAGTAAAAGCAATAACACTTGTCCTTTGTAAACCTGAAATCGATTTCTCTGCGGCTATTCACCCCTATGAAACATGCAACTGCAGCAGACTGTTGTAGAATAATCGAAGCAGAACTTCTGATCTAAGTTTAAGGGAAAAATTTGCTAAAAAATTATTTCAATCTTTATCAAAACCCTTATTACAAGTTACGCGAGCAAAAGGCAAACTAACAGAATATTAAAATAATATATTTATAGAAATGTAGTACGTCTCAAACGCGTAATTAGGGAGTCTTGAAACATATTTTTCTGCAAGAAAACCTTTTACTGTTCTTTATATGTTTGAAAGTAAAGACTAGTTGCACTCCTATTGAGAAAGTATTATAAGAAATCTCCACCTACCTCGAGCCATTACTTCCTTCCGAAAAGGAAAGACGAAAGAACGATCAAAGAGGGAGCATTCGCTTTGATTATTGGTACACGGTGCAGCTAATAACAGTCGTTCAAAGGTAGAAGGAACTGAACAGGAAACGAGTACCATCGAGTCGCTTTTTGACCTCCGATGCGACGGTACGTTCTCTAATTAACCAAGCTTAGACTAATTATGCTAGGTGACGATGAGATGCTATTAATTGCGATCTTCGTAAACGATGAAATTTCAGGCGTGATTCTATCCGAGTCTTGTAACCTTTAGACTTTTCCAAGCGCCTCTCCCTTTGCGGAAACTAAAAAACCATAATTGTTAATTAGTTCATGTTACTCATTTTCAAAACAAAATGATCGAACAAGGTCATAAACATGATATTACTTTTGTTAAAGAACGCGTTCAAGCGTCGGAAGAATGTCTGTAGCACAAGTTACTGCAAAAGTTAATTAAAATAGAATATACACTATTGATGTTACCCCATTAACGAGGGGTGATTGCTAGAAGGAATTTCATTATCGCTAACCGGAAAATGCAGTCTCTGAAATGTATTTGACTGCATTTCTGACATTGCATTCTCACGCTAAGTAATAATAAGAAAAAATCTGTAGAAAAATTACAAATGTAATATTATATGCAACTATTTAAGTTATTTTTTCGTTCTTGGCTTTGTTCCAGGACGCACTTTGCTCCGTAATAACCATTCATCTCGTCGGTCCCGATTGGTAATTATGTTCGAAATAATTAACGATGTCTAAATTAAATTATAATTTCTGGCAATCCGTTAGCGCTGCGATCTTATTCTCTTGCAGATTATTGGTAACGTCGCATGTGACACGAAAATGGTAAGGGACTACGTAGCCGTACGAGCCGTGTGACACGAAAATGCGTTGGATGCTGCCTGGCTCTACATATACTGTTGTATCCAGTCTGTAGTTGCGTTTAAGATAAAGTTTCCTAAAGTTTTACCGACGAGTCTACCAGCAAAATGAAATCCAGCTCAACGAAATGCCATTTAATTTTTTGTACAATTAAGGAGTCGCTCGGAACAAGGGCCCTTTTTCCGCATATTACATTTGTAAAATCTCTAACTCTTATTTCGTCCTGTAAAATCTCCCATTAAAATTGTTCCCAAGAGTGGAAATTTTCTCTACTTTTCGTAGCAGAAATCGTAACGCGTACGGTCCCAATTACGATCGAGGATGCAGCGTGATCCGATAACAAGATGCAGGTGCGATCCAGCTCCTGGCAGATCACAGTGTATCAATTGTTGTCGCGTCGGCCGGTTGCAGATTCCAATCGACGTAAGTCGGATTTAACTGGTCGCAAATCATCGATCCCGCGGCCAAAGTTTCTGCTTCCTGGAAATGACGCGAATGCGCAGAAACTTTGACGTCAAACGGTCTCGGTTAAGGGATAGAACCTTTCGGCTACCATGGATATTGATCTTCCATGGTTTCGAGGTTTCTAGAGCAGTCGACATCGCGGCGCAGACGCTACTACTCTCAACATGGCGGTTCACAACACACGGACTGTTTCGTGTCGCGTTTCAACGTGCTCGCCTTCCCCGATGCTGAAATTTACGATGTCGAGGCAGCTGCTCGCGAAACACGAGCGTGCCGTCTAATTCCCGGACCTGGTGGCTTCGATCACGATCAACATGGCCGCCGATGATGCATGTGTCGCTGCCACGTGCTTCCTGATCGTTGCGTCGATCGTACTTGTCAATGGTGAGCTCTCGTTTCTATTCTCCTATTCTTCCGATCACAATTCGCCAACACAAATGGATCTATGCATAAATTTTCATTAGTCTTTCATGTACATAGTAAGGTAAAAATTATAATAGTTTCTAAAATTTCTGCTACTAGAAATATGCAATTACAACTGTTAATTAACTCTTGAATGCGAGTACACGAGCAGTTTCACAGCATGTATTTAATTTGAAATACGTACTCGAAATATAGAAACGAATAGAAAAATATTTTTATTAAAATTTAATATATTTCGATGCAACTCGATAAACAAGTATTCGTCGTTTGCTTTCATGCGAATATCAGGACAAATATTATCTACGGAACATCGAACAAACGCGGCTTTGGAACGAGCAAACGATTTATGGTGTTACCGATGCGACACGATGGAAGATGAAGAGAGGTGTTCCAATCTCACCGGAAATTACACTTCGTTCATACACAAGTGTACTGGTGACAAAAGGACTTGCATGGTAATAACGAATGATTTAAAAAATCGATAGATCGTTGTTGTTTGTAAGATGGATAGTATTTACTATTTACCTTGCAGGTGAAACGAGTTTCCTATACCACCAGCACGGAAAATTCAACTTCCAGCCCGCAAACATGGTACATAGAAAGGAACTGTACCAGCAAATGCGATCCTGGATGCATAATAATCGGCGAACGTACCAAATTGTACGCTTGCATCGCTTGCTGCGAGAAATCATTCTGCAATATCGGAACAGGTGCTGCCAATAACTTGATGACAAAGGGAATCGACTTGTTTCTAGCTGTAATATTACAAATTATATTAACCGTTATCATGTATCCATCGTGACACTGTAAATAAAATGATACTTCCCGTATAAATAATAATGTACAATTTACTATTCCATTTCGAACACGTTTGCCAGATGAAAAGAAAGAGCGTCTCCAGAAAAACCAGTGATCGATCCAAGTACTGAAATCAGTAAAGTTATTAACAATTTTATCCGATATTCAAACTATTCTAAATTCGCAGCCATTAGCTCGGTGTTATCCAGAATGAAAAGTTCTTCTACCCAGGAAGAAAAACAAGAACTTTCCATTGTGGATAACACCGATTACCAGGTCTCACCACGAGGAGGTTGCTGCGAATAGAGACCCGCCCTAGCCTCGCCCCAACCACCCTCCTTTGGCGAGGAATCAAAAAAGAGGAAGTCAAAAGCAATCGAAATTCGATCCTTGTTAGAAACTGACCACGAAGAGAGAGTTTTCAAACAAATTGTTTGATAAGAAGAGAAAACACCTAACAAATCATCTCGATACATTGTAGTGGATTGAATCCAGCACATGTTTTTTACAAACGAAACAGGAATGTGCAACTCTGCACCTACTATACGAACTCTGACTGATAAAGAGATGAAAAACCTATCAAAATGTCGATACATGTGACATGTTTTCTAGGAACGAAATAAGAATGTGCGACTGCACCCACATAATATGTACCTTCGTATTAATTGTGCCCACTTAAATGGACACTTGTATTACCATAGTGTCTAACCCAGACACTCAAGAACCAACCAGAAGTGTGCAACTGCACGTATGGATCTTCCATATTACAATACTAATATGTACCTTAATATTAATCGTCCCCACTTAAATTTACGCACACGCTTCAGTAGTATCTAATAAAACTAAGTCGCATAACGCTTTTTTATCTTATAATCTATATATATTTTTACTTATATTCTAACGCAATCTGTTGAAACATGAAGAAATACGAGAAAATATTTTCTTCTTGATATCTTCATCAATCCCACGATGTTTTCCTGAAACATACATTCATACACAATAAATATAACCGATATAAAACAAAGAAATACGCGAAAATATATTCTGTTTCTTGTCTTTGTTGATCCCACGATGTTTTCCTGAAACATAAAATCAGACGATAAATAATTGTATGAGATAGTTATTTCCCAAAGATCGATCAATTTTGAATCTTGAATCTTGTAGTCACTTTTATTATTAATTATTTCCAATTCGTATCGAGTCGTTCCATTTCCAATTTCCAATTCTATTCTTCCATGCTTCTATACTCTGTAAAAAGAACTTGTTCAAAGGATTAGTGGCTGAAATGAAAATGTATTAATGGGCTCGGGAAAAAATAAGTATATACTGTCGAGATAACAAAAATTGATATTAAAAAATAAAAAAACATAAATAGTACGTAATCGAAATTAAATGAAAAGTTAAAAACTCGTCTCAGTGTTAAGATAAATATCGAATCGATTAAAAATTTTATTCATTCTTTACCGTACATTTTATTTTTCGTTTTGTTTATCGAATAAAAAATTTGTCAACGCGTATATATTGGAATAATTATATTTTGCTGCATCGAAAACTAAGTTAAATTCATGAAAAAAAGCAATAACGATCACAGACGTTGTTTCTACGCGGCAATTAACTCTCAATATGAAATATCGAATTGCAATTTGCATATCCTTTTGACGCAAGCATTCTATTTTCCATCAATTAAAACAATGATCGCGAATAAACTTTGATTCATGCAAAGAATACAGAATCTTTATAAAACATTCACTATTTATAAATAACAATTGGGTTGCAAACGTTATAATATCCCGTAAAAATTACCAACTCTAAGAATGAATAATTAGTGATATAGATATATATATATATTATACATTGATGATAAAAATACATTCACATAAATTATAGATTTTAACACATTATAAAGAATAAAACAATTGGTCTATTCACAACAGTGTTTTCAAGCAGTATTTCCTTTGACAAATATACATATAAAAAAAAGATATATCTCAGATAAACGTCCACTCGTCTTAAATTCAAAAAACAACCCGTGAGTGGACCATTCTTTTTTTCGCAACGCTAATTTATAAAATAAAAAACTATACGCGAATGGTGCTTGTTATTCGGAAAATGAACCACGCAGGGTTCTTTTATTAATTAAATCGCGTGCACCCATATTCAATCATGCGCAACACTAATTTTAATAACGATGTCGAGCCATTCGAGGCTTTGTATTGTAGAATCCCATCTTGCTTCTCGATGATCCTGGTGCAATGGCCAGCGTTTTGGGCATTGAATCGCAACTCTAATTAATCAAAAACGCGACTAGTCAAGATCGCAACGCTAATTTATAATAGAAAAATTCCAAACGCGATTTCTAACAATAAAAGCAACCGCGAATGGTGATTATTCGCAACACTACCCTGAAAAGTAAACGCGAAAAATAGTAATTCGCAACGCTAAGTGCAAACCGATCAGTTAGTTCGCAACGCTATTCTTAAATAACGATAAAAGCAATCGCGTATGGAATTCGCAACGCTACCCTGAAAAGGAAACGCGAAAAATAGGAATTCGCAACTCTACGAGCAAACGCGATTATTGTATATTCGCGACTCTATCTTTAATGGAAATATATTTATGTTTCGCAACGCTAATGCAAATCGCGTTGCCCAAAAACGCTGGATCAGGTGCTGGCGTCTTCGGTTGTAGATAGAAACATACATGCACAAAATAATCTAACTACATCAAGCTACTTCAAACTACAATAGAGTGGCACATATGGGGATGAAGTTAGACGTTTTAAATATCGCAACACTACGGGACAACAACGCGATAAATCAACAATCGCAACGCTAATTTATAATAGAAAAATTCCAAACGCGACTTGTAAGAATAAAAGCAACCGCGAATGGTAATTATTCGCAACGCTACCCTGAAAAGCAAACGCGAAAAATAGTGATTCGCAACTCTAATTCGCAATCGCGTTTACTAAAAATTCGCAACGCTATTTTTAAAGCAAACGACCGGTTCCTAGGTTTGCATAAAGACAATCGCGAATCGTATTTATTCGCAACACTGATATATCAACGCGATAAATATTTGTTCGCAACTCTACGAGCAAACGCGAACATTGTATATTATTCGCAACTCTAACTTTAATCAGGGGCTGTTGGTACATGTACATAGACATGTAGGTACTGGCCACAAAATAAACTAACTACTACTAGTACTACAATTGGGGTAGAATTTGGGCATTGAAAATATCGCAACGCTAAATAAAAAATCGCACGATTGATCAAAATCGCAACGCTAATTTATAATATGAAAATTGCAAACGCGGTTGATGTCCATTATACATATGTATAAAAGAGTAAAAAAGCAACGCGAATCGTGATTGTTCGCAACACTACCCTGGAAAGGAAACGCGAAAAATGGTAATTCGCAACTCTACGAGCAATCGCGTTTATCAATAATTCGCAACGCTACTTTTAAAGCAAACGTTTGGTGCCTATGTTTGCATGAAAACAATCGCGAATGGTAATTATTCGCAACACTACCCTGAAAAGGAAACGCGAAAAACAGTGATTCGCAACTCTACAAGCAAACGCGATTATTGTATATTCGCAACTCTAAGTACCTATATCATAACCGCGAGTTATGGGGAGGGATCGCTGGCATGTATGGTGCAATCATGTACCATCAGGTACATGCATACGTGAGCCAGCAAGAAAAATAAACTAACTACAACTACAGACGAGTCAAGTGATAAAGTAGTAACAGTAATGACTTTCCATTCTCATCCGAAGATGAAGATGAAAAGCCATTCGTTGTAGCCCACTCTTGAAACAGTTTGTCAGGGCCTCTTCAGCTCATATATGTAGAGCCTTTTCTTTCTTCGGCGGTCCTGCCGATGCCTGAAACTTACTTAAGACAAGGCTCGAGATTTTGTGCAATACGTAGTCTTGCAACAATATACGAATTGTTGCAAGAGCATACGTGGTGAATCTCGAGGGGGGCGAGCGTTTCGAAAGGGACCTAATCACGACCGCGAGCGCGAGAGAGCGACTTTAAGAGTCGCGCGATTCGAGGAGTCGAAAATAAAGCCGAAACAAACAGCACAAGTGCACCGTTTGAATCAGCAACATTTCTACTCTCGAGATCGTAACTACAGGAACAGAACTGCCACGCGAAAACGCGCCTACCCGAATTACTAATGTGGACAGTCCGGCACCTGACCCTACCTACTTAGATTAAACACACACACACCAGAGAATAAGTTACCTACCTACCTAACCCTATATTTAAAAAATTGCAAAACAGTCTCTCAAACAAACACTCATTCACACGGTTCTCATTCACAATGTCCGGGCGCGACCTAAACTAGAGAGGACTCCCCGGGGTTCCTCCGACACCCGGACACAACCTCATTCATACTCTAATTGTGTACGTACCAGTTTTTGCAGTGGACTGACAAAGACTGGTGACCATTGCGTATTTATTTAATATTTTAGTATAATATGAAATCTTTTAATATAATACAAAGTCATTGATCAAGTCTGTTCTATTTATTACATTATTCTAGTATGAATTACTAGAATTATCTTATATGGAAATGAATATACAGCAAAATCAGTAATTAATTTAATAAATTGCTTAATAAAAATTGAATGTTGCAGTTAATAAAAGTATAAAGAATTGTAATGAATCAAACGACGCACTTCCACAACCTAACCACACACACACACATGTGGAAAGTACGCCGTGCACGATGCACCAGTCCAATGTCAGTCGCCATTATATTATTATAAATTGTTACAAACTAAAGTCATCGTGCCCGTTGCCTTCGCTCATGCAAATAGCACCTGGGCATGTGCATGAACTTGGGCAACGAACACGGAAAAGTATCCTGAAAATCCTCACTAGAAAATGTTAATTAAATGTAGTTAAACGGTAATTTTTATTTCATTTCTAGTAAAAAAGACTCGACTTGTTATATAAAATATATCAATAACAAAATACAATTGTAAAATATTATTATTCAAGAAAACTATTAATTGAAATTTAATTATCAGAAACAAAAGACTCGAAGATTTTATGATAATATAAAATTGAATTCATTTATTTGAAAATTGAAATAAATTTAATAAATCATTATTTAAAAAATTCAACAATCCATAATCGATTCTATCGTCAAAGTAAATTTCTAAAAAGATGAAACTAGTATACATACAATACACGTTACTTTGACTCGAAAATCGATCAGTCGCGAAATGTCTTCTTGCACATAAAATACATTAAATACGATCGATATTTAAGAATTATATTAACGTTATCAAAATTACTATATAATGTTATAGTAATTAATATTTATATTCTACTCTATCATATGATAAATATAATATTTTCAAATTCTATTCAATCTATAATTCACGTAAAGTTAATAAAAATAATCATATTTTGTAATATTTATTTATAACATTAAAAAACGCGAGTGCAAGAAGACCCTAGCCTGCACTAAAAAAATATAACAATTTGTGTTACTACTCACGGGTATTTTTCATACCCGTGGTTCACTTGACTCGTCAAAAATATCAAGTATACAACTGGTCACCCGTGTTGATTCGGATCTTTCATCCTACAACATGATTGGGGACCAGAGGAATATAAATGCATGCAACTCAATAATTCGTAGAATGTAAATGCTCGGATGACGATGTGTTGACGATGTGAAGTCATCGACGAAGTCATCGACGATGGTCCTGCTGGTTTCCACGATAAGACTGTAAGAAAAATGCGAGAAAACAATTAGAATTTATTGGGTAAAATTATAGAGATTTTTAATTAAAAAATTTCTAAGTATAAATTTATACTTACGTCGTTCGTTCGTGGTCCATCGCCGGATACCCCCCCGGGTACTGCTACTCGTTCCCAGGATCATGCTCAGAAACTGTAAGAAAACTGTAAGAAAACAATTAGAATCTATTGTTAAAACTGTAGAGATTTTTAATTAAAAATTTATAAGTATAAATTTATATTTACATTGTTTGCTCGTAAAGCATCGCCAAATAATCCTCTTCGGTGATGCACTTGACTCTAATTCCGGTAACGAGGAGTTTAAATTTCAAATTGAAAAAATAATTAATTTTATTCGAAAGTATTAAATTAGATTACCGCGACCGAAGATTGAAATCGGCGAACAAATGATTCTATTATCGCGATTCAGAAAACAGAAAGAGCCACGATGCTCTGTAAATAATTTAATACTGCGTAAGAAACACTGCTTCTATTCTCGCGTTTCCCTAACACCGTGAACGATAACGAGCTTGGGGTCACTTTGCCCCGAAAAACAAACTTGTTGCTACGCTCGATCACTGAGTCTACCGGCCGCATTGCGCGCGGCCAACAAATTTCCTGGAAAGAAAACAGCTGAAAAGAAAGGGACAGGAGACAAGAAACACAACAAGCACATCTGTACTTTGCCTATCGATTTTCTTTTTTCTTCTTACTAGAGTTCGTCAACGAAAACACTGCTTGACTTACAACTGCTGTATACATAGTTTGCCCCGTACAAGATCAATGCCACGAAGGCGAAATATTCTCAATGAGAATTTCAACGATAAAATATTATTTACCAAAATAATTATTCAACTTATAAATATATCACCAAGTTTCATTGTTAGAGTTGTAAGCATGATTATATTTACTTTATCGAATGTTAAAATATCCCGTAAGTTTTATAAATATTCCGAAATTTGCAAGAATTAAAGTTCGTTAGTTATTTATGCTCGAATAGCATATTCCAACTACGCAGTTACTACGTTTTCTTAAACTTGTATCGAAATATATATGCAAATTGCAATTACAACGATTCATAAAGAAATATAAACGATCAATTAAATAAATAACAGTCGGAAATATTTCATCGCGATCAGAATACAGCCAAATATAAACTACTTCAATTTATCGTTAATATCTACCGACGCCATTTCTCTATACTTCGATATGTATCGAAGTAGATAAAAAGTTTCTTAACGATTTTAATATTTTATCTTAATAATGACCGATTACAAAATTAAAATCATGCTTGCAACGAATAAAGTAATACACCGATAAAAATGTATAAATATTAATATGGATATTAATTTTTGTTGTAATTGTTTAAACGTTACCAATATTCCCTCCAAAATACGTTGACTCGTCTGCCATCTGTTATGGTGTACTTTACGCGCCAATGAAATTCTCCATGGCGTCGAATTTCAATCAGAGACTGCAACAGAAATAAAATACATATTAAATCATAATTAAACAATGATTGATTGTAATGAGGAAATAGCAATAGATTAGAAATACATACGTACCTAGGTACTTGGTTGGTCGCGAAACGTCTTGACGGGTTTCATCAAGTATTATTTCTGAATTTCGAATTCCAATAAGAGACTGTAACAGAAACGAAATAACGATGTATTAAAGTACTTGCACTAAAGTATGGCAAGAGATCGTAATTAAAACGCGAGTATTGATAGTGGAAAGATCAACAGGTTAGATATACGCACCTCGGTCGCGAAACGCCGGTACGTCTTGACACGTCTTTCCAAGTCAATTTTCAAAGTACGAATGATGGCCGACCGCTGTGCTCGGCAACGCTCGTGAATTAGGCGGCGGGGTGGGGGAGCTCCGATGTCTCCCGAAGCTTGCATTACGAACCCGAGCGTTGCCTCGGATAGAAACCACGGATAGACTGATTTCTAACAAAATATTTACAACTTTAATTAGGCAAGGAATCGCGAATAATTCGTACTTTTCAACTGGTATGCATTTACACGCACTAGCTGCTGCCTATCACACTAATTCAGTGAGTTTCTCAACTGACCAGCTTCTATGAGAAGAGGCCGCTAAAATCACCTCCGAATTTTCAGGTCGGTATGGTAGTCGGATTGGGCCACGAAAGTCCATAAGGTAAAAGACTTTAGCGGCCTCTTCTCATGGATGGCGGATCAGTTGAGAAACTATTCACCGAATTAGTCGATAAGCAGGCAACTGTAGTGAGTACGTAAATACATGCGAGTTGACTATGGAAATTTCTGAATCTGTTGGTAACGTTTCGAGACCCCATAAAAATACATTGGGTGAAAGATCTACTCGTATACCTAACTTAGCGAAGAAGCTCGATATTTATGATGATCTGTGCAAAGCGGATCGCAGCCAATTTGCTAATATTATTTAGTTTTTAATTAATAATTGCATTACATTATTGCTGACATTTATCAGTCAGGGAATGGATAGAATGACTGGAAAAATACACAGATTGTGTTAAACAATTTTTTTTATAAGCGTTTCGAGTCCCACGATAACAATTTTAGTTTCCGAATCGAAGAAAATGGAAGAGACGGTGAAATTCTCTAAATCGGATCTACGGAAACGGCTACGCGGTCGAAGCGCGCACCATTAAATGGAAAAAACTTGAAAAATTTGTTCCTCCAGCTTCCTTCCAGCTACCTTCTAACAAAAAACGTTGGCAATGGTTCTCGTAAATTTCTTTATTCCAACTAACAGTGATTATTAATCGACTATAAACTAACGGTATTCGCGCGTGAATATTCTTCCTTGGAAGCTTTATTTTTCAGTAAACGAGTCTTCCATAAGCGAGATTGGTTCCAGCAACAGCGAGAACTTCGCCGGACTTTGCAGCCTCGTTGGCCAAGTTCAGCTTCTCGGTGAGATGAGCGGATGCGTGTGCAGCTTTCGCTACGGCGATTTCCGGTGTATCGAGGACTCTTCCGTCGGGACCAATGGGTGCACCTGGGACGAGCACGGCGTTGCTCGCCACCAACGGAACTTGTACAGCCGGTGCGGTAACCAGCAACCTTCCCGAGGATCTAACAGCTTCGTTGGCCAAATTGATTCTCTCGTTGATTTGAGCTGCTGCGTGGGCCGCTTTTGCGGCCGCAACGTCTGCCGTGTCTCGGACCCTTCCATCGAGACCTACCGATGGAAGGGTCACCAATCCGTTGGCCACGAGCGGCACCAGTGGCCTAAAAAGACAATCATTTATGGATTAGAACAACGGGCATTCCGTCTTCCTTTTAAATCTAATAAAGGAAAAGAAATACGTCACGTATGCATCCTTTTATCAAGCTAAAATCCCTTCTACTTGCAACTCGAAATCGTAAAAGAGAAAGATTCACCTGTTCAAGTCTGCTGCAACAGATCGTGCAGCCTCGTTGGCGAGACTGACCCTCTCGTTGACCTGGGCCGCGGCGTGAACAGCTTTCGCCACGGCAACTTCCTGGGTGTCTACGACCCTTCCGTCAGGACCAAGAGGCGCGCCGGGTACCAAAACGGTCGATCTATCGACGAGCAGCGACGCTGGCTGGATAACAGCTTGAAGGGACGCTGAGGAGGACCTGGCGGCTTCGTTGGCCAAATTGATTCTCTCGTTTAGATGGGCGACAGTGTGTTCCACCTTTGCCACGGCTACCTCTGGCGTGTCCTGGACCCTGCCATCAGGACCGATAGGCGCAGCAGGGGTCAGCCTGGCGATCAACGGGGCTGAGAGAAGGCCTGGCTTGGCTAGGGCCACGGAGATCGAGGCGACAAACACCAAGCCAACTAGTCCCATGTTTGGAGAAACTCTGGAAGCGGCTGAAAACACGACTCGATGATAAATCGATGGTGAAACGATCGTCGTGGAAGCTGGTAGGAGGATCGTTCGACGCGGTCGACTATGAGGCTGATCATTTTAGATCTGCATTTATAGGCAGAACAGATCGCGTAATACGACGATCTGTCCGCCAAGTGGCAGAAAAATCGCTAGAGGATAGAAAATGCACTCTCGAACAACGGGATCGGCCGTGCGTTTCCGTTCGTCGGAGCAAGGTAAGCGTGTTGTAAAACGAGTACGGTCTGCGGGTGTCGCCGGTGGGAAAAATTCTTGCCGTGGACTCCATTTTCGTGTCTCTAACGAGGCCGGGAAGACACTCGATCCCGTTGTCATTTCTCGTCGACGCCATCGAAGGCCGACGATCGCGTAACTGATCACGACGTTGCACAGTGGGGTGAACCGCGTAAAACCTGGCGAAACCTGGTTAAAAACACTTTAATAACTCTGATCAAATGAACCGTTTAATGCAACCAACATAGATCATAGTCAAAAAGCTACATTTTTGTTTGTTTTTTTTATTTTTATAAAAACAAACGAAGACAAAGTTGTTTAAAATTCAAAAATATAAGAAAATTTTTACAAATTTTTTCTTCCAAGCCACATTACACGCTTCGATAGTAAAATTTTTCCTTAAAAAAAAAATCAAATTCCATCATCATTTTACTTGATACGTATCCTTTTCACTTGCACCATTTTTTCCGTGAAACGTGTCTCTGCGTATAAATCTCGTTGCCTGACTTACGCCATTTTCGTCCAACGATACTTTATTATAGATATCTAATAACAGAACAGTGTTTAGTACTTTACTACAGAGGAAAAGAAATTGTTCAAAGTTAATGGCGCTTAAAGAAAAGGAAAGTGGTAAAAAGGTAATAATTAATTAATTCACCAGTATCGTTTAATATAATTTTCACAAGTGACAAGTTCTTAAAATATAAAAAATACATAAAATCAATTAAATCTCATCGATCAAACTCACCCTGTGTAGTAAATATTTGGCAAAATTCAAAATAAATTTAAATACGTATACGTGTAAATTAAATAAATGTTATTTGTGTCCTTGTTTGATTCACTTGCCACACATTCAATGTTTCGTATTCCTCGATACAGTCATTGATTTTATCGGGTTTAAATCCTTTGCTTGTGCATCGTTCCAGAATATCTGATACTTTGATAGTTTTCTTCTCGCCCGTCAAATCTCTGATCAAACGGAAGATTCGATCAACTGGATTCTGATTTAAATTTTTCGACAGTGTTTCGGAGTAGTTAATAGAATGTTTAGACATCTCGATTAATCGAATTGCCTCGTCAATATCCGGTTTTTCGACGACAAGTACTAATCTCAGACGCGCCAATGCAGTCGACAAACGTAACAACGCTAGTAAATTACGCGCAGACGTAAAAGTTTTATCGTGACCATTGCGAGCCGCTCTTCTCATTTCTACGTAAGAATCTGGAAATAACGATTACGTAAACACATTACGAATAACGTTATTGGGTGGGAAACAATTCAATTCGATTCTTACCAACGATATAATTTGTTAAATCTTCAGGAATTACAGGCTGTTTCATCTTACACAGAATTATGTATCTTCTAATTAAATTCATATCTATCGCTTGCGACTGCATAGGAGGTTGTATACCATGTTGATGAACGTAAGTTATATGTTGAGCCAATCTAGAAAGATACATATATACGTATATACATATGTATACATATACATATATGTATACGTATAGGTATATAACCATATAAATACTAACTTTAAATCATTAGTACGGTTTGCTCGATCCTGAATTAACCACAACAAGTCAAACCGCGATAACAAAGCAGCAGGTAACTGAATATTTTGTTCAACTGTTCTTTTAGGATTGTATCTACCATAAGCAGGATTCGCAGCAGCTAATATCGAAACTCTTGCGTTTAAACGAGTTGTAATTCCTGCTTTAGCTATCGATATTGTCTGTTGTTCCATTACTTCGTGAATAGCCGTTCGATCTGCATCTGCCATCTTATCAAATTCATCGATACAACAGACACCTTCATCGGCTAATACCAAGGCTCCTCCTTCGAGCATCATTTGACCGGTTAAAGGATCTTTCATAATTGAGGCAGTTAAACCAACTCCGGAAGATCCCCTGCCAGTTGTGTATTGAGATCGAGGAGCCAACCTCGTTATAAATGAAAGTAGCTGCGATTTCGCTACTCCTGGATCGCCCATTAAACAAATATTTATATTACCTATAAATAACAGAAATATTTTTGAATAAAAATAACCTACGCATATTACTCTAGTCAGAAATATGTAAAAGGTAAACCTCGAATTTTAATATCGTCTTTCTGATTATCAGTTCCACCAACAAGAAGTAATAGTAAAGCTTTTTTAACATCTTCGAGCCCATAAATTTCTGGAGCTATAGAATTAGCTAATTTACTATAAAAATCGTCTTCCATTATTGAAGATAATTCTTCTTTCGACAATCCAGCATCAGTATTGTCGACAGTTTGGGAATTAGTAAGGCAAACGATTTTCTATATCGTAAAATGTTAGTATCTTTAATTAGAATCTATACTGACAACTATCAAAAATAAAACTGCTAATATTATCAACTCTTACGTGTGCGTCTACATATGTTTCGTTCAAAAGTGCTGCACCAACACGAGCACTGAAACCAGATTTTACGATAGGCAAAAAGATACCCGTGATAAGTACATGATCTCCAGGTAAACACTTTCTTGTTGTTTCACCTCTGCAGTACACTGTTAAACTTCTTGGAATATGACCCACAGGAACTTGATCGCTCTAAAATAAGTCCTATTATTATTATCAACTATTAACTACAATTGCGCAACATTTTGTCAATTAACAACGCAGATGTACCTACGTTACGATATACCTTTCATTTTTATTAACACATTTTTAACGAATCTCTACTACTACCATTTAACCGTTAACGTATAAATATTAATATAATGGTATCGGTAATCGGTTGGATAAAATTAATCGAATCATTTTAAATACGGACAAGTTCGAACGAAACTTTTCCAACGAGTGTATTTTCTGCATATCAATTGACAATCGACTGCTAACGAAAATGGTTAAATAACATATTATTCGGTAACATAATTATTCATTAGAAAACTTACATGTTCTTGTATTTTTATTTCTTGAAATTTTATAAATTTTGAGCCTCTTGTTTGCATATCTAATACACCGTCAGATTTATTTATACGACACTCATCGCTAGGACATGTTCGCAGAGGCATGTATTTCAAAGATTGTACCTAAAAATCTTAATTTTAGCAAAATTTCATTTAATACTATTCGTCGATACATTACTGTTTCCTTACCGGTTGAAATGTTTCAGCGCCGCATTGATTGCACGTATATGTAGCAACAACAAGCAAGGGCATTACGTCGCTACATCTTGTCACTATACCTCGTACTGTAATCAATTTTCCTATTTTATCTGCTTTTATATCTCTTACGGAATATTCCTTTGATGTGCCAAAGTCTTTGAAGTATACTTCGCTAAAATGTGGGTATAATTATTATAATATATCTAAACTCATATATACGGAAAGAAAATAAAAATAAATATTAAAAATACAAGCGTCTCATAAGTTCTGGAGCATATTTGTTTCTTGGATCGCGTTGGTCGTGTTTGTTACGACTTTCCATCAACGATCTGTGTTCGATATATACATCCAAAGCATCTTTTGGCGGTACAGGTCTCTCTTTAAAGTCAGGTAACATCTCTTGAATAAGCTATGTACACAGAAAAATATTTTTCTATCTATTATGACGAATAAAAATTTATTTTAATTACTTTGAGCCAATGCATAAATACTTGTACGAAAAATTATAATATAATAGACGTTTACTTACATTCAAAAGTAAATTAACATATCTTCGTGTGTTATTTACAATAGATTCTGCTAATTCGTCATCAAAATCATGAACATCGTCTAACTCTATCGTAAGATCTACTTGTTCACGATGAGCTATATCAACAAGTTGATTTCTATATTTTAACGTTTTTTCACCAGTTTTACTATCCATTTCTACAAACTCCGTCAAGAATGTTTTAAATTGTTCTAATACAACAAATAAAAATTGAATAATACATTAGGAACAGTTAAATTTTAATAGAAATATCAGTAGTTAGATAATAACCATTGTAATATTTAATAGTACTCACCTCTGGCTTTTGCATAATCTTTCGATATCTTTTGTGCCATTGCAAATTTACTCCAAAAACTTTTCTCTAGCTGATCTAAACTCTTTATGTTTCTGAATAGATTGAAACACTACTTTCAATATCAAACCAAGTTCTTACACTTTCTAACGTATTCTTCCCGCTTAATTTAAACCGGATGTTTACTATCTTCAGGTTAGGCACGTTCAATTCTAAATCGATTTTTTTGAAACGATTATCGAAATTTTAAATTTAACCTTCTATATCCGTTTCTCAGCCGTTTCTTTATTTCTGATTAACAGATAATTACCAAATGTTTTCTAATTAATTTAACCGGAAGTTAATTGGTTCGAATGTCGAATATTTGCTCAATAATGCGTATGAGTGCGGAAGAGGAGAAAATAGGAAATGTCAAACGAAGCCATGTTTCTAGATACGAATTTGCAAACGTGATAAATTTTTCTGTAGTAACTACTTTTAAAAGTATAACATATTTGCATAAAAAATCTTTTAAAGAAAGATGAAATAACTCGAAGAATAAAAGAACTAAAAGAAAAAAAATAATTGAAAAAAAAATTATTTTCACTTATGACATAACGTAGATTTTCAATGTCCTTTTTAATTCAAATCTTTTTCCTTGAAATTAATGCTTCGTATTGATCCTTTTATAGTTACTGCTATTTCATTAGCGTGTACTTACATCATATATCATATATGTGATTGGTAGTGGTCTCATTGGGAGTACTCTCAGTGCTGCCACCAAGGGCGGATCGTAACCATTAGTATACATGGTAAAAGAAAACATTAAAAACAATCATATTATTATCATATTTCACTTAATTATACTTAAATATTCCCCGTTGAAATGATATTAATTTCAGCACGATGGTGTTGACCTTCTGTGTCGGTGTCTGTAGACTAAATACTATTGTGTCTTTCACTCGATTATGTAAGGTTAGTATTATAATACCAATTCCACTAAATTGAATAAAAAACAAAAGACGTTAAAATTACGCAATACTTAAACAAAAATATTGTTATTTTTTTAACATTCCTAGCAAACGGACGGAAATCAACTTTTAAAAAATTAACTTTGATAAAGCAATAATAATACTATCGTTTCTAGACAAAAACTCCCAATGCAACTCAAGTTGCTTTCCTGACTCGATTGGCCCGACAAGAACCCAGGAAGAAACCTGCCCCATTTCCCTATTGGAGGAAATCGTATAACTCGTTCCAGAAATACTTTGATCCGATAATGTTCAGGTTTGACGATAACACACAAATAGTGGTCGTGGATGGTTTGCCTGCAGTAGGAAAATCCAAATTCTGTCAGAAAATAGCTGATGAGTTTGGTTTACTCTACATGCCACCGCCGACGCATGACCAATTTTATGTCAATGTCTATGGCTTCGACACTCGAGAACTGGATCCCCAGTTGCCGTTTCTTACCAGAAGTTTCGACATGCCACGATTTTTAGAAAATCCCCATGACAAAAGGACGGCTCATTTCCAAATGTTATATTTACTAATGAGATACGACCAATATGCAAATGCTTTGCTCCATATGTTATCAACCGGGCAGGGAGTGGTTCTGAACCGGTGTCTTTACTCAGATATAGTTTTCACAGAGGCCATGAAGAATGCTGGGTATCTTACCGACCATGTGTTGCAACATTATATGAAAGTTAGAGACATTGCAATGCAACTTGTTCAACGACCGCAATTAATAATATATTTGGACGCCCCTGCAGAAATTATTAAGGTAAGTTCCTGTCGAAAATAGTTTCATGCACTGTTTATACTTCCAACTGACGTGTTGTAGGAAAAAATAAAACAGAGAGGTTTAACGTACGAAGTTAATTCGAAAGTTTTCTCCACCGAGTATCTGAACGATCTCGAGAGATTATATAAAGAGAAATATTTAGCACCATTGGAATCTCATTCGCATTTGTTGTTTTATGATTGGTCGAAAGAAACTGATTTCACGACCATAATTGAGGATATCGAGAATATAAACTTTGAGAACCATGCAGATAAAGAAAAACTGAAAGATTGGGTGTTCAATACTGACACTGATGTTAAACGCCTAATATGTGTAAATAGTTTGGGTAGACAAAAAGCGTTCGGTGAATTATGTATGGGTTTTGTACAAGATTGTCCCAAGGAATTAATTTGGACGGGTGATGATTTAGTCCAACTGGACGAAGTGTTCGACAATGTAAGTAAATTTCTTTTTGAAAAATTAATAGATTTTTAAAATATTTAAAATTAATGCGTGTGTTGAATTTGTTTCAAGTGTGTTTCTGAAAAGTACCCTCCGGGATACAACATAGAATGTGGCGATAACAAAACGTGGACGTGGTCGCATTTCGATTTGCTTTCGGTACGTCGAACGCCGCAGGACTTCGTGAATCGGGACAAATATATGTCCTAAGATTTGTATGATATAGAATAGTGAAAGTCGAAAATAACATGGAGCATTCTCATAATGAATGGAAGTAATATTATTATGAAATAAAATAATACGAACATAGCTATGAATTTGGTCTTGGAAATCCTTTGTAATACTGGAAGATTTAAGCCACGATTCAGGTTTCCCTTTTCATTTTTAGTTGAAAGTCTAAAAATTACGATGGTGTAAATAATGGCTATTAGCAGGATAGCTCAAGCATAGGTCTGATTAATTTTGGTCTAGGATCACCAAAAAAAGTTTGAACAAAATCTGTGACTTTAATCACGTGACTCCAGCCCTATTAATGCAAAATATTCCTGTGACCCACTGTTAGATTACGGCAGAACTGCTCACTACATTCCTCTTCATTTCTGTTAAAAACCATTCATGTTTTACCTAAAGCTTTTTTCAATATAACTAGCAGTTTCGTCAACATTTTAATTTCCAGCCTTGGGCAACTAACTTTTCATACACACGCGCTCGCTTCTTACTATACAGGCGTAAAGAAACCAGGTACTGTATTATATACTACGCAGACGCAAATAGACATAAGCATGAACCAGACTGATGAATATTTTCAGTGTTCGGTGAGGAGCGGGACAAGTTTACTGGCTTGTGTGGGTGAAGTAAGAAGAAATTTTAACCTTCATTTGGCAATCCTAATTATTACGAGTCTATCGATGCTCACACTATTTAACTCTAAAAGTGAATATTCTTGTACCAAAACACTGAAATTTTGCTCTACATTTCAAATTCGAATTCTCAATTGCATTACGTCGCAAAAAATCTTTATTTGATTGAAACCCATTCGAACCATTGTTTCTATGTTGTTCGTGATTAATGAAACATAGATAACTCGCTCATTTTCTTAATTATGGCACATATTAATAAATAAACATAATAAATTAATCTATGGAAACACTATATAATATTGAATAATTCTATTATTATTTTGTTTTTAAGACATGAAACATACATGTTAAAAATATAGACCTGCTCACGAAGAGCACGGTTAGTTGGAACTTGGTTCCATATTACACGTATCCCTCAAAAACGAGAACATTAATTACGGAGAAGTTTTGCCACAACGGTTCACAAAAATTCTATAAATATTTTAGTTTATACAGAAATAGTTTACAAAATTTACCAAATAAATCATTTTCACTTCATCAGGCTTACAACCTTTTCAAGTCAGTGTAAAAATAGTAAATTCTGGTCATACGCAATAGAAAATTTGTCGAATGCTACGTAAAACTAATATATCTGATGTAATAAGAAAGAAATGGTATCGTAAATACTGAAAGTACCATTCGTTGTACGCTACAGTCACAAGTTAAAACACACATTGCTGAAACACGAATAAATATTTTGTTCTAATAAATTTAAAAATTGTATTCCCAATGTACATACATTCTTTGCACGATTAACCTTTTTTCGTGTTTCATGTCCATTGGGCGACAGAAGAATCGGAATGTGCAGCTCGAATTCCTTTCCACAGATCACTAACAGTTGCGCAAATTTACAAGTTTGACGTACTTAAGTACAATCTGTACATCGAATGCTTGTTTCTTCCAACGCGTGTAATATTAATTCCTTTGCAAGTTGCATAATGGAACCGACAGTGATATTAACTGAAAGTTGATAAAACCTTTTATGGAGTCAAACTGCAGCACGAATTGGTCTTTCGTGCGGTTTTATAGAAAGCTTTTGACTGCATGCTGAGGCCCTCTGACTTGGCGACCAGGTCATCCAATTTTTCTCCCCGTTGGAGAATAGCCGATAGTGTATTATGCTAAAAGTTAAACAAAATAAAATAAAAATGTTCTTTCCAATCATTCTTTAGATAATTACCAGAATGATATTAGTTTCATCTAGGTCATTCTTCATTTTTGTTAGAGCATCAGCCTCGTTCGGGTTCTGATACTTTGCTAAATATATATTGATTTGTGCAAAGTCTGTCGTGGCTTCATTCAGAGTCTCCCATGTCGAACTCAGATACTTTGCAGCAAATTCATCCATCACTTTTGTTATTAAAGTGTGTGCAACTCTTCTGGGATATTCGTGGTCTGATATGAGAACTGCAGCCAGGTTGTCCGCTCTTACGTACACATGACACATGTAATCTGGTAGAAGATTAGTTTTCTTCACATTTCTACACACCATTGTACTCTAAGACGATTTCTTTCATTCAAAACTAATTAAAAGTTACAACAGTTAGATGAATTCCAAAATAATTGCGAATAAACTGCTTGAAACTACCATTAAATCAATTTTAATTCAATATATTACTCTTTCTTAGGTCACTACTGGACTCGATTGACTCTAAATACAGGTGTAAAGTTTCTAAGTTTGTATTTAAATGCATCGCAATAAACTTTAACTTGGGACAATTAAATATGAGTAGAATTTATTCACTTGCAGAGATTACTAAAATTGTATTTTAAAATATTACTTTTCTTTCAATCGCACCAAACTAGATATGTTTACACGAGTGAAATTATTGCGTTACCTCCTTCTTTCACGCTCTGCCTGGAACTAATTTGAGTCCGTTCAACGATAGTTTTGCTAACGAAGCTCATGAACTCCTTAACGCTTCCCCGCTGGAAGAATGAGAACGACTCCACATCGTACGCAGACTTCAATGCAATGGCCGATGTGGGATTCTTGTACAGGACTGACAATGCATACAACTTTACCATCTTTTGGCTGTTAAGTAAACAAATTGCTCTTAATTTAATATTTGTTATTTAACGTGGAGAAAGAAATTTGAAAGAAATTCAAATATCTTTTAAATGAATTTTTCAATTATGAAAAATTAATATTATGGGGGAAATATTGGATCAAGTTAAATAAATAATGGAGAAAATATATTTATTAAACTTACCACTAGCATAAACGTTTCCTTTGTTTCGATTTGCCAAATATTTGTGAAGAATTGTTTATTTTCAACGATGATTCAACAATTATTAATGTCATTCGCAATTCGGATCTTCGATTTTATGAGACGAGGAGGCCGCCATGTTGGCAACAGCGTCTTCCAATTCGATAAACTATCGATAATACGTTTGAAACGATTGTTATTATCAAGTTGTGAACACAAAATGGCCTGCGATGCAAATATTTTATTAGTATTGTTAATATTATGCGAGTATTATTTTTGTCAAATTCCTCAAGATTTGGTTTTCAATTATTAACAACGATAATATTGAGCCTGGATTAACAAATATTGAGATTTAAATAAATTTGATAGAGTGAAATCAAAGTTTGAGGTCAGAATGGACTCCACAAAAATTAAGATCGAAGCAGAGATGCCAGAAAAGCACCGCCGGGTTCACACGCACACATGCCAGATACGCGTACACGTGAGCTCGTGGAGTTTCGGAAAGTCGACAAAGGCAAACTGACGCATGCCCTCTTTCACGATTCTCCGAAGCTGCCCGAAGTAATTTCGGATCGCCTCGTGGGAGTCGAGAGAGAAAGGCTCACATTTGCCTTCTCGCTCCCACACAACTGAAATCCGACCTCCCGTCAACGGCATACGATTTGGCTTCTCGAGCCGAGATTCTCGACTGCCCAGGCATTTTTACTTTCCGACCTATGTAGGCGCACATAAGCAAAGTACCCATAATGAAAAAAAAATTTTGTAAAATTTATTTTACGGAAATGCACGTTTTAAGACCTCCTGATTATATTTTAATTATTGAAAAAAAAGAAATTTTTTTTAATTCCCATGTATGAGCACACATATGTATATTATTAATACGATTCTTGAAAATAAATAAAGTAAAAGTTATCTCATTGAAATTTTTTCTAGAATTAGTACCTAGAAAAAAGTATTAGACAAGATTTGATTTTGATTTCGATTAAAAATCAAATTTATATTGTTTTAAATTCGCAGCCATTAGCTCGGTGTTACCCATAATGAAGAAGTTTTTCTTCAAAGGTAACACCGATTACCAGGTCTCACCACGAGGAGGTTGCTGCGAGTGGAGACCCAAAGTGAGACCGATGGAACAAAGTTCGATCAATCTTCCTTTTTACAGACTTAGAACTAACCCATGACGCAAAAAAAAAAGATGCCAAGTAATTACTTTTCTAAAACAAAGGAGGAAGCTAAATTGTGGTAGACGCGACACGACGAAACGCGACACAATACTGCACAGTGCAGTAGGAACATGAGGTGCGACACGTACCGAATAGCGGGTCAAAAGGGGCAGCTCGTTACCTCTTAGCAAGTCCAATTGAAGGGGAGGAGAATCGACGCACCAGACACGGGTTCCCCATTTCTCCAACGCGTCCTGCTGGGAGCCCGTAGGACCCAACCCGGGACGTCTTACACAGGAGAGAGATCCTGAGTCGGGGCTACCGCAGACAGGAACAGGTCCCCTCTACGGCCGATGACTCATTCCCTAGAATTGTCTCACCAGAGGACGGCAACCGACCCTTCGAACCATCTAAACGGCCGATCACTTGCTTTTTACATTAAAGCAGCGGTGACCGGAGCTGGAAACGGGGGAACGAGACTGGAAAAGAAGCTGTTAATTAATTAATTACTTGGCAATCTACGCATTAAATAAACTAATATACAATATAAACAGAAAATTAACGTCGTAGGTGGAATTAATGAGATTAAAATGGGAATTGAGAAACATAGGAAAGGAAAAAAAGAAATATTCGACGTTAATTTTACCATTCGCGCCGCGCCGCGCCGCGCCTTAAATTTAACGGCAATACGCATGAATCTTGCATCCGTCGTCCTCTATCTAAAAATTGATCTGAATAAAAACTAAAATAAAAATTAGTAGTTATAGACACAAATTAGAATTAATTATGTGAACAAATATAGGGACAAATATAAATATAGGGGCAAATACAAATATACAACCAAGAACAGGATAATTAAAAAAATAACAACCCCACGATGAAAGACAATGAGGAACAAAATAATTTGAAAAATCACAACCCAACGAAGTAAAGAATGAAGAAGAAAATAATTCGAAAAATAACAACCCATCGATGTCGAAAATAAAGAACAGAATAATTGGAAAAATATCTACCCAACGATGTAATATATGTAGATAAAAGCTGAAAGAAAAAACGAATGAATTATTGGAGAGACGAACAGAAACAACGAAATATTACATCCCTATATATAAATAGAAAACACAATAATGGTATTAATTATATGAATATAAATATATGTATGTATATACCAATCGGCGACACCAGTCGGCGACACCAGTCGGCGACACCAGTCAGAGCATCGCAGAATCAGAGAATCTGAAACAGAAAGAAAAACGGGTAACAGTACCCCCGGCGGTTCCGGGAGTACTGAAAAGAGTCGGTCAGTTGTGCCCGCTTTTATGCAGTCAAGCCAAAGAATCAACGAGCCAATCAGCAGCCAGTCAGCAGTCTTCCGGCTTCAAGAAGTTCTATAAAAACCGTGCCCCCTGGCGGGCCCGCGGCAGATATCCCTCAACCACCAAGCAAGACGGACCGTATCGAGATGAAGAATTTATTGAAGATTTCCATTCAATCAAAATCGAAGATGGCGGCCAAGAAGATGGTTCACGAGCAGCGGCCAAGGGACAAACCGGTCTTTTTAAAGACCAAGAAAATCTCATATTTGGGAACAATAAAACTGAACACCAAAACTGAACACCAAAACTGAACAACTTTTATATTTAACAACTCAGAGACACTTTACATCTCTGTTTTGTAACAAGTTTTATATTTAACAATTCAGAGACACTTTACAACTCTGTTATGTAACAACTTTTATATTTAACAACTCAGAGACACTTTACATCTCTCTTTTGTAACCACTTTTATATTTAACAACTCAGAGACACTTTACATCTCTGTTTTGTAACAACTTTTATATTTAACAATTCAGAGACACTTTACATCTCTGTTTTGTAACAACTTTTATATTTAACAACTCAGAGACACTTTACATCTCTGTTTTGTAACAACTTTTATATTTAACAACTCAGAGACACTTTACATCTCTGTTATGGCACAAGTTATGCAATAAAACTGAACATGGTATACATATTTGCCTATATGTATAGGAAGGAAATTCGTCGTTAGTATTGTCGCCCGTCAATGCACTTAATTATGCAAGATCAGTATACTATCTAATTTTATTTTTTATTATACCGGTTTGCAATATCGTAAAGATCAATGCAAAAACATTATGCACAGCTCTTGTATTTCTTTGATTTATCCAAGTAGTCAAAGTATAATATTTAACAAACTTTTGATTCAAATAAAACAACGAAAGACACAAAATTTGTGTAAGTACCTGTTACATGCAACCTATGTATAAATGCATAATAACTAATATTGATATACGCATAACGAACTTAGTTTGTGATATGAAACATTAAGAAAAGTGTAAATTAATAAATAGGTTTCAAAATGGGTATTCCAGGTTTAACAACTTTCATAAAGAATCGTTCAGATCGTTATTTGGAATAATTCGAGCCATGTGATAGGTATTTAGTTATTTAGCTGTCAAATATATAATTCGTACAAGTACAATTGTGTTTTTGGCGGTGATTACGATAAATACGCTCAACGAGTATCGGATTTTTTTGACGATTTGTTAAAGTTATTCGAAGCTGATAATGCTATAGCTACTGTAGCAAGGATATTGAATTGTCCTGTATTGAGTTATGATTCAGATTTTTATGTGTTTGGGACATTGTACATACCATTTGATACATTGGACAATTACACGGTGAAAAGTTCAACTGGAAATGGTTACACGAAACGTTGTAAAATTTATAAAGTTGAACACTTATTAAATTTTTATAGAGGTTTAAGTCAATCTACACTGCCATTAGCTGCAATATTACTAGGCAATGATTATGTAAAACGTGGTACATTTAGAAACCTCTTTCGTTATTTAAAGTTACGACGAATAACAAGAAAAAGGTACAGTAATCGACAGTATTGTATAGAAGCAACTTTACAATGGTTGAGCGGATTTTACACCTTGGACAAAGCAGTCATTGGAATGCTATGTAGATCACCTAAAACCATAAGACAATAAATATTAAGCATAATAGAAATTAATATAAATGGCTATACAAATGCATCTACAGAAATACTTGGTTACTTCCATTGGGGTTTTCACAGGAATATGCAGCTCGTGCCACAACACATTCCATAAACAGAATTTTTTAATTTGATGGAGATGTTAATAGTCTAATGTACATAGAAAAAACTGATAAAAATGGAGACTTTGAATCATCCGAAGAAGAAGAAGAAGAAGAGGAAGAAGACGAAGTTGAAATATTAGACATGCTTAAAGGGGTCAGAATCTGCTACCAATAATGCACTAGCTAATGTACCTAATTTGTTTGTAGATGAATTTCTTATGGGCAATTATCCTGCATATTTTATGGACTTGTTGGTTCGACATTTATATATTTGTCCTGTACAAATAGAGGATTATTCCTATCCATTGAGCAATGTAATAAGTTTAAAAATTATTAGAGTTATATATGCATTTCTGCAATCAGGAACGAATAGAAGGAGAGGTTTTATGAAATACATGATGAGAGACTGTAATAAAAAGCTTAAATGTTACGAACCAGAAGGCACTGACACTAAATTTTCTTCCCCATTACTGTCCCTATCTAATCTTAGAGAAGTACCATTAACGAGACCAGGATTAAAAAATAATGTACAAACATGCATCATTGATTCTTCATTACCATTTGAATTTAAATTCAAGTTATATAGACACAAATATATAAGCAAAGCCCATATTGAATGAAAAATTGACACGTAAATACACGTTTCAAGACCCCCTGATCATGTTTGACATAAAACAATACTTTGGAAATAAATCGTTTGAATATAGTTTATCAAGTAAGACTTTCGAAATTATTTTCAAACGATCTATTCTCTAATTGTTCTACTATTTCAAATAATAATTTTTTGATCTTATAGCAAAGAACGTTTACTTAATATCAATTCAATAAATTCAATTCGTATTTGTATATTTTTCGCCTATATAGGCAAAAATATACCATGTTCAGTTTTATTACATAAGTTGTTTCAAAACAGAGATGTAAAAAGTCTCCGAGTTGTTAAATATAAAAGTTGTTCCAAAACAGAGATGTAAAAAGTCTCTGAGTTGTTAAATATAAAATTTGTTCAGTTTAGTGGTTCCCACAAATGAGATTTTCTTGGTCTTTAAAAAGACCGGTTTGTCCTTTGGCCGCTACTCGTGAACCATCATCTTTGGCCATCTTCGATTTTGATTGAATCCAAATCTTCAATTAAATTCTTCATCTCGATACGGTCCGTCTTGCTTGGTGGTTGGGAGATAACTCGCCGATGAACGCCTCAGGGGGC